AAATCGTTAACTTTTCAAAAATAAAAAAGCCATCAAATTAAATATATATTCATTGCCACCATTAAATAATAATTGTTTAAATATAGTGTCTAATTTATGACATTTTATATTTATGTTTATTTATCTAAGAACTATTTTGTTTACAAACGCAAATTTATATAGAACTGCAGTTTTTGGTAATTTATTAAGCTGTTTGGTTATAAAGCAAATGTATATATTTTTTTTTTTTTCAATTTTTATTTACATTCTGTGTTGTGACAATAAGTAAATTTTATGACAATAATTACATAACAGGAATAGCAGATTTCCAGTGAAACCTGCTATTAAGTATACCTTATCGTTTACTTAAATTTGCCTTTCAGGGAGATCAAGAATGAATGAAAGCTTTTGAGTCTTCTATATGTTGTATATTTAAGCATTAAATCATAGATTGATGATTTCAGTGAAGTTCAGCCAACGATGCAATAATTTTATGACCAGCCGTGCATTAAATTTTCTAAGTACATTAAACTCAAAAATAGAAATAGCGGTAGAAAGTGTTAAAGTAATGATTTAGTCGCGAGGCTTAATCAATTATACGAATAATTAAGTTAGGCCCACTATTTATTATGCAGCCAAAGTCGACTTAGGCATTAAACTCCTCTTAGAATAACCATTTATAACTAAGTAGTTCCCACACAGCGAGCCGGCTTCTTGAAATCCACTTTCGTATGCATACTTAAGATCTTAAGGGAGTGGGGGATTGGGGGATTGGTGCGCCACCCACCTGCATTTAAGTACTGTTTGGAGAGTGCGGTGACCCAATTGAGGCTTATTACTCCATAATTTAATTACCCGGCTGGGAGTTTAAGGGGAAAACCGCTGCTCTCAAGACGAAGAACGGAGAACAGAGAGTTTCTCACGCTTTGACAGATAGAAAAGTGGTTTCTGTGCGGTTCTCTGGCACTTTTGGTTTCGAGCTTGATGGGTTCTTTTTTTCCTCGATTGCTATTTCACATTTCCCATCTCCAGAGCCAGCCAGCTAACCAATCAAATCAGTATCGAAGAGCGGGAAAATACTCGAATGGGCAGCGGGCCGCGGAGCAGGGAAACAGAAAGCATTGGCAATAAATAAAATTTCTAAATTCTTGGCAAGCCAACGAACGTGACAAGTGTGAACACACACATGTTTGTGGGAGAGTGCAACTGGGATTGGGGATTGGGGAAATAACATCTCCAGTCCACAAGTTATGGCCAAAAGGTTTTGACAGCATTTTCAGTTCAAGCGCAGCGCTTTTTCTTCTTCTTCCTCTCAACTTTTTTGTTCCCCCGACTCTTTTTTTAATTAATACAAGTTACGACTTTCTTTAACCCATTTTGACGGTGACCTGCAGATGAAAACATTGGCGGGTACAACAAGAAAATCACTTCCAGTCCCACAACTGAGCCCCGCTCGAATTTCCTTTTTGCAATAGAAAACGCTTTAATCACCGTCGCGATGCCGAAAAAATGTGCATTGTTTTGAGAGCTCTCAGCTCCCTAGACTTCCACTTCCACTGCCACTTCCACAGCAGCCGGTACTACAAAACTTTCTACGGATAAAAAACGCTGTACGAGCATGTGCAAGCATTTAATTACGCAAATAATAAACAAAGCTCGAATCCGAATCAAAATCCGAATGCAAGTCAGCTGCGAAGCCCATGAATTTGCTGTGTATTTTGCGGCTTTTCTGTATTTGTTGTTGTATTTCACATTTTATTTGTTGCTGTATTTCACATTTTATACTTGTACAAAAAAAGCTTTAATCGAAATTTGCATCTCTCTTTGTCCACAACGAAAAAATATTATTATTGCCTGGATTAAACAGTTGCTTTTGTCCGCTTATTATTGGTATTTAAATAACCAATTTTATATTCATTTAAAATATTTGTTTTCAAACAAAAAATATTCACTTTTGTTATGTCAACTTAAAATTGGAGAAAAACAGCACTTTTCAAACAGTTTCGGTTTACCTTTGCCAATTTATCGGAATCTTAGAAGAATTTGTCATAAATAAAGGTCGCAAATTCACCTTCACCGAAGTTGAAAATTTAGACAATAAAACAATTTTTTATAAATAGAAGCCGGAAGGAAGGGTTAAATTAAACTTCGTCCTAAAAATAAAGAATCTTATTCATATAGGTTTGATTTAAATATAATTTTTTCCTCATCTAATATTTGAGTTGGTTGCGTACACAAAGTATCTTAAGCAGATCTGCATACTTAATATTTGAGTTAGAGGGAATGATGATGCTGAGCTGGCTGAATTTTTACCAATATTTTGCATGGCCCCCTTCAAAGTTAATTACAAGATTTAGCCCCTTCGTGTGTGTGGGCGTGGTGTGTGTGTGTGTGTGGGTGAATTAGCCATGCAGCCACGTAAGAGTGTGTGTGCTAATGGCAAGCTTTTGAATTTTGTATGGGCTCATGGCATCGGAAACCAGAAAGGAGAAACCAGCAGCGGCGGCTTAGTGGGTGGCTGCTGGAGCTTTTCCGATTTCCCACCTAACCGGAGCATTAATTAAAGCTCAGAGAGTCGATCTGTAGAGTTAATTAATAGATAAGGGTAAAGGTTGAAACGTTCTCTGATAAAACAAGAATCGAGTTTGCAAAGAGGGAGAGATAAAAGGGGTGACGCTTTTATTTAATGTAACAAAAATAATAAAACTTAAAAGTGAGTTTGGCCATCTATTTTTGAGTGCTTCAATGTTTATTTTATTATTGTAACATTTTTGAAAGCTTTGTGTTTGTTTTGCTTTCAACCAATCCGGTATGCAAATCCCCTGGGATAATATTCAAATTAGAATGCAAATAAAAATCGTTTTTAATACTTTATCTCTCAGTTAAAGCCTCTCGCAGACAAATGACTTGAGCGTCAATATTGGTAAACAATGGCTTGTATTTGCCTAAGCTCATATTATAAATTCAATGTCACATCCATTAAACATAGTATGCACATCCGTTAGGCAGTCATTTGCATGCGCTATCAGTAGAAAATTTAAACTAATTTAAAGCCAGAACTTCGGTTGTCGAAAACAATGGAAAAGCAATTAAAAATTTGTGATAAACTTTTGTTGCGTTGAAGGGTTCTGCGGGGGGATGAAGGGGCAAAAGTGGGGGTTGTGGCGCCCACAGAATCTCAGCTTATGTGTATGTATGTATATATATGTATGTATGTATGTATATGTAGGCCCCTAGAGCATTTTGCATTCAAGTACCTTATGCACTCAGTTTCTCTTTGGGTTAAAATTTATGGTCGAAATGTTAGCATTTTTATGCATTTTTAAAATAAAATGGCTTTTCAAAATGTTAAGCTTCATACCAAATTGTGCACTTACTGGGGTGAAAATAAAATTCTATAAAAAGGATACAAATTAAAGACAGTTTTAAAATGTTTTCAACAATTTATACTTTAAGTAATATTTTAGCAACAAATTTAAAGAACTTAAAAATTCAGACAAAAGTTAATAAATGTGTTACTTCATTTTAAATATCATAGAAAATGAATTCCCAAATATACCTGTGTTATTCTTTCGACCGCAGCTGTGTGCGTATACAATTACATTTTGGCCAAAACATCATTAGGGCTGCAACGGGGAGTAGGTGAGGGATGGGGGACGGGGGAGTGCTTTTACCGGGCTCAAAGGGACCAGCAAAAGAATGAGAACAGAAATGTTGGCAAGGAAAATGTTTGCCCGTCTCCGCGACTTGGCAACAGAACAGCATCGAAAAAAGCCGAGGCAAAAGCAGAGGGCTTAGCTCCGCCGCTGCCGAGTGCTCTACTTTTCCAACTTCAATAGCTCGTGACATTGTTTGTGTATGTGTATGTATGTATATGGTATGTGTGTGTGTATATATATTTACCCAAATAACAACGCGCACATGTAGAGAACTGAGAACTTGGCTCAAACCAGATGCCAACAACAGCAGCAGCAGCGGCAGCATCTGAAAAGAAAAGTGCTAAGCGTGGTGAACTGAAAGGGGGAAAGCGGAAAAGCGGCGGGGAAGCTGTTCTACTGCTAATGAGAAAGTTTACGTGGAACGAGATGCTGGAAATTGAGATCCCCGCCGACTCAATGAATTAATGAATGAACGAAAGCTTGTAATTTACTTAAACAATTTTTTAGTTGCTCTAGGAAGTAACGTATCTCTTTATCTGATGACAGCAGGCGGTGTTTCAGCTACACTAAAGCCGTAATTAATTTAGATTTAAATCGCATTTACGGCTTGTTAGCGAACTTGTTTAAATACTTATACGTACATATAGAAACTATTAGAATGTATTTACTTAAAAAAGAGAGAGTGGCCTTAACGTCTTAAATCAACTAAATTTTTAATTACTTCAAATTTAAATCGAATAAATGGTTTCAAGGCAAAACTTAAAGATAATCGGTCTGTTTTTGCACATTTAAGATTGACTTTCAACCTCATAAATACTTACTTACTTATATTTAAATTAAAACATTTTTCTTCATACTGAAAATATCAATCAACTCTAAAAATCATACAGAAATTTTTACACTTTATGTACTCCAAGTCTTTTAAGATCAAGTTCAAGTATTTATTTGAAATATTCCATTTTACACTTTTACTTTGTCAATTTACATGTTCTTTAATATTTTTGGGTACTAAAAATGGTGCTTTCTCTTTATCTGGAAATATTTCCTACCGAAGCCATTCTCTAATTTTTAAGGGCCAGCTTTACATGTTAATTTGTTGGGCACGAGGCACGTACAAACATGGCCGATAAGAAATGCAACTTGGCCAGAAATACTTTTCTTGTTTGTTTACACTTCTTGGTATTTTCGTTATTATGTCGTTTTTTTTTTTTTGTGCTGTGACACTTTCTTTTTGTGTGCTTGTGCCCAGTCGAGTGTGCGGCACTTAACATGAAATTAAGTAAATTAAGTAAAAATATTTTTATTCAATTAGAAACCTCAGTGGCGGAGTACTAAACATGGAATTTCTCTTTGTCATTGCAGTTGAGAGAGCTCCGAGGAGGAAAACAGCCCCAAGATTTCGAAAACAACGAAAATGGTCTTCGACTGCGGAGTCTGGTGTGCAAAGTATTTGCTTTGCATATTCAATTTTATATTTTTCGTAAGTATGAAGTAATGCCAGGTGATGTGTGGGCCATTGTGATTTATTCACCGGGTGCACATGGGTAACGCACCTATCTCTGCGTTCATGTCATACCAACAACTTCGACATCGACATCAACTATAACATCCATCCCATCAAATTCCATTGCAACTCAATCAAGCAAATCTCTGCGCATGCGCGCTGCTGTGGTGCTTTTTTCCCGCATTTTCAGCTCGGCGGCGGCGGTTCATTGACTTTCCGCCACTTCATCATTATCATCTTGATTGCCAAACATCATCATCGTCGACGTTTTCAAATGCAATCAACATGGGCAGGCAACGTCATAATAACAACAATCATCAAACTGCGTTTGCATGTCCAGCTGGGTGGGGGGAATTGTGTTTTATGCTTTATGTTTCACTGTAAAGCACATAAATGTACACACATATTTATGTATATTTTTCTTGTTTTATGTTTGTTTCTTTCACAGGTGCTAGGCACAATTATATTCGGCATCGGACTTTGGCTGGCCGTGGACAAGCACTCGCTGATTGCTCTCCTCAAGTTGGTCGAGAGCGAGCGCATCGAGGTAAGACCAATATCCCCATCTCCCCATCCATACCCATGGAAATCCCAGTGGCCGCCCAACTCCGGGTGAAAGTGTTGCCGCGGAAACACCCCCTTGAAGTTGCCCCCAAGAAACCGCTGCATTCCACCCAATTATAACGCAATTTATACGTATACGCAACCCATCGAAGTGTGTAATTCACATATCGAAATCGTAGTGAATCAACCCCGAAAAATAGATCACGTGCAGGTGCTCCAACTGGAGGTACAATTATTAAAATAAAACTATAATTATAGAATAAACATGTAGTTCGGTGGGGAATCGGTGGGAGTGGGGCACAAAAACGCTAATCAAAGTGCACGATGCATTGTGTTGACACACTGGCCAACAATAGGGGAAGGTTTTTCATATTACTCTAATTGGGTTGGAATAGTAAACCCCACTCTATATAAGGCAGTAAGGGGAAAAATTGAACTGGAAATAATGGAAACTAATAATATAAAACGTTTTGAAGGCGGAACTTTACTTTCCTTTGTTCTGATGTGTCAGTAAAATCGATAGTTTGTTGAAATTAGAGATTAGATTTACTAAATCATTTCAAATGAAAAATGAAAAACCATTCTGTAAATGTATGCAATTTAAGATAATTTTGTTTTGCTGAAATTTCCGCATTATATGTCATGTTGTCCCTTGCAAAACTTTCGAAAATTTACAAATCGTGGGATAAGAGGTTCCGCCCATTCTCGGGGGACAATTCACACAAATAAACTTTTTCAACTAATCTGCAACTATGACAAATTCCATCAAAAGTTGCATGTTCAGCGTTAACTAAAGTTGGTGTGCAGCCAGCCCCCATTTGCCATCTGAATAAAGGTAAAGGGTTTTTCGCTTTGGCAAAACAAACGAAAAGTGCATGTCCACACGGCAACTAATTGAGGGGTCACCTAGGATAAACACGGAGCAACTAATTGAGAAGGTTTAGCAGGAACTCTCCGCTGATGAAAAATGCCCCAGGTTGTTGGTCAATGAACCTGCAGCAGTAGTTTCCAAGCATATTTCAGAAATTATATAGACTAATTTACCTACAATTGAAGAAAATATGCGTATAATTCAATTACACGAATGAGGAAGAAGACAATTTTTGGCCAGTTCAAAGTTTAATTACGTATACGCAGTGGAGGCATCATCCGCAATTACTCTCACATTTGCTGACCATTTGTTTCCATTCCCTTTGTCTCTCGTTGTAGCAATTTACACAGCCGCAGGTCATAGAGCAGCTGGCCTATGTTCTGCTCGTCATCGGAGCCGTCATGTTCTTCATGAGCTTCTTGGGCTATCTGGGAGCTATGCGCGAATCCCGCTGTCTGCTGTCGACGGTAAGTGAACAAATCGAATATGGGTTACAGGTCTGCCCCCGGACAGTCCGACTCGAAACTGAAAGTCATCTACAGCTCTCGTTAAGGGCAATCAGTGATTTTTCGTGGGTTAGCCTTTTAAATAATCATAATTGAAAAATATGTTGCGAACTCAAGACTGTCGGTGGACTAATAAAATCATTAAGCCAGCTCAGGTTGAAAAAACTTAAGAACTTAACGCAGGCAGTTTTAAGCTGATTAAGATTCCTATGGTTAAAGACTTAATTGCCTGCACACTATCTGTTCCAATGAATAAACAACGTTTATTATTATTATTATTATTATTATTATTAAAAACTCGAATTTTTTTAAAGGCTTCCGTATTTTTTTTTTGAATAGAATGAGCTTAATAGTGTACAAACTTAATTTAAGTAAGTTTACATTATTATTTACATCTTCTGACTTTTGAACTATTAAAACTACAACTGAAAGCCGCAACTTAATCAATTTAAAAAAAATATAATAATACAACAATAATTTCTTTGGGAAAACTTATTTGCTTTCCATTACCGAGACGCATTGTCGCAAATTTGCATTTCCCCCGCCCAATCAATGAATCCAATCAGAGTTTTACGAGCTTGCCCCATCGGAAACATTGTAATGGATGACAGACAGCCACCGAAGATGCACAGGGACTCAGACTTTGAGTTGGGTGATTGCCAAGCTTTTGTTTACACATTTCACCGAAAAACGACTTTGCCACTGAAGAGGATTTCCATTTGACTTTGACTCTTGGCTGGAAAGCCCCCGACGAAGGCACTCGAGAGAAAGTTGTACCTGGCTGGGTATTTCTATGGGTAAATTATCGTATATATAGTGGATACATCCATATCGTGAGGCCGGGCGTGTTTGAACGATTGGTTAAGCGGTGGCCCCCATTGGCAAGCCCTTCACTTGGCCCTGTCGTCTGTTTGTATTGGTCTGTGAGCGGAATTGTAATTTCTCTGGACTGCTCGACTAGAAGATAATTTACATTTACGTACATTTGCAGTAAGTGGACAAAAGGGGGACTTTCCATGCTCGAGAGTGTTCACTCGGGTCGATTGTGGTAATTAATAAACGCTTTTATCGCACTCACCTGCATTATTTACCCCAGACGCACCCACATTTCTGGGCTTGGCCAGTTTAATTGCAGCGACAAACAGGTGAATTTAATTTACCTTAGCCAGAAGTGCTGAAGAATCGAGTGGGGGGAAGAGGGGGAGGAAGGGGGATGGGGGAAGGGCTTTGCGCATGCGCAGCGGTGCCGAACACGCGACCTGCATGCGACCCTCTTGGGTTTTGCACTTAAATTAGCCAAGGCCGTTCGGTTAACGCATCTGAAGGCCGCCAGCCAAACTCTTGGCATGGCTAACATGTCTTAGCATTGATTTTTTTAAGACGGCAATTTTTTTTCGTAAGCAAAAGACTACAAGCACACGCGTACCTAAACGCTTTCAAATCGCTACACTACACTTGGCATGCAAACAAAGTGAAGCTGCTCTCAATAGGCCGCAATTTGGTCGGATTGCATGTGTATCTGACAGATACATTTGCAGGGGGGAGGGGGCTACCAACGCCCACGATGGCTGAAATGAAACGCTGCCAGGCGTAACAGCCGCAACACAACCAGCTAAAACCGAGCATATCAGAGCATCGTATCAGGGCAACAACCACAACACGACAACCTCAGCGACAACATTAGGCAGGCACTCAGAAAAAAAGTTTAATGAGCCTAATAATAAGAAATATACTCACTCCTATTTACCAAGCAAGTTTAGAGTGAAATCAATTTTATATAACAATACGATTACGAAATTACTAAATTTATTGCAATTAAAAAAGCTACAGGGTTACTATACTATTTTTTGTTGGCCTAAGAACTATAGACTTAAAATATCATTTAAAAGTTACAAAAATTTTATGAAGTCTAGAATAACTTTGCATACGTCATAATACTTAACTTGGGATAAACGGTAGATTAAACAATAAATATTTTATAGTAAAAATATGAAGTTATTCTTTTCTTTCTCTGCATTACTCAACCAGAATAGTAGAATGAAAAGCCGCAAGAGCTTTTTCGAAACATGCAACAAAACATTGAGAAATGACCTTCAGCATTTACGCTGCATGCTGCGACCTCCTCCGGCCATCCGCCAATCCGGCCAACCGCCCATCCGCCCATTCGCCGTTTTAGCCACATTTCTATATACATATATGTATCTGTATCTGTATCTATCCGTGGCATTTCGCGAATGTGTGTGTGCTTAGGCCAAACTCACCACCAGCGGCAGGCCGGCAAATGCTGCACATTTGGCTCAGGGTCAAATGGCTAGATTTTTCTGCACGGCTCACAAAGTGGCCAACAAATTGGGTCAACCGCGAGCACATTATAAATAAACCAGACATCCGTAACATAAAATCACTGAATAAATGTATTGCATAATAATAAATTCTCACGCCTTTAAATGTTAATTATTTATTACTAGCTTTAAATTTAGTGGGTAGGGTCTAAGTCACTTAAGTTTTAATTTAGAACAAATTTAAAGTACACAGATAAATAGTTTTAAAGTTATAAAACTATTGTTTTATAAATTACCAGTAAATGTCTTTTATATATAAAATATATAATTTGTATTATGGATTCTTTTTATATATATTACTTTATGTATTATTTATGAAGTTATAAATACAGCTTTCATTAGAATTTAACTAACCAAATGGTGATTTTAATAAATATATTTTCTTATATTCTTTTGCAGTATGGAACCTTCTTAATCCTTCTTTTGGTGGCTGAGATTGTGGCCGGAGGACTGGCCGCCTTTTACAAGGACAAAGTGCGTGCAGAGAGCAAAAACTTCTTGCAGACGACCATCACCAGCTATTCGCTGGGCGAAAATGTGGACGCCACTTCGCTGATGTGGAACCAACTGATGGGCAACTTCGGGTGCTGTGGCATCAATGACTACCGCGACTTTGAGGCATCGCCGGCGTGGGTGAGTGGCAAGGGTAACCGCACCATTCCGGAGGCCTGCTGCATCCTCAAGGATGTGGCCAAGTTGGTGCCACGCGACGAGGACTGTGTAACCAATCCCAGCGATAGCAACAGTTTCTACAAGAAGGTAGGAGCAGAATAACCTTAAAACATTATGAAATCTAAATTATATTTGAATATTTTTTTAGGGCTGTTATGAGGCCTTCACCGAGTGGCTGATTGCACAACGCGAACTGATCATCGTGGCCATTGTGGTGGGAATTGTGCACCTGGTCCTCATCATTCTAGCCTTCGCCCTGTGCAAGGCCTTTGCCAAATACAACGACATGCGTCTGTAAATCGCTGAGGACGAGGACAGCGGATGTTGTGACAGTTTTCAGAGTTAGCAAAGTAGACGTAGGAACGAGAGCCAAAACAGCAGGACAGTGAAGAGCGACGATCCCTCCTAGAATTCCCCCAACAAAAAAAAAAAAAAACATACAACAACCAACGCCCTACCGAACACCGCGACGTGCTCAATGGATAAAAAATTAAAGTAAAAAGAAATTCTGCATTTGCCGCATGGAACGGGAAGAAGATGACACTTACACACAGTTTAATACAGCTATACTCTAACGATAAGCTAAGATCATAGCCAGCATAATCCATTTACCGATAATATTCAAGAATATCTTACAAGAAATGTTGCTCAATGTTTTGCCAGCAAACGGATGAATGGTTGGAATGAGAATCGGGAAGGTTTTACGAATGAAACTCACACTTGGAATATATTTATTTGTAAATCTGTTTTGATAGCAGTTTTTAGTTGTTAAGTAGTAAACTACAATATGCGTAGTATTGTAACTATTTTTCTTAGTCTTTTACGATTTTGTTATGCAAACACAATGCATTCGAAAACCACTCAAAAACATCACAGAAACCACATAAGATAACAAACAAATTTTTGAGATTGAGCGAACCATGAAATCAATTTTGAAAGATAACTTTTAACGAGGCATGAGTTTGGATGCCGCAAAAAAGCATAAAATACAAGCAAAGTAATATACAAATATCGATTGGGAAAATGATAAACAATGAAATGGCATTGACATTGAACTAGTATGTGTATTAGTTGGTAAGTCTCTAAGTTTAAGTTGTAACTTTAGTTGTTTTTGCTATGGCTATCTTCGAGTTTTTAACTACATATGCCGGGGCACGAAGTGTCGTGTTCCTGGCTCTTTTGTTAAAAATGAATGTTGTACATTTTTGAATTCTATATATACATATATAACTATTATTAATGCATATTATATACACGTATGTCTGTAGTTTACTTAATGTACTTTTTGGAAACAGCGCAATGGAAAGCCGTAAATCGAAAGCATAAACGAAAAAAACACACAAAACCGATAAATCCCCCATGAACGCGAGGCAAAAACCCCATTTAATGATGTACATTTCTGAACGTGAATGAAAAAGTAATTAAAATAAAGAAAATTTAAATCAAATTAAAAGGTCTTTAAGTTTGGGAAGGCCAAGCTTTTTCCGGTTTCTGTAGCAGTCAGCTTTTTGTGGGGAACAGAAATTGGTGTGCCAAAGAAAAAACGTTAACAGTTACCTATGTTAACTCAATGTTAAAATGAGCTTGAAAGCTCAATTATAACAGATGCCAAATCAAAATCAAACACTTTTGTGCTAGCAATTTGCTATCATTTATTTATGAAAAACATTTAAATATATATGTTGTAGCTAAAATGATTTACTTAGTTGTGTAGCCTGGAAAAACAACCGTGTAAATGATATTTCTTAGTTGTTGTATAAATTGGAACCCAAGGGAATAGTTTTGTTCTCATTTGGCAAAATATACGGATCCATTTCCGCTCTTTCACGTTCTAGCAGCGTATTTTAAATAGTTGAAACGCTTTAAGTACATACGTTTTGTTTTATATGGTTGAATGACCACAGATCGCAAATAAAATTCGATTTTCTTATTTTAAATTCACTCGCACTCTAAGTCTATGCTACGGGGAGTATATAAATATATATGGGTATATAGGTATATTGTAGTGGTTCGTGTAGAGTAGTGGATAAGTTGTAGAGCTATATGCCTGCATTATGCTATTGGAATACTTGTCGTGATGACCTCACAGAGCGGCTGTTGCAGCATATTCAATATGCTAAATCCTTTTCTGAGTTCCTTGATATATATTATATTATAGGGTATGTAAGTGTAAATTATTGTAGCTAAGATTGGGATTGTTCTGGAGTGTGAACAGAATGTGATGGAAATAAGCGTTTCGTAACTTGTCATTTGGAATCGGACGTCCCTTTCAACTTTTTCACTCATCGCTATAAGCGCTTAAGTATTTGAAATCGGAACTAGAGATCGCAGATCTAAGCTAAGCTTCAAATTTATCTCAAAACTAAAAAAATAACATAGAAAATCTCGCTCACACTTTGTGTTAAATTCATCGAATATAAAACTGTATCTCATTCCTTATTCCCTGCCTAATCCTCTTTATTTTGGTACTCAGTTGGCTGCATTCGCTGTCTCCTCATCGTAGCTGGGATTGCTGAGGAACGGTATGGAGAAGTCCACCATGTTCGGGTAGACCAGAAACTTGTTGACAGCCTCGCACAGTTTGCTCTCGATAACATTGGTAACGATGGACCAGTCGACGGATTTGTCGCCCACCTGGGGCTTAGTGGATATCCACAAGCGAGGCGGTCCGCGGAAACTAACCCACACGCGATCGGATGGCGGTGGCGGTACGTTCAACGTTCCACGGGCCACCATGCCCTTGAGATCCACGCGCAGGGTGATGTTCGCATTCATGTTCTCCATGGCTCGCTGCACGTACGGCAGCTCGGTGGCATATTGAAATAGATTGGAGGCGGCTATGCGATCCACAATCTTGAAGATGCGCCGCGCATTGCCGGGTGAATTCTGGAAGAATCTGTTGGGAAAAATAAAACATAACGTTTAGAGAAGGTTACACGTAAATAATACATTTTCCAATACATACTCCGTTCCGGCTGGATTTTCCTGAGCATTTCCCGGCGGTGGGCTCTCAGATTCGGTGGAGGAACCTCCTGAGCTCTCAGCATCGCTGTCGTAGATGACATTCTCCGAGTTCACATCCGAACGGCTGTGCAGATCCTGCGATTGCTCCGTCGCCATCGAGGTGGTGGGTCCGGTGGTTTCGGTGGCCATCGGTGACTTTGTCTTGCTGCGTATACGCAACAGATTCAGCTTGGTGGTCACTGTGATGTGGGCCAATCCCTCGTAGGTCACATCCGCATCCACCCAAACGCCGCGCTCATCCAGCATCGGCTGGGAGACACGATGACACAATACTGGCGATTGACCCAAGTAAATGTTTGTGATGATGACCTCCTCCATGAAGCTGGGCAGCTATTAAGAATTATAAATTACTAATGATTTCATCTGAGAAAGTTAATTAAAGATCTTACCTTAATTGAATTCAATTTCTTTTGCAATACTTCCTTGATCTTCTCTTGCAGCAGGGCGTCATGTAGCCAGCTGTAAAGGCAGCGACCCATTAGCACATTGGCCCACACAATGCTGCCGGATGGTCCCAGAAAAAGCGACTGGTCAATGCCCTTCCACAACTCATCTTCCTGACGTTTGGCACGGCGAGACTGTAAATAATTAGTAGTTAGTATTCCATTCACTTAAATTTAAAATGAGAATCTAAATAAGATTAAAATAAAAAATAATAAAACATACTTTCTTTGGGCGCCTTTCAACGGAATGCATTGTTCCAACGGAACTTCGGGTAACGGGGATTGATTTCTGGTTGCAAGCCTTCTACCAAAAGCCAATTAGAAATAACAAATAACAAATAATAGTAAATCAAAACTAAAAGACTGCAAATGAAAGGGGAGCTGGCCAGGAGTCATACCTGGTAAACGGCCATGAATCTGACATATTCGGGTGAATTCCGGGCCACATTGGCACTCATTATCATGCCGTCGAAGGTGTCGTCCTTCGGCGTCTCCAATAAATCCTCCTCTGTGATATTCTCGAATTGTCCATCAGGCGTTTGCTGATCCGGCTCATCGATTGCATTTGCTGTAGAGACCTCGTCCTCTGTTTTCCACTATAAATATTTAAATCTAGTTATTATATCATTGGGTTGCATTAGGGATTGTTTACCTTTACGCTACCCGTTCCTTTAGCCATTCCAGAAACCAATTGTAAAGCCTGTTTGGCGGCTGCCGCCTGAAGATCGGTATCCTCCACGAATCGTGCCATGGGCACCTGGAGGTCTTGTTCGTGGACGTGGCCCTTGCTGGCGGCTGTAAAACGGCGATACCAGTCTTCCTTTTCTCGATCACATCTCGAAAAGAGCAGCAAACGCACTTCATCGCCACAGGGGACGGTTATATCGTTGAGCTCCTTGTCCGGATTTACAGTATTTCGTAGTTGCTGTAACTAAATTAAAGGCATTACTTTAAAATTTCATTCCATTGTTATATTTTGTTGAAAACTTACATCTGCCTGCATCACTGTGGCTGCAAAATCCACTGGTTTCTCCTCCTCTGCTCCTGGTGGTGTTGTGCCCGATGAAGATGTAGTTTTGACCTCCTTGGCATCCTGTTTCACCGTTTGGTCCGACTGGCTCTCCACAGAGTTTTGCTCTTCGGGCAGATCCTTGTTGCTTTTGATAATCAGCTGAATGGGATACTTGCGATTGAAGAAACTAAAAGGGGGATTTATTGAATTTATAAAATATGTTAAAATATAAAAATAATGCAATAAATTCACCGCTTATTGGCCAGACCCAAAGGTAGCAACTCGATACGGCAATCCCTGAGATCGTAGGATCTATGATCCGTGAACAAAATCTTGTGACGATCGATTGGCGGCTCGTTCCACATGCGACGCTTGGGTATCCTGGCATTCGTGCCCGACATCTTCAAGATGCAGCCATCCAATCGCACATAGACCGCCCTTGTGAGACTGAAGGAGAACGTATTTGGATCGTAGCTATTGATCTCGTTCATCCAACCCGCGTAGGTCTTGATCGTCTTGTGTTCCTCGACAGCAGGGATTTCGCAAATCGGCATAAACTTATAGTTGGGAATGGCGAAGGTCACTCTCTCCGGGTGAGTGGTTAGCAGGAAGTCCTCGAGCAGGACTCGCAGATGGCCGCCACAACAATCCATCACGGTGAAGAACAGAAGAGTGGCAAAGACTCCGCGCAGAAAATCCGGCACAGGCAGAATCATCAACAGGACGAGAAATATGGAAAGGAGCACTGGAAAGGCAAACGCTGTGGCTCCTTGATGCTTCTCCCGCCACTGGCTAAGACTCATCACACTCCAGCTGGAGAGGAAGCTGTGTTTGCTCCACGAGTCGCGTGGTAATGTCGGCTCCTTGCCAATGAATGAACTGCCAAAGACCAGAGAACTCGCACCCGGCGTTACAGGAAGTGTCAGAGTGGCACGTGATTCTGCATCCACTGCGGCATCTGTATCGTCCTCTGCTCGTTTCTCAGTGGTTTCCCTCGAAGGTTCACTCTGTGCTTCGGTGGCGGGTATCATGTCCTCGAGCACCTCCACACCCGACTCGATCTCCACGTCCTTGCGGGCCAGCAGGATGCCCCGCTTCTTCACCTTGCCACTGACAACGGCGATCTCCGCCTGCTGGCTGGTGGACGGCTCACTGCCCGCTTCCACGACGTTGCGCCTGCGCAGGAATCCCGTTCGCACCGAAGTTGGCTGTACGGAGGTGCCACTGGGACTCACATCCTTCTTGCTCATCGCGGCCGCCGCTTGGTGTTTGGACTTCACCTTGGATCGGATGTGGGCCAAGCCTCGTCTCAGTCGAGACCTTTCCGAGTGGCCAGTGGCCGCTGTTGCTGCCACGTCTCCGCTGCCCAAACTTATGCTATCGAGCTGCAGCAGCTCCGCCTCCACGTCCGAGTCGGAGTTCTGCTTGTGCTCCTGGTCCAAGGGCAGCTCCTCGCTTATCGAGGTGTTCACGGTGAGACACTCGTTGTCCGAATCGGGATCGTTGCTCCAGCCAATCGATGGCGGATCGGCCACTATAATGGGTATGGCTGCCGTGGGTGGCAGCTTCGAGGACTTGATCTCCTCAAGGGTCTGCGTTACCTTGCCTTTAATTAGCCGCCAGGTGCCACCGCCGCTGCTGTGATCGCCAGAGGGGCCAGCCTCCCTGGCTCCCTGGCCGCCGCCTCCGCCTCCTCCTGATCCACCTCCTCCTCCTGCGCTGGCCACCGATAGTGCGGATATGAGACTGGTTCCGCTGGAGGTGGGCGACACACCCTCAATACTGCCAGATCTGAAATTTTGAATTTGTTTTCGTTAGTTTATTGTGTTTTCTGGAAAATCCCATTGATTGTTACGTCAATTTGGAAAGAATATTGGGCAAAAAATTAAAAATCCATCCTCTCATCATTATTATTTGTAGATTATTCTGTGCCACGATTGTATTCTAATACCATAAATTTTTTTATTTGCGAAGTTGAAAGAAAGATCCATGAAAATTACTTCTACGAACAAAACCTAGTTGAGAATAGAATTCTGTATTCAAAGCTAAAGTTAATTTTGCAGTAAAACCAGAGATCACCAGGTTTGCCCAAAAAAGTGTGCTATGAATTTTCCATTGACCAAAGGACCAAAGTTACAAAAGTAAAATTAATCTAAACATCTCGAACAAATTTAAAATCAAATCAATAAGATATTATTTATTTCCTATCTTGCTAGTACTTATTGTATTTAAGATTTGCCAACGCCTTTTTTCCCAAACGCCCCAATCTTAGCGAGAAAAATGAAACATTTCACTTTTGTATTATTCCAGAAAAAGTATTTTTATTTATTTGAATGAAGATATATGTTTTTTTTTGTTGCCATTTATGTTTTATTTACTTGTTCCATAACCTGCATTTTTCCTCAGTGACTGGGAGTGTGTTTATGTGGGGTGTTTTGCGTCATTCCAATTTTATTTCTTTTTTATATAAACACCATTTTCCGGATTTTCGTTTATTGTGAAGCGCTTTAAAAAACGACTTTGGTTTCGAATATACTTTGTGTATAATATAATCCTATATGTATATTTCCCTCAATAGGGGAGCACATATTTGTAATCTTTTATTTTGTATTTTTTTTTTTTTTTTGGATTTAGGGTTTGGTTTTTGTTTGCTTGGTTATCCTTTTTCGGTTTCCTTTGAAATACTGCATTGAAGTACTGCTGATATTTTGGTTTGCTATTACAGTTTCAATTTGTTGAGATTTTTTTTTTGGGGGAGAACTTTTTCGCGTATGAGTCTACTTTATATGTTAGTTTTGGTATTACTTCATTGACTTTTATTTCTATTTATTTTATTTTAGTACATATGTTTAATCTATGGTCTGTTTTAGTTTTGGTTTTCGTAACATTCGTTTTAAACATTTTTCTGGTAATTTAATTCAAAACGCTTCAACATCTGGAGCAAAAACACGCAAGGAAATCGAACTGTTGTTTACAATTAATATGTTAAATCAGTGTTTATCCCTTGATTTTGCGGATTTTAGAAAACTACAAATATTTTTGCTCATTTTTTTTCAACTTTAATTTTGTAAAAATTAAAAAATTACGTTTATTGAAAATGACTATAAAATATGGAATATTTTGCTAGTATCTTGTTTTCATACGCTTCATACAGATTACGTGTCATATATAAATTTATTTGTTTCACTATATAGTTTTCTGCCAACTGGTTTTTCGGTTCACTATTTATATTATTTTTCAGTTTTCAGTTATATTTTCACTTGTATAATGCTAAAAAATTATATGCCTTTGCTTGGTTTGTTTTGGTTTTGTTCTGAATATTTTGCTAAAAGGAATTCATTAGTAAGGGCGCTCAATTTCAGTTTATTCAAAGTACTAAACATTATATATACATATATATATATATATAGACGTAAGTATATGTATAGGCGTATGTCACTCTGTATTTCGCACACACGACCAAAGATAAATTAAAATGGAAGTGCGGGTGCCTAACACTCGCTTTACAGGCTACAATTTCTCAGTATCAATTTGATGTTTTATAAAATTCATTAATTATGTTTAAAAGGTACCGAATGTTGTTTTTAATATTCATTAATAACCTTGTCTTTAGCTGATTTCATTCTATTTTCACGGCGATCTAAGCTTCGATCCAATTAGCGTAAAATTGAAATTGTTTTCACATCGTTTCGGAGCTCATTGGGGTTGAGTCTAAAAAATTTTCTATTTAAAACGCGTTTGGTTTTCTTTCTTTCGCTAGCTACAAAACCATACACTGTACAAAAATTGTGCTATGAAAATACTCAAAAAATAATTAAATTTTTCTCTCAGCACTATCAGTTAAGCGTCCGTCCAACCCGAAACGAGGAGTATTTTCAACCCTATTTGCCAATTTTACATTAGAAGAGTTTTCACTAGCAAAATTAAAATGCAACTAAAATTTGCATAATTCGCTACGCAAGGTTTGGCTTAAGTGAATTTCTCTATTTATTTCGTTTGTCTTGTATTAGCTATTATTTGAAGCATTTATCTGGGGTTCGTCAAAAATATTTACTTATTTAAGTTTTAATTTTATTGAATTGTACTACGTGTAAATTTCATATAATTATGCATTATGTTTTATCATTTTTTTTGGTTGGTATAAAAAACACATATTGACCAATTTGCAGTTTAAATGTTCAGTTAACATATTTAAGACTTTAATAAGTTCGAATTTCAATACTTTTCTTTGCCGAGTCTTTCTTATCGTTTAAGTATTTATTTGTATGTACTAACAGTTTTTGTGTTTCATATTACTTTTTGTTATATTTCTGTGGTTCAGCTAAGTTAAAAGTTTTATTTATTTACAATGTTATAAAAAAGTACATACAAGATATATATAAAAATAAATAAAACACAGTTTACGTTATGTCCGTTTATTAATTTCAAAAACGTTTTTTCATTCATTTTACTTTTTTGTATAAAGTGTATATATCAAATATTGTTTTTGTTTTCTCATATTTTATTAAAAATATGTATATGTATAAAAAGAATAAACAAAGTATAAAAATGTCTCAACGGAGTTGGTTTTTTTAAAACTACCAGGAAACTACTAGCAACTACAAAAGATACAAAAATATATTTAAGAATTAGGCGTACAAATTTTCATTGTCATAATCGGTATAACAACAGGATCCATATAAAAATCAACATAAACATTTATCTATAACAATATCTTCTATAAAACTAAAATTTACCGACTTCTATCCGTAATTCAAGCTCAGATGAAGGGGATAAATTAAATGTCTTTGCTAAATTGTTGTTGCTTATTGGAATACTCAGGGAAACAAAATAAAACAGATTAGAAAACAAAACGGATTGCTTATTGATATAAATATTATATAGCACGCTACACAAGATTCCAGATTCCTACGCCATTAGCAGCAAAAACATTGAGCGGTTTGCCGTAAAGAGTTTATATCTCTATCAACTTTTTTTGGTATAGTAAAATATTTGTTTGATAAGTTACTTCTTTTACAGCACATTTAAAGTTTTTTTTTTAACATTTTCATCAAGTTTTCGTTAAACAGGTAAAGTATAAAGTATATGTTATATAAAAGTATAAAAATCTATAAAATATTAAATTTTACTACATTTAAAAAACACCATCATTACGCACAGTTATCGATAGCCTTTGACCGATTGCCGTTTACCGTTTACCGCTCACCGATTACCGTTTCCGTTTCGTGTTGGCTTTGTAACAGATTTTGCCTTTTTAAAGACTAGCATTTAATTACTTTGAAAGTTTTAGAACAACGCGTTTGCTTACATATTTGCACAAATTGTTTAACACTACATAGAGCAGGCTGCTTTATTTGATATAATATTTAATTGGGCTTGTTGGTTTTCGTTTTGTGTAGATTCTTTCGCTTTTAATACACGTTTCTTCAGTTAATATTTGAAAATAAAAAAATTTTAACGAAAACAAACAAACGTCTCGAGTCCACTAATTAATTAATTTGTTTGCAGTTTAAAAAATATATATGTAGTATATATATGATACATATTCTTTAGTTCATTGTAATATAAAAATTCTAGAAAAATTGCTATAAACTTGTATTTTTTGAAAGTGCCACGCGATCAACTTGAGTTACAACTTAGCATGACTTGAATTTCGTTTTGCTTTTTTTTGTTTGGTTGTCTTGTAAAGAAAGCGCGAGCAAAAATTTGCTAATAGATTTGACTATCGATTAATAATATATTATAGAAGTCCAAAGCAACATGGCCTTTCACATTTTTTAGGTTTATCAATTTGAATTAGATCTTTAGTACTTTTGTTGGTAGTATAGAAAAAATATCGTATTGTTTGCATGCACCGTAGCAAATTTTGTCACGTCCCCTTAACTCGTACAATTTACAAAATATTTTGCTCGTTTTACATTTTGATAATTTTTCGTTAGTATTGCCGTAAGTCTAGATATTCCATTTGATTTTAATAGGATTCAGGGGAGAGAACCATTAGCGAACTTTAAGCCCCGTTCGCATGGCAAAAAATGCATGCCAATTAGTTGAAAGTTGGAGAATCATTTTGGGAATCAGTAATATTTGACTACTTTGGTTATACGATTGCAATTATCTTGTATACTTTATGTTTGTACAAATACATATCTTTTTATAGTTTATATATTTGGTATTTAATAATACGCTTGAATCGTTTACGAAATAGTATTGCACATATGTTGTAAATATTTAAATTTCCTTTAGATGTTTTTAGCATGTCTATTAATCATCGCGTTTTTTGGTTTTTCGATTTTTCTTCAGTTATTTGGACTAAACTAACTTCTGAATAATCATAAGAGTAATAAAAAAAGTTTATACAAAAAGTTTCTATATAAAAAGTTGTCTAATACAAGTATTCATAGTGTTAATATATGTATGTCGTATATAAAAATTGTTTTTTTTTACATTACAGATATATATATATTTTTTTGCATTAATGTATACTTTCTTCTTCATCTTCGGCAGATAAGCCCTCTGTCCCTTAGTCAGCAACACGCCGTAAATTAAATAACGAAAGACAATTGATAAATAAATAAGGCCAAACATTTAACACTTTTGAAGTGAAAACTATTTAAAAAATCATAATACTGAACACAAGCAATTTGACTGTTTCTCTAGGTTTCGATTATTAATATATTCTTTTTTATTTTATGCAATGCCGAACGGCAACAAATGCAAACAAACTTCCAGTGTAAATGTGTGAGTGTGTGTGAGTGTGTGTGTGGTTTGTGTACGTACGTGTGAGAGTCGACTAGATTAAAATTAAAAATGAGCCGTCCGTATAAGGAAAGAAATAACCTTTCGCAGAGTGTGGGCCTTAAACTAATTGATTAGTGTGGTAGGACATTCATTTTTCGCTTTAAGTAACTATCATTCATATTCAGCATAACATGAACAGGGGCATGTGAAAATCGTAGTGGAAGCCACCTTCTGTCAAGGACTAATAAGGAGTTAAAATGGTTTATATGTCTATATCCAGTGTTTAGTTTTGTATAAGCCTCGTACGATTTTCACATGCCCAAAATTAAGTATTTGTTTTAGCAAGAAAGAGTGACGTGTTTGGCAAACAATCCAATATATAGGGCAGATAATATATATGATGCTTCCGATTAGTTAACAAGTAGCGCGTATTCACAAAAAAAAAGAGTGGGATTATAAAGTTCAATAGCAATAGCAACATTTAGAGTTGTTTATAGATATGATATGGTTTACCGATTTCTCACCGAGACACCAAATGTGGCGTAAGAAATAGCTCGCATAAAAATGTCTGACATTCTGCATATTGTCTTTTCAAAAGTCTTTTGTATAAATTTTATAGATTGATCTAATTAGGGAAAGGGATAAACCGATGCTTTTTTGATTAATTTGTTTTTTCACAATTTAGGAACTTAAGGACAGCCCAGGTCCACTCGAGCAAAAAGCCTTTCGAGAGAGGGTGAGCAGCTCACTAATAATTTTAGGACTAGCCTCGATTGGCATACAAGATGGCTCCTAAGTTAGCTAGGTTACAAAAAAAGTGGTTATCATTTATAAGGGGGAACGATTCATAAGCCTTTTGCGAGGATTGTGGCTGACTACGAGGAAGTAAATCTTCCTGCTTGGTTACTATTATCATCTATTTTCTACCTTTTGTTTTGGTGGTCTTTGTGAGATTAAATGGCATCTTTGGGACTTCCCCCTAATCAAATGAACGAAAAAAAAATTGCTATAAAAAATAAAGTACAAAAAATACTGTGCAGGCATTAAACGAAAACAAAACTAAGATTTCGGTTGTACAAAGGTTTAGGCCTGTTGCCTAAAACTAAATAGATTGCCAAATCTAAATAAGGACTAAAACTATGTTGCTTTCTGAGGGCTTTCGATTCTCGTGTTTCTCGCCTCTAGACTTTTAGACTCTGGCGGCTGTTTTTGTTTTTTTTGGGGGGGGTTTCCCGCCTCAATTTCAGCCCCCCAAATGTATTGCAATTGTCTTTTGCTTGTGTGAGTGTATCCATGTGGTGTGTGTGTGTGTCGTCGTCTCTAATAATTGGTTTACTAGACTCTTCGCCAGCGGCGGCTTCTTCTACTACCACCTCCACTGATCCCGATCCCGTTCCTCTTTCCGTTTCCGTTGCCGTTCCTGATCCTGATCCCGTTCCCGATCCTGATGCTTCTGTGATGATTCTGGGCACTGCCAGCGCTGCGTTCAGCCAACGGTGTCGCTGTTCCCTCTGTTGGCGTCTCTCGTCGTGCAGCGCGGCCTACCAGCGCCGCCGTTAACACCAGCGAAAGGGCACAGCACGCGGTCGGTCGGCGCCCTCCTTGACCAGCGGCTTGTGGTACTCGCGTCCCGGCCGCGAATGGATGACGGCCCAGCAGTGCTCGCAGTAGTACTGCAAACAGGTCACGTTGGCGCAGAAGAACGGCGCGAATTTGCCGCCACACCGCTGGCCCTCGCACTCGTCGCACATCTGATCGTCCAGGACGTAGGGCTTCACCTCCACCCGCTTGTCGATGTCGCCGTGCTGCAGCTGCACAAACCTAGCCGAGATGGCCGCTATGTAGCTCTGCTGGTTCGAGAAGGCCACGCGCCCGGCGCCCTTCGGATACTTCAGCTCCGGATCGGTGTCGATTCCGGCATAGCACACGCCACCGTACAACCTATCCATGATCATGGCCAGTTCGAAGGCCTTCAGAGGTCTGGGCACGCCGCCCACGAAGACCGTCTTGCGCGGATCCAGCGACATGGTGGCATCCAGGACATAGTCCGCGTCGGCCAGGCGCCAGGGACGAATCTGCACAGCCTTGTCCTTGATCGTGGGCGAGGAGACGCACAGATACAACTTGTCCTCGTCCGTGATGCACGAATCAATCAGCTGCTGCACACTGCTCTCGTCCTGGAACAGCAGGAAGGCATAGCCCTTGGGCGGGAAGTACGACTTGGACTCGGCCTTGTGCGGCCAATCGACGACCAGAGGACCGAAGCGCCGGAACGAAGTGGTGATCTCATCCTCATCGATATCCGGTGGCAGGCCACCGACGAACACCTTCCTGGAGAAGCGTGCCGTGCCGTCGCCCACATTGCCGCCATTTCCACCTTGGATCGGTGAATGCGGCGAGTGCGGCGAGAGACGCGACGGCGAGCCCATCTTGAGGGCATTCAGGTAGACCGAGGGATCGTTTCCACTCGCCGCAATGGCCATGGCATCCGCTTCACTGAGGTGCTTGGGTCCGCCCATCACGCGCATCCTGTCCTGCATGAGGGCCATGCTGTTGCCGTCGCCACCGTTGCCACCATTGCCGCCGCCCAGCGACATGCCGCGCATGTAATCGCTCAGCGAGTTATCCATGCCGCCATGATGCATCTGCCCGTTTGCCGTCATCATGTTGCCATAGCTGTTGCCCATATAGGGGGCATCGCCGCCGCCGCTGGCTCCTGCCGAGATCATGCCACCAGATCCGCCACCGCCTCCGCCACCTCCGTTTCCAATCGACAGAGTGGGTATGTTCATGTGCCCGCTGCCCATGCCATCCAAGTGGGGATTGCCATAGAGGGCAGTCGGGGAATTTCCCTTGATGGGGAAGGATATGCTGCGACGGTACTTGGGCGACACACCCGACATCTGGGGCGGAATAGGCGAGATGCCGCCGCTGCTGCAGCCCGCCTGCGAACCGTTGTACGGCGATCCTCCGCCACCTCCTCCTCCTCCACCTCCTCCGCCAGGCGATGAGGGACTGTGCGATCCGCCGCCTTCCCTCAGCTGCTGCTGATGGTGATGGTGGTGCAGGGCACTCAGATTCGGCGACAGTTGCTGCTGCAGTTGCTGGTGCTGCTGCTGGTGTTGCTGCTGCTGCTGCTGCTGCAGTTGCTGGAGCTGCTGGGGCGACTTGTTGAGATTGAGATTCGGCAGGCCGCCGCAACTGCAGGAAGAAGGGACAACAAGATGAAGAGGCTTTTACAACATTGGCAATTTTTAGTGGATGATTTTTTTTTTTTTTTTTTTTTTTTTTTTTGGTTTCTGTGATCTGTATAGACTTTTTGCATTATGAAAAAGGAGCAATTTGTTCAAGGATTTGCTTCGGATTCGGTTTAATTCTCGGTACATAATGCAATTAGTTTGGTGTTTTTGCTTAACCCATTGCCGCCCGGCTTTCGGAAATAAAAAATTGTGCAAATAAAACATTTAAGTAAACTGAAATTATTACGGGATGTACATATGTTGTAATCGTCGTTGAAAACTTACAAGAAATCAAATAGTTTGTTACACATTATCGCACAGACACTCACAATCACACACGATAATTTTGAGAAAACTTTTTAAGGAAATGTTAACTTGAAATGTTTTTAATTGTGTGTCTTGTGACCGAATAGCTCGCACTACATTATTTAAATGACCTCACTCATTTTTTTAAATGCTACTTTTGAGAGTTTTCTAAGCCTACTTTTAACATTGAAAAATATAATGAATTTGAAACTACTTTGATTGTTTGAAATATATATTAAACACAAATCTTTACAATACAACATCAAATTTCAGAACTTTTCAAACCCTAAATTGCTCCTTTTTAATATTTCTTTATTCTCGACGTTGCTTTGGTATTATTTGTTATATTGTATATATATATAATTTTCTCGATATTTGTTGTTGTTGCTGGCGGTTGTGGTGTAGGATTGCTGTTGCTGTGGTAAAATGGTGTGGGTGGCATTTGGTGGTGGTGGTGGTTGTGGTGGAACGAGTATTGTTTTTGGTGTTTTTTTTTTTTTTTTTTTTTTGTGGTGGTTTTGGTTCTTTTGCGACACATCCAATCAAAATGAAAATTTCAAGTTACTCTGGCGCTTTGTGGTTTATTTTTGTTTTGGCGAAGGTTTAGCTTTTTATCTTTTGGAAGAGGCGCAGTTATATAGGCACAGCAGTTGAGTATATTTTTGGATTAGTTAGTTCGGTTTTAGCACTGTGCACGCGAGCGATCAAGAGCTTTATATTAATATATCCTTTTTTATTTATTTTGATGATTTTCGATACGAAAATGGGAAATCCAACACTGTTCTTGGCACAACAAAATTCTCGGGGCATCGAACAATTCGCCCAGAATAACAAAACGAAAACCGAAAAAAGGGAAAATCTTCTTCTAAAAAAATACACCAACCAAAAAGAATCGCGCGGCACAGTGGGCGGCAAGGGGTTAATACGAGAGTTCGTTTGAGTACACATGTATGCTAATAGAAAACTAAACTAGTTCAAATGTGTATCAATTCGTTACGTTTATGCTTGTTGTTGTTGTTGTTGTTGCTGCTGCTGCTGCTGTAGGCCAATATTTGTATTTGTGTATGTGAGCCGAGTTGTTTGTTGTTTTGACACGTTCATGCTAATTGATTGGAGCAAATGCAGTGCATGCCCAACTGTAAGGCCACCGAGACATGAAATTGCATGGAAATTTTTAATTTAAAACGTCTCCGACGGAACGGGAATGTCTTGAGGGGTTTGGGTGGTAAATGCGGGGGGGTGTGGCAATGGTATGGGTGATCTGAGGTGGCATCTACTGCCCGATGTTGCTGCTGTGGCTTAATGTGGCTGCTGTGACTCGATGTTGCTGTTGTTGCAGATGATGCCGCTGCTGCTCCTGATGCTGATGATGAAATGTGTGTATAACAAACATGTAGAAACGTGTACAAGTGTAAATAGATAAAAACCAAAAGCAGCAACAACACGGCAGAGTGGGTGGTTGGGTGGTTAGGTGGTTGGTTAAACGGGCGGTGGTAGTGGTGGTGGGGGTGGCAGTCTGAAACCAAATGATAAGAGTCTGAAACGCGTAACAAGAGCAACGGAAAGGCAGCAGCAGCAACATCATCGACACAAGAACGCCGGCGATAACGAGACGACACACCAGGCAGTGTTGAAAAATGCAATTATAAAATGCAATTAGCCCACGGAAACTTAATTAAAAAAGCCAGCGGAAATGAATACAGAGTGCTGCGAAAACGAGGCGACACAATATCGTGAAGAGCGACTGATTGACGGCCAAATTGAAAATCGGACAGCGAGCAAGCGCTCTTTAAGACCCCAAATACGGAATTATAGTATAGACGTGTGTGCATACGATATCAGCTCACGAAAATCAATAAAGCGAATCAGGCGCAATGACGTCAAACGGGAGGAGGTGGCAATAGCTTCTCAGGTAGCAGAATCCCAGCTAGACTTGCCGTTTTTTTTAATATTTAAAACGAAAGAAACGGGGGGGAAAACAGGGGAAATCCCGCCGCAAATGGAAATGGAGAGCAGAGCAGACAAAAACAAAACTTGAGCGAAACGTGGCTCGGCGGTGACGTTGATGTCCCGTTGACGACATTCCCACCCTTCAAAAAAAAAGAAAACCGCCCACTTGCCCAGACGGGGCGGCACTTGAGCTGAAAGTTGCAGACGGGCATAGGCTACAAAAAAAAAAAGAAAAAAAAAACCAAATGAATTCCTACATACATATAATGTTGCATGTAGCAAGGCAGCATAAACAAAGCACCCACCACCGCTCCCGATTCGGATCCTTTAGCTAGTGCACTCCACAGATGCTCCAAACAACAACAACAACAACGAATGAAGTTGGTGACAAAAGCAGGAAAAAAAAAGAAGAAAAACCGTAGACCGTCGGCCGGGCAAGTTTACGGCCATTGGCAGGCGACTGCAGCCGGAGTGCATTAAATATGCACAAGTGGCGCAGGATATACGTATGCAAATACATATATATATATACATATATATAAGCGCATATACAAAATCAAAGTCACAAAACTGCAGCGAAGTAATTCGTTGTAGGGTCAACGGTCAACGAACCTGGGGCCAAAAAAAAAAATGGAACTTTAAGTTGTCACAGGACTTGGTCCGCACGATAAAGTGGTAATCCCAAAGGATTATGGTAATTTAATTTGAAAGCTCAATTGGTTTTTGAGCCAGTATCAGAAAGTAGATCTTTGAGCCATGGGATTTTATTATATAAATCGCAAAAAATAAATAAGATCACTTAAAACATCCCCTGAGAGAAGAGTAATCCCTTTAAATACATAGTAAATTGGGAAATTCGAAACTTTTTTTGAGGGGAACTCCAGGATAAAGAAAAAAAAAGAACACAAGGAAAGACCCTGTAAAAGAATTCAAGCCTGGCTTTCAAGACGAGCTTGAAGCTTCGTGAGTCACTAAACAAATGGTTTTAATGCATGCAATTCCGATGGACTGTGTGGGTTTAACTATGAACATAAACTGTATGTGGGATATGTATTAGCTGGCATGACGCATATGTAGCAACAACAACAATTATGTTACGGCGTACTCTTCTTAACTACACACACTTGAACTATTAGTGTACACACACACACACACACACAAACACACATCATTCCCCCAGGAAAGTGTGTTTAATTAAGGAGTATTAGGATTTTGGCACTCACCTTTTGCGATTGAAGAAGCCTCCGCCTTGCATGAAATTATTGCGCAGAGTTACTTCGTCGTTCTGTGATCAGCATCATCATTATAGTTATAGTCGTGTGCAGTCGTCGTCATTGGCAGAGATGAAAAGAAAAGAACATTTTGAAACAGTGAGTAATAGTGCCAAATGAGTTTTGCAATCGCCAGCGGCACATCTGTTGCAAATTTTGGCAAGTGCTCTGTGTTTGCAGCAGCGGTCACATACTTATGCCGCCCCAAACCACCGAAATAGCCACAATTTGAATGACAAACACACACGCGACGATCGCTGGCAAGCCAACTATCCCGAACTCGAACCCCCAAATCGGGCTGCTAAAAAGTGAAACTACACAGAAATCAAAAAGATAAGTGTTCCACTAATTTGGCCAGGCGAATGCTAATTGGCAAGCCTCCGACAATCAGCGGACAAATGCGGCGCGTTCTCTACAATGTATGCTTAATTTCAACGAGCTTGGGCTCGCGACGGATGAGAATGAATCATAATTTATGGCGGCCTGTTTTGATAAAGAAAGATATGGTGCGGGGAAGGCGGACGGAACGAAAAGTAAACAAAGTATCGAGTTCACTGCCAACCGCGCTAGATTAGACACACATTCGATTCCAGCTGGGTTGTAAGGTTACAAAAGAAAATATGTACTCAATAGTACCTAATAAATACAGACTATTTTGTAGTAAAGACTTCCTACTTTTGAAAGTATTAACCATCTTGTTAATGGTTGAAAAGGACTATGTTATAATACTAATATGCTAATATATTAGCAGAAAACCCTTTGAAGATTCATGAAACAATTTTAATGTTTCCCAAAACCAAATGGAGCTCGTTTCTTGGTAGCTGTACTTACGCCGAAAAGGGAAGCGGATCCTTGCATCTGTGGCTGTGATGGGCTGCTTGAGAGGGAATCGCAGGCGCCCACCACCATTCCGGTGTTGAGACCCAGGCCGTTGTTCTTCATCCCGAGGAGATTCGATGTGGGCGAGGCGTCTCCCCCGCCACTCGCTCCGCCACTGGGACTGTGCTTGCTGTGGTGGAAGGACTGCAGGATGTCGTCGAGGGACTCCTCGTTGGCATTAAATCGCACCGTGATCGGGGTGCTGCTGCTCAGGCCGGGTGGCGATTTTGGGGCACCGGAGAGGAGGCCTCCTGCCGCATTTCCCGAAGATGTGGGCGATGTGGCTGCGGATGCGGACGCGGATGTCGAACCGGATAGGTTGCTATTGCTGCCGCTGGCACTACTGGTGGCACTATTGGCTGTAGAATTAAAAAATACCTAATTAGTTGTCATTAATCAAAAGACATTTGGTGGTTCATGGTCATGAAAAGAGTCATACTAAAACTGGTTAATCTTTTTTAAGTAAACAAGTTGGATTTGTTTCTCTTATCACGTTAATGATACTGAAATCGATTTTTAATCAGCTAGATTAAAACCAAGCAAGGATATCTTATCAATATTGATTTGGCTATTATATTTTCTATCGGGTTAACATTGCTATAAATATTTATTTTAAATAAATAATCAACTTTTATTGAATACTTTTTTGTATCTTATTTATGTATATATTCTTTTTATATTATCAAATTTATAATGATTAACTGACATTGATTTTCAGCCATTAGTTTGACAATCGAAAGAAGAAGATGGGAACGTGAAGAGTCAAAACAATTCTTTCAACATCATCAACAATGACACCTTGTGATTTCCAAATTTCCATTCGAGTGAGTCGAGTTCCCCGGAGTCGTGTGCCAACGCCCCCATATCATTTCGACTGTGGACACTTACCCTTTGGTAACTTGAGCGAGTCCATGGTGCCCGCACCAACGCTTTCTACGGCTGCACTTGGGCGGCTCCGCTGCGCCTCAGTTCCGCTGCTGCCCTAGATGCCCTGCTCGGGAAATGGGAAAAGGGGAAAATTGGGGCAAATTGTGGAAATTGGAAACGTGGAGTCGCAATCGAAATCCGAGTGTCCAAAACATCAATCAGCGGCACATGAAAAGATAGTGAAAGAGAAAGGCCAAACGTTAGATAGGTATATACAAAGCTAGCCAGACGACAGGCGATATGTTGATCATATTTTGGCCTGAACACTTGCTGTTTTCGAAATGTCAGCGTCATGCGTTCGTTGGGAAAACGAGCCCCCCTCCACCCCTTTTCCCCCATAGCACTCCCCGTTATCGCAGCACAAGACCCGCACGTAATTGCGTTTAAAAATAAATAAATCGTACGGGGAAAAGCGAAAAAGCACCAGTGGCAGCAACAACAAAACAGCGGCAGCAATAGCTATTTGACATTAATTTTTATTTTCCTATTTTTAAAACCCTTAATACATTTTTGCCGCTGACCGTTTGGCCGATTGTCGCCAGCTCATCAGAAATTTATTTCCCCCGAAAATGTTGCCATTTCATTGCGAATGTTAAACGTGGTGCGAATTTCCAGATTTAATAATGTAAATCTCAATGAACTTGAGAATTCGATGGAGCAGTTGTATTAGCAATTAATTTTTTTAATTGCTCAATGTCAAGACATCAGTTATTTCATTAAGGTAACGTTTGACCCAGCTTAAATTTGTATGTTTCGTATTTCCATTACCAAATTCCCAAAATCAATATTTCTCAAGCGAAGAAACACTTTATTCAAATTTGGATTTTTATTCTTTAGTAAATGTTAGTCTGCAAAGAGGGGATTGGTAATTGCGTTTCTATTTGATGGAGCCACTTTTATGGCCAACAAAAATTTCACTATCTATTCGCCTTATATCGGGTTAACAACGGAAAGGCCACGATAAAATGGGTCACAAAATGTGCAATGCGTGTTGTGGGAGCGACAACAACATCAAAAAGAGAAAAACAATAGAACCAAACAGCAATCAATCATATTATTGATAAAAGGCAACTTGGCAAGCGACAGCACTAAAATAACAAGTGCTATTCTAAACTTTTGCTTTTCGTATTTTGAGCATGAGTAATAAATGTGTGTAGATATGGTCTGATAATGGGGTAAGCGGGTCTAAATTGGTAGCGCTATTCAAGCGAAAAACCTCCTGGTGGGGGATTACAATTGATCGCTTTTCCAATTACAAAAGCCACCCCCGAGGGCGAACGGTTTTCAGAGCCCGCTGCTCCCGATGTCGGTCAAATATGCTACCCATTTTGCATATAATATATATATAGCATCTATACACTGAGAAAAAATTATCTATGTTAGTCTTAGACAACGAACAGTTTGGAGAAACAATGTAAGCCATTGGTCAAATATTACAAATGTCAATTTATGAAGTATGTGATCCTAATAAAATCAAAAGTCATTTATTTACTTTCTTCAGAGGAGCTGGAGTTGCAAAGCCTTTTGTACTTCTTTAGAGTATTTTTATTCGGAGTTAATAAAATTCAAATGTTTGTCAGTGTACTCAAAATATCCAATTTCTAAAGCTTCTCGTCCGTCCCTGGACACGCACTTCATTTTGGGCTGAGCGACCGGAAAACGTCTATTGTTTGGAAAAAGGGGGAGGCCAGTTGGGCAGGGGCTCTTAATTAGTTAAATGCAGAGAGACAACGAAATCGTTGTGCCAATGAAATGGCTCACTCGGGCATGAAAAACCGACCGCAGGTGCCCCGCACTTCTCCGGTTTGAAGAGCCCCTGGGCAAAAGGAAAATAAAACTGGCATAATCAATACATAATTTTGCCCTACAAACGAGACGAGAAGCGACCCCCAAAAAATGGCCGAAGAAGAAACGACGACGACGACGACGCATAGCAATAACAACAAAGACAGTAACGCCCCCATGGAGCACACACAGACACACACCAGGGAACACTCGCTCGCACACCGACGAACACACGCACACTTGAAAAGTAAACAAGTGTAATGTGCCGCCAAAAGCATGCTTTTTGCACAGACTGCTTGGCTCAGCTTCAAGAGAGCGTTCGGATCAGGGATGGGGTATTTTTGGGGTTTCTTTTTGGGGCCTGTCACGAAAAGCACGAAGAAACCCCGAAAGGATAACAGCCAAGAATTTAAAAAGAATTTATGCATTTATCTGACTTTTATATACATATATGACACAACTAATCTATTGATAAAAATTAAAAACAATTTTTAGATTGATATTTTTATCGACTTTTGTTGAGTCAAAGGCACTTCACTAAACTCGCAAAGAGAATAAATTAAGTTAATTAAATGTATTTGCTTAATTAAGGCTATTCAGATTTACTTTAATTTATTAAAACATTTAGCACGGTATCAATGGAAATTCGTTGGTTTACACATTTCAACAAATTTGCAGACCGACCTTTATGGCTTTTTTTAGAAAAATTCAAAACCTTTTCACTGGAAAGACGGGGTTGCCAGTTTTGAATGTATCTAAGCACAGCTGGGGCCTTTGAATATAAATACTAAAGACTTTTTGGTGGTAATGCTTAAAAGTGAGTGAAAGAAAGCCATTAAAACCAACCCCGCAATATTACCAAGTGTTAATTTAAAAACCAGTTATTATACCTGCCACCCCCAAAACCGTTACTTGTTTACCAACTTTAGAACTTTGAATCTGAGAAAAGTTGAAGAGCCGCTCATCCCTGGATGACATGCATTTGTATCTGCATCTTTAGTTACGAGTGTGTGTGCAAACAAATTTGGTTAAAAACTCTTGGCAAATGAAGTTTGTTTTTGTTTGTCATGCTACTACTGCTGTTTTTTTTCTTGGTTTTAACCACCCCATACTTTTTATGCTGTGTGTGCACTTCTATTATCACGTCTGCAATTAGAGCCAAAGTAACTGAGTAACTGGGCCAAGTTGCAGCTTTCAGCCAGCTTTTCTCGCGCTTGCTTCAATTTAACGGGGTTGGAGATTTTTTAGGGGTTTATTGCGGCGTTTGCTTTGCTCCACCGATTCGTTGCCGTATTTGCCAGTTGCCCCAGTTCCAATTGGTTACGTACACACTCTTGCACACAAACACACGCACACACATAATATACACACGCGCTAACGGTAGATAATGCCAGCCCTGGATGAAAACTGGGGCAAATAAGACAGAATTTTAAATAGGATTTTTGACAGGTGCACTGAGAAGCGGAAAACTAACCTTTTGCTGCGTTTTTCTTTTTTTGTTTTAAATGCCGAGAGCAGGCGCACGAAGGTGGACACACGACGAAAACTTTCAGGTGCAAGTTTTTCACTGCGTCTGTGTGCGTGTTACATTTCCGGGGGTGCACACTCACACACGCACAGCTTGTGACGTACGAAAATTCCTTTGCAAACGGCTCTCTCCCCAATAACGGTAACTCGCTTAGCACAGCACTAATTCAGCATATTAACCCGTAATTTTGTTATAAAACAAATTAGATATTTACACTTGAACACTTTGCTTTTAAATTTATATTCCAAATTATTTGTGGGCCCTTGCGTGTTTTTTTTTTCTTTTCCTGATTTTCCCGAGCTGCGGTCCCTTCCGCTCGTCAGCAACGACTGTGATACAAAAAGTTTTCACTACTGTCCGCTTTTCCGCGAAGCTGCCGTTCGCCTACTTTTCCCGACGACGCACGACGAAAAATCAATCATTCTCGCTTGTTTTGCTTTCGTGCGGTGTTCCGTGCTGTGCTTTTCGCCCGCCCCCCTTTTTCACACCCCCTCTTACAACAACAGCTGCTTTGGACGCTGCAGTGGCGACGGCGCAGTGTGGCCATGTAATCTCCGATTAATCGATATATCGATAACTTTACATGTCACTCGTAATTAGCTAGAAAAATAAATAATGCCCTCGAATGTTGTAACAATTAAGTTAAGCACTGCACTTAGGAGCAATTAAACATGGCTAGGCATTACATAAAGCAACGTGCTATCTGGCAACGCCACAGCTGTTTTCAAAGAATCAACAACAAAGGATGGCCAAAAAACAAGCGAATTACATAAATCTTCATTACTTACAATAACACAGCTTCAATCCGAGGGGTATTTGTTTATCTCCTTGTTCTTTTGCCAGCTGCTCACACACACACACACGCACACTCATGGGACACACGAGCTGCGAATTTGTTATTACTTTTGTTGTTCTCCTCTGCAATCCGTTTTGTTTTCTGTAGAGTTTATTATTACACAAAATCAGTTGTCTAGAAAATGCGAAACCACAAAATATACGCGCACAGTGTCTAGCTTTAAATTATCTTAACAAAAATATCTTCATTTTTTTGTTATTTTTTGCGTGTGTGATATTTTCTACAAATTTTTCTACTGAGAGAAGAGAACGAAAGCTAACCAGACAAGCACACGGACGAGAATCAGAATTTCATCGAGTTTCGTCGCCTGCTGCGCGGTGGAGCTTATTTTTTATGTGTTTCAAGCGATGGATACCCATTAGTTGATGGTTTCCCAAAAAATAAGGCGCCAAATAACTTTCTAGGTATAAAGTTTCCCACTAAGACTGAAAATATACCTTAATCTTTGATTCTAAAAGGAAATCTCTTTTTAATAACAACACATAATTGTAAATTAATGAAACTAATTCCCTGCTTTGAGCTTATTTATAGTCTCTAAAATACCCTACCTTGATAACCCGATGGTAAAATTATCGATGGACCATAATCAGCTGACTGAAGAGTGCTGTAAAACTCTGGCAAAAATTGCGCGGATTTTTTAAATGTATGTGAATATAAAAACAAAACGTTTTCTGCCGAAGATAAGTATTAAAACATAAAGTAATCAGTTGGGCCTTGTTGATTAGTAGGTTTGTTTACGTTCTCTTCGACTCACAAAAAGCTTAAGCTCAAGATTGTGCTTGGGTAATTCCCAAGTCTTTTTATACGGTTTAATTTGCCTCTCTTTTTTTATAGATTCACAGATACTGGCAAGCGATTGGTACACTAAGAAATGCTTCTGCATACAAGCAAAACAAAAAATAAAAAACCATTTAAGATCACTTTATTTTTTCTTGTATTATTTGAGATATAGTTTTTAAACTTACAAATAATTTTAAAAAGTTTAACCATCTTTTTTAAACTATCAGCTTTAACATACACATTTGTAAACAAATTAATAAAATCGTTTTAAATTATGGCTTTTGTTATCATAATAACTTATTTTGATCGCACTATATTGTGTTGTGTTTATGATTTTAGCGCAGTGTGATACAAACAAACAAATCACCGACCGGTTCTTGATAAGCTTCTCGGCTTCTCAAGCTCGACTTGTCTGACCGCTCATCACAGTCGTATTCTTTATTCCCACAATGGCGGATGCATCGCGCTTCATTGCCTGGAGCTGCTGCCTCCATCTGCTTCTCCTTGTTCTTGGTGTCCAGGGATACGAGGTGACAAAAGCTAAGATTGAGGTTTTCTACCCCAAGGGATTCGAGGTCTCCATTCCCGACGAGGAAGGCATCTCTCTATTCGCCTTTCATGGCAAACTGAACGAGGAAATGGATGGTTTGGAGGCGGGCACCTGGGCTCGTGATATTGTTAAGGCGAAAAATGGACGGTGGACCTTCCGGGATCGGACAACGGCTTTGAAACCCGGCGATACGCTGTACTACTGGACGTACGTTATCTACAACGGACTGGGTTATCGCGAGGATGACGGGTCGTATGTGGTCAATAGCTACAGTGGTAATAGCACCTCGGTGAGCACCCCTCGCACTCCGGTAGCCCCCGTAGTAACCACCCCCTGGACTCCGCCTGCCGATCCGGATATCGACATTAGGGTGGGCTGTACCACCCCCAAAACCGAGGTCAATGGAGCACCCACTCGTTGCGCCGGTCAGTTGGTCTTCGTGGATGAGTTTAATGGCGCACGGCTGGATCCCAATAAATGGAAGGCGGAGCGGAGATTTTCCGGACAACCCGATTACGAGTTCAATGTCTATGTGGACGATGCTCCCGATACCTTGTGCTTGACCAACGGCCATGTGGCTCTAGCCACAAACACTATGAAAAAGCACTTCCACAAGGGATCAGATGCCAGACTGGACTTGGGTGAAACGTGCACGGGAGTGGCTTATACCCACGACTGTGTTCGCGATGGCAGGACTATGAATGATGGCCTGCCGCCGATGGTCACTGCTCAGTTCTCCTCCAAAGCGTTCTCCTTCAAATACGGTCGTGTTGAGGTCAGAGCCAAAATGCCGCGGGCGCAGTGGGTGACCCCGCAAATCTGGCTGCAACCGAAGTATCCTATGTACGGAGTTGATGACTACAAGTCGGGGCAACTCAGGATTGCCTACACCCGTCCGAATGGAGCTAATCTAGATCTGCATGCCGCCGCCATTCTCTTCGCAGATGAGCCCCTGCGATCCGTGATGAGCTGCTTAAAACCGGGCACTGGTAATACTTCCGAGGACTGGAGCGATAGTTTCCACAACTACACCCTGGAATGGACTCCTCGGGAGCTTCGGTGGTTTGTGGACGGCAAGGAGTGGTGCACCAAAGGCAGTGATACGGGAGCTTTCAGTGAGACAACAGCCGCCGGAAAAAGGTTGCCACAGGCCCAGAAACTTGAGGAGGGCTCTGGTCTGGCGCCCTTCGATCAGGAGTTCTATCTGACCTTCGGACTCAGCGTTGGTGGCTTTAATGAGTACCAGCACGAGGTGAAACCCTGGAACGAGAGGGCCCCGCAGGCTCAGAAAGCCTTTTGGAAGGATGTCAAGAAGAATCGGGATCACTGGCTGGACGAGGGGCACTTCAAGATCGACTACGTCAAAGTGTATTCTTTGTAATATTTCAAAATCACAAATACATCATAATACTCGTACATTGTAATTCCAATTAAAATAGAATTTGTTTTACTCACGAGTTTTAGGTAAAACAATTCCTTTGCCTTTTTATTATGTTAACCTTATTGAATTTTTTTCGAACAATAATTTGAAGAAATATTTATATTAAACATTTAAAAAGCGGAGCTCTCAATTCTTTGGTATTTTTACGTTACTTTTTTAAAACCACTTTGGTATTTTTAGGCATGGCAGTGCCTCTCAACCAAAATAGTGTTCGATCTAGCCCTGGCTGGTTATCGATAACCAACTGCTCACATAACCTGCTGCGGCCTCACGGAATTTATTTTGTCACCAGAAAACCGCAAGTAAATAGAATATTATTGCTATTTACACAAATCGCTTACATAAACCTTGACTTCCTGATTGTAGACACCAAAAAGATGCACATCACACGCCTAGCCCTTCGCCAGATTTCGCGGCAAGTGCAATTGCATCGCATGTACAGTGCAGCGGCCCCGGCTGCCGCAGTTGGTGGAGCTGAAAAACTTGTGCCTCCAACGCCGGAAGGAGTGGCTAAGCCACCCAATCCCAAATTGGACTCCATCGTCAACAACATCGCCGCCCTCAATCTGCTAGAGGTCGCCGAACTGAGCACGCTGCTCAAACAGAAACTGAACCTGCCCGAGACCGCATTTGCTCCCCAGTTTGCTGCTGGACCGGCACGTGCTGCTCCCGCCGAGGATGAGGAGGAAGCGGCGCCCAAGAAGGTTCAGACCTCCTTCAAAGTAAAGCTGGTGAAGTTCGACGAGAAGCAGAAGGTGGCGCTGATTAAGGAGGTGAAGAACCTGCTTGAGGGCATGAACCTCGTCCAAGCCAAGAAATTCGTGGAGAGCGCGCCGACTATCGTCAAGGAGGACATCCCCAAGGAGGAGGCCGAGAAGCTTAAGGAGGCGCTAGCAAAGGCGGGTGCCATCATCGAAATCGAGTAGGATCGCCGTCAGGACAGTTGTTTCCCTTTTGTGCGTTTAGCTGCTAGTTACTGTTTTAATAAAAAGCCAGGCAACATTTGCTGTTAACTTAGTAATTTGTTTATTTAAAGAAGGTGACTTAAAATAGTACTCCCTGTTACGACGATTCATGAAACGAATCACCTTGTTTGCGACCAACAGTTCGTTATCCGTATAACAAATTAACTTTTTTTTTAAATAGCAACTCAAAAATATAATTTTTTTGTGTTTTTACTGGCACAAAAAAAGGAAATAGAAATATAATATTATAATTAACTTCAGGTCTGCTTTGTTACAAAAATTTGCTTTTGTATATATGTATTTATTTTTAATACCGGTGTTTTAAAAATATTTTAAAATTTCGGCAAGAAATACATTTTAGCTAGTGGAAGTAGTTTTAAAAAAGAAGTCATTTGTGTAATAAAAAAACAAATTGGCGTACTTTTCTATCATAAAAACTCTTAAACATTTTTTTAATGTTTTAATAACAAAAAATATTGTTATTAGAATCTTGATTAAATTCAAAAAGCTCTTTTAAGTTCATTCGAAATATTTTAAACATTCAACATGTACCGTTAGTTAATAGTGTTTTAACAGAAATTATGATAACATAGATCGCTTCACAGTTGGCAACGCGGCAGAGCACTTGCAACTTTCTACGCATCGCCCTGGAAAACAATCAAGTCATCCACTTTTACCTTCCTTCTGGGATGAAACATTAATTAGAGGCCCGAATAGTCGCCGATTAGTGATATCCTGCTAATTGGCGTCGTGTGTAAATGCAGCAAACCAGATCGATCAGCAAATGAGTCAAAAACACGCGCCAAACTCAACTCGATTGTACAGTTACATCATCTGTAAGCGGATCGATCACAATGGCCACCAGTTTTCGATTTTATTTATAGCCATTAAAACTGGCTCGAGCGGAAAGAAGATGCTAGACATTAGGTTTACATACCGGAGAGAAGAGCAAACAGACGGACACTTTCTTTTATCCCATTTTTTTGGGGAATCATGCGGCGCTGCACGCGTGCGCAGACCGCCAAATTGGATATCAGTAGTGCGCAGTGACAGGCACTTCTTTTTATCACTTTCCTCGCCCAGAAATCGGTTTGTTGTCGTCGAGAAGCGGTACGCGTAAATTCTGGTAACGAATAAAGCCAATAAGAGTCAGAAGCCGAGCATTTCCCATGCGTGAGTGCTCCACATTCTCTCCCAAACAGGTGAAATAAGCCCCACACGATTTGCGGACAGGTGTGGATCAAGGCTCTTAGATGGGGTGAAATTCAATTAACTTAAATTCTTAAATGATTTGAATTTGCCAAAGTTAAAACTTTAAGATCCTGTATTCCGAAAACTTAAATGTTTTAAGGCTTACTATATTTTGTAAGAGTTGAAATATGCACCAATTTTATAAGAATCGAACTCTAGTGTTTGATTAATATTAGTTATAATTCCAAATATTAAGAAATGGAATTAATTTTCTATAATATGTAAAGCTTTATTCTGATCATGGTTTCTGATCACCGAAACGTCTCCTAAATTTTGATGGCAAACTGATACAAAAATACTGATATGGCTCATAAAAACGGAACATGCAATTCCGGGAACCCTAGCCGTCCCTGGATTTGGTGCATGGTTGTCGGGTTCTCTCAATTAGCACCTGAGCACCCCACTGGCCCACTCGCCAACAGAATCTGCCCCCAAAACTCGGGTCTCCAGCGGCTCAGTCTCCATTGTGTCACAAACGCGAGCGGACGTCTCTCTCGATCGGTAGCCAATCCGTTGCAGCAGCTATAGCCCCATAGCTTCACCGAGTGAAAACCGAAAGTGATCCGTACGAGAACCGATTATCATGTCTGCCGGTGGCCGTTCCTCGCAGCTTCTGGCCCTCGTGGCCATCTTCTTCAGCAGCTATATAGTGGGCATTTACAGTGCGGCACGTGCCAGTAGCTTAGCCATAACGTCGCAATCGAAAGTTAATGGAAGCCAGATCCTAGGAAACGGAACCTGGATACCGGGGAATGATACTTATTTGGAGGCAGAGGAGGATTCCAGCTTGGCCCGCAATGGGACGCGACATCCTCGCTGTAAGTTTAGATTCCATAACAGGTGACTCTTTCAAAGATCCGACCGGATGAATGCCGGTGGTCTGTTTTTCCGTCTTGCTGGAGGAATGTGGGTCAGGCCTCAATTATCACCCTCTGTGCATGTACCGCAGGTGGACTCTTTAGTCTTAGCTGTTTCCGCACTCCACAAACATCATTGGGTGCGCGGAAAGCGGTTCCATTTGCGCATTGCATTTTTTGATTAAACAGTGGAACCTCCTTAAGTTGAATTTCGCACGGCTCGAAGTTTTAAAGATAAGGAAAACACATTGCATAAAAGCTCAGCATAATAATTTAAATGATTTTCATAGTTTTCTGTGTGCCATTATTCGAGAAGTTTTCGAAATTAAATTTATTAATTTTCCTCCAAAATGTTGTGACAAAGATTCACATTTCGATCAGCTTATTTAACATCTCCAAAACATATTTCGAAGCACTACTGTAAAGAGTACTTAGTTATCTCCTAAGGTTTTATGATATTTGCCCAAGGGCTGATAATAAGTTCGAGGAAAATTACAATTTCCGCCTCCACCCTCACGGTTGTAGATTTCCCAAACCATGAGATTTCAATAACAACTTCTTCGTTTTTAGGGTTTCCTTTCTACACAATTGGCCGCTTCTCCAACGATATCTGCACGGGCAACAATCTGCTCCTGGGAACCTGTGTAATCAACGGAGAGTGTACAGACAACAGTGGAGTGGCGGCGGGCAGCTGCTCCTCCATTACAGCTCAAGCCATTTGCTGCATTTGTAAGTATTTTCAGATTACACAACATATAATCAAATACTAATTCGTTATATTTCCCTAAAGATCAAAGGACATGTGGAGCCAGCACAACGTACAACAACACGTACTTCTACAACAGCAATTATCCGGCTCCTTATGCAGGTGGCGGTCGCTGTTCTATAGTAGTTACCCCGCCGGATTCGACGATCTGCCAGCTGCGAGTGGACTTCCTCTCCCTTTCGCTGGCTCCGCCGACAGGCGATGGATCCTGTTCCACCGATGCTCTGACCATCACCGGGGGAGCCTCGCAGGTGCCCACCATCTGCGGTGAGAACTCAGGACAGCATGTTTATGTGGACTTCAACGGCGTGAATCCGATCACCATCTCTGTGGCCACTTCCGGAGGCTATACATTCAACCGCAACTGGCAGTTCCAGATAAGAATGCTGGGTTGCTCCTCAGCCACTTTGGCTCCCGCCGGATGTCTTCAGTACTATATGCCCAGTAGTGGCACCTTGGCCAGCTTTAACTACGTTTCGGCTGCTTCCTCGGCCCTGAATTCGATTGGAGTGCAGGGAACCAGGCAGCTGGCGAACACAAACTACGGAATATGCATCCGCAAGGCGGCGGGAATGTGCTCCATCACCTACAGCCAGGTCAGCTCCGATACGTACTCATTCACACTCACAAACGATGTGGGCGCCGTGGATCCAACTCTGCTGGCCACCTCCTCCGTTCAGAGTCAGGATTGCACCACGGACTATTTAGTTATTCCGGTGCCGACGCAGGGCGGCGTTTCGATGCCCAGCGATCGGTTTTGTGGACTCGGTCTGGTGTCCACGACCACGTCGGCAAAGCCTTTTGTGGTCTACACAGTAACAGATGGAAATGAGGACATGGATATATCGAATCGCGGCTTCTATTTGTCGTATTCGCAAAACGCGTGTCCCATTCTGTAAATATGGTATACAAAAAAGACTTGATTATGATAGCTTAAAATAAATGATTAAATATTTATTGGAAGAAATAATTGGGTTTCCTTTCTAATCGATAAATGGTTAAGAAACTATAGTTTAGAAACTATAAAAACAACATACCAATACTATTTCCAATCCCAGCCAATACTTATAGTTTGTTTTCAATGTTTCGTGAAAGTAGCAATTAGCAAAAATGATCTAATGGGAATTTAATCGTGTTCGAAGAAAACAAATATGTATTATTTTGCGGTTTTCTGTGACAAAAGAGTTAGCAGTTTAAAACGGAAATGTCCGGTCTTGGAAACAAACATCAAAATTTTCCGAAAAAAAATAGTAACTTATTTACTCATTAATCTCTTAAGGTACAAGTGTTTTTAATAAGTACGGCAGTCTTTAATTCTAAAACAAACAAACGACTTAGTCGTTTATGTAACAACATAGGTTTTATCTAAATTGATCAGGTAAACTACACATAGGGATCACGCTGACAGTCTTATGAGGCTGTTAATTTCCGCCTCAAGTTCTTTAACCTGCAATAAGGAAATATATAAGTATTTTTATAGATATCAATAATATTGCTCTTTCACCTTATTTTCGAAATGCATTTTCACAGTTTTGTCAGCCATCAGCTGGAAGGCTTCATTGTCTAAACGCATTCGGTACCGCTGCAGCTCATTTACTAGTTTCTTGAGTTTCTTTGTGTTGGCCAGCTTCATCTCGTTTCGTTTATCCGATGCTACAGCCAATCCATCACTGACCTTTAAGCCAAAAGAACAGAGTGCTCCCGCCGTGGAAAAGAAGCTGAGTTGCTTGGAAATATTTGAGGTATCATCGAGCAGTTCTAGTTCCACGCCGTCGCAACGGGTGAGCACTTGAATTTGGGGCAGGTGGCGACGAAGAACGCCTTCCGAATCCGAGTTCTGAGCAAACAAACTGAGGCGCGGCTGGTGTCGCTTGCTAATCTCATTGCGACTCTTCACCTGCCGAACGTTTTGGCATATGCTCACTATTTCGTTGACCTCTTCCTCCAGTTTGGCATCCTGGTAGTCGGACAGCTTAAGCTCAATGTTGAGCGGTACATGTTGCAGCAGTTCAGAAGCCACAAAGGGAGTAAATGGAGCCATGGCCTGCAAGCCCCAGCTGAGACAAGCAGTCAGGGTGCCGACATGGATGTAGGCATTGGCAGTGCGATTTGATATTGCCGATTTGGTAGTTTCCTATGGATAAGCAACACTGGATTTAGAGGAAATAGATTAACTTTAAACTAGTAAAACACTCACCAAGTAAATATCACAGAGATTTTGGTAGAAAAAGTTTTTCAAGGCTGCTGTAGCCAAATGGAAATTGTAGTTGTTGTAGCTCTGCGAGCAAATAGACAAAGTTTCCGCTAATCGGCCAATGATCCAGCGATCCCACATGCCCAAATTGACACCTTCCAAAGTTTCGAACTGTTGCAGCGAGATTCCTAATCCCTTAGCTGAACCCAAGGTAAAGCGCATCGCTTGCCAGATTTTGTTCAAAAACAGCTTGTTAGTGTAACAGGCATTTACATCGAAGCTGATGAAGTGGCTCTTAATGTTATGGCTCATCAGAGTGAAGCGCAGTGCATCAGTGCCGCATTCTTGAATTCCATTGGGAAACATCTTGGTCATTCCAGCTGTGGAGGTTTTAAGCTCTGCGGGTTTAATAATGCCGGCCTCGCAGGATTGCTCCAGACCAGCTTTCAAGCTCTGCGGAGATTATTCAAAATTACTTTACTATTAAAACCAGGAAATGCAGGTCTTACTTCCAAGCTTGCGCCCTGAACCACTTGTTGGGGAGCCACTATGTTGCCCAGACTCTTGGACATCTTTCTGCCCTGAGCATCGCACACAATGCCGTTCAAAAGTATTCTCTGGAACGGTGCCTCGCCGGTCAGTTTTAAGCCCATCATCATCATGCGCGCCACCCAAAAGAAGAGTATATCGTGACCAGTCTGCATCAAGTCCAAAGGATACTTCTCCTTGTAACCCTCGTCCGGCCAGCCAGCCGTGGAAAACGGAAGCAGCGACGAGGAAAACCAAGTGTCCAACACATCCTGATCACGTTTTAGCGTAAATTCCTCACTTCCCACTAACTGGATAGCTTTTTGCTTGGCTAATGTTTCACTTGTTGCGGCCACCCATTGGCTGTTACCCTTGGAGTCAATCACTTCGTAAGCAGGCACCTGATGGCCCCACCACAACTGCCGGGAAATGCACCAGTCGCGGGTGTCCTGCAGCCAGCGTTCCCACTCCGTCTCAAAGCTTGCAGGTTGTATCTGCAGCCGACCACTGTGAAGTTCAGATAGCGCATCCTTGGCCAGGTCCTTGCACTTGAGAAACCACTGAGGCAAGACCATATACTCGATAACATCCTTGGAGCGCGAGCAGATCGGTAATTGCATGCTGTGGGAGCGCACTTGGCGCAGCAGTTCCATTTCCTCCAGTCGGTTCACGATTAAGTCTCGTGCTTCAAAACGCGGTTTGCCTTTGAACTCGGAATAAGCTTCTAGCACATGACCCGCTTCGTTGAACACCTGTCGGGCTTCCAGTTTATGGCGATTAGCCAGCTCAAAGTCGAATTTATCATGGGCAGGGGTGATCTTCACCGCTCCCGTTCCAAATTCCTGGTCCACGGCAATATCAAAAACGAGCGGAATGGTGTCGTGACGGAAGGGATGTTTAAGTTTCACTTCTTCAAAATTCCTATACTTGCTGTAGCGAGGATCAAGTGGATGTACAGCCACAGCTACATCTCCCAATATAGTTTCAGGTCTCGTAGTTGACACAACAATCTCCTCAACCGAACCATCAGGAAGGGTTTCGCCATCCACAATGCGATAAGCAAAATCGTAGATTCTACCAAAAAGCACATTTTGTTCGTAGCCCGGAACGGCTATCTCCACAGGTTCCTTAATGTCCATGAGATCCACCTCGATATCAGAGATGGCGGAGCGCAGAGTGGTTGACCAGTTGACCAACGAGTTGCGTCGGCGGATGAGACCCTCATCGAAAAGTCTTTCAAAAGCAACGTTTACAGCGTGGGCCTGCTTCTCATCCATGGTAAAGTACTCGCGCTCCCAGTTAAGCATACAGCCGAGTTGACGGAGATCCTGAACTATGCCAGCACCTTTCTCCGCCTTCCAGCGCCAAACTTCGTCCAAAAAAGCCGAGCGCCCAAGCTCTTGACGAGTTTTTCCTAGCGAAGCGGCAATCGTGCGTTCCACGACCACTTGGGTGGCAATCCCTGCGTGATCTGTGCCTGGAACCCATTCCACCTGGTAGCCAAGTTGCTTTCGCTGGCGTGCAATCACATCCTGCACTGTGGCCATTAAAGCATGACCCAAATGGAGATTTCCGGTGACATTTGGTGGCGGAAGCAGCATGCGATATGTCCCTCGCTTGCAGTTACTGCTTCCAGTCTTTGGCAGGTTCGCCAGACGCTCCTCCCGCTCCCAATAGGCTTGCTCTACTGGACGGGGCTGGTATCCTGTGGCCAAGGGCAGCTCTTTATTGGCATCTAGAATCGGAAGAAAATAAATTCTTTAGCCGGCAATGGTTTTATGAATGAAATCGAAGGAAACACACCTTTAACTGTGCTGTAATACAAGGAGAACACCTTAGGTTGGCAGAGATACTTGTATTTGAGTAGTTTGCTTCTGCAATTCCTTATTATTTGCATTTTTATTACTGTGTTTATGCAATGGAGCTAACGAATTAAAAGCGCTTTAGTGATGGCCTGAAAACATCTGATGCGATAATCGATAAGTCTATGAAACGCGCCAATTTTGAATTAAATAATATTTATGCTTTTGTGTTGTAATTTTTGGAACCTTTTTATTTATTTACAAGAATTGTCAAAACAAAGCATGAATAAAATACAACTCCAGGCTAAGTAGAAAAAATTTCCCATAGTTGTGTTATTAAAAGCTAAGAGCAAAAATTATTTGGAATTTCATTGACCATTCTTGTAGTTTTACTACCTTACAAGTAATTTTAGCAATACTTCCATATTCCATATTATATCTCACATAAAAAAAGCTGTGTTAAAGACAATTATTTATTTTATTTTGTATTAAAAAATTACTTAAATAATTTTATATAATAAGCAAAAAACTTGATCGACCGAATAAAATAAATTTTTAAGGATTCGAACTGCAAGAAGAGTAGTGCTGGATCAAACGGTCTGCCTCCCGAAATCCCGCTTCAACGGCGCCGTGAACGGTGGAAAAGTGGTTCTTACTGGAGGCTTCTCCTGCAAACAGCAACCCAAGATGTCCATCGGGTCCCAAGACTGGAGTCTCTAGATCCCATGGCCCCGTTTTCTTTTCATCGGCCTTCAAGCAACGATGGCTGTAGCTTCCGCGGAAGTTTGGATTCGAATACCACTTGCTGCGCATGAAGCGCTTTGGAGTGGGAACCTCGAAGGTGAGGAACTTCCGGAAGAGCCACATCAAACCCTCAAGAACCTTTTCATCGGACAAAGTCTCCATATGGCGACCATGTGGGCCGCCCACCCAGGCAAGCAGTAGGCGTGGTTGGCAAGTGATTTTGTGGCAACCGGTGATGCCCTCCAACCAGAAATATTCTGATTTCCGTAGCTCCTTCAAATCCTGCTGAAGCCAGAAGCAATAAAATCCCACCCAATTATCAGGAAGCGGTTGCTGATCGAATTCCATAAATAATTTGTTCACTGTTCCGAGGCTTAAGCCTCGAATGGCGTTCACCTTGGCAGGTGGAAGTGGGGGAACGAACAGTTTTTCAGCCTGCTCCTGCAGGACTCCCAAAGACACTGTGCAAATGACATGATCCGCCTCGAAATAGTCCCCATCTTCGCAGCGTAGGAAGACCTTATTTGGGCAAGCCAACTCAATTTTGTCGACCTTCTTGCAGAGGTTGACACGTCCTTTAAGCAAACCCAGATCGTCTGGTTCATCCTCACTGACCTTCATCAGCAGGCGAAGGAATCGCTGGAAGCCCTTGGTGCCCCAATGTTGCAGCTTGTCGCCATCGCACTCATCGTACTCGATGTGTTCCCTCACAGAAACCTCAAACAGGTTATCCGAACCGATAATAGAGCTCTCATGTTTGGTAAAAGCATCCAAAGCCTCGCCAGCCAAGGCTCTTTCCACTTCGGGCATCTCTTTTTCGATTAATCGCCAGTAGCTCTCCACCATGTGAGTGCCGAAGGATCCCACTACAGGATTAGGCCCACTAGGCATGCTCCTGATGGCAATGTCGTGCAGGTTACATCCTACCGCCTGAGACACCTCCTCCTTATTCGATCGTACCATCTTCATGGAGCTATAGTAGTCGCCCGTTAGGTGTAGGATACCAAGATCCTTCACCATTTCGTACACTTTATTGCCCTGCTGGCCGTGACACCATTGAGCGCCCACATCGATGACATTGTCCCCGAACGAGATAGTGTTGATCCGCCCACCGATGCGATTCTCCGCCTCCAGGATCTGCACATTACTGAAATTGTTTTGCAGGAGTCGCGTGGCGGCTGCGATTCCTGAAGTTCCGGCTCCGATGATCAGAATCCTAGAGGAGGCTCGACATTTGTCCATTGTAAGACGCTGGGAGTGAAGTCCGCCCTACAGACCAGACGATCAACGAGCTACTGATCAAGTTTTTAACTTATAGTTTGGCTCGACAAGTGTTGGCTGGTGGATTTTTATGGCTTCAATAGCGATTTTCTTCACCACTTGTTGAACACTTTCAGGTTCTAAGCCACAAAAATGCAGCATTGACAAATCTAGGTCGCAAACTACTTCAATTTGGTCACAACATAACAGAAAAAAATCTAAAAAGTAATTATAAGATGTCACATAGTCAAGGAGTACAAAACTTTCCATCATAATGTTCCTGGTTTATTACAGTGCACCTATGTATGTGCACAAACAGAATCAGTGTCATGCCATTATAGGAAAATGCTGTATTTTGACCAAAAGCAGGGACTTCTGCTCTCCAGCTTCAGAACTTTACAGACGACGACCACGGCGACCGCCCTTCCTGCGGGTGGAGTCCGATGGGATGGGAGTCACGTCTTCGATGCGGCCAATCTTCATTGAAGAGCGGGCCAGGGCTCGCAGAGCAGATTGGGCGCCGGGTCCAGGGGTCTTGGTCTTGTTGCCGCCAGTTGCACGCAGCTTGATGTGCAGAGCAGTTATGCCCAGGGTCTTGCACTTCTCGGCCACATCCTGAGCAGCCAACATAGCGGCGTAGGGCGAAGCCTCATCACGATCGGCCTTGACCTTCATGCCCCCGGTAACACGGGCAATTGTTTCACGGCCGGACAGATCCGTAACATGAACGAAAGTGTCGTTGAAGCTGGCGTAAATGTGGGCCACTCCGAAAACAATCTCTCCGTCGCGAACTTGGGGTCCAAGCTGAACCTGCACTTCCTCCTTTTGAACTTTAGCTTTCCTGGGTGCCATTTTGGGGGTATTTTCTTTGATCAGCAACACTTGCGTGAACCGGATATAAAAAAAAGAAGCCTCCGGATGTCAATGATATAATATATTTTTTAACCAAGTTTATTTGTAATAAGCAATCGGAATATATAAAAATTTTCCAATATGACCACGTTCAAATTCGATAATTTCCGGAGCTGCCAACCTAATCTTACTCTAAGAAACACGACAGCTCTACAATCTATTGACATAGTGCGATAACGATAGACAGCTACGCAGGCAGAAACAACAACAACCTAAGAACTAGGCGAAGAAAATGTATTAAAATCTTTAAAAACCGCGAAAAACCCATATAAATCCATCACAATTAAGCATTAAAAGTCAAGCACAACGCAAGCATGGCCTCCGCAACGGTAAGAAATGTATGTATGCCGCACTAACACCTAACAAGCTGCTTTTTTGGTGTGCCACCCTGACAATACGACCCGAGGTTTTCATCGAAAAACTCCCTTTTAAAGTCTTTGCCAGCTGAACTAATCCAACTTACGTGTTAAACAGGTGCCGTTACTCGACGATGACACGATACCCTTTGGCGAGGAGGACGAGATGCGGGATCCCAGTCGTGCCTCCCAGAAATACACGTAGGCAGAACTGACCAAAATCCATAGAGCAATTTCTCAAAATCCTACTTTCAACCCACAGGCACCCGTATGTCACCTTCTTCCACCTGTTCTTCAGGGGTGCCGCCATTGTCATATACATATTTTGCGGCTGGTTCATCGACTCCTTTATCACCAGCTTTGTGTTTGTGGTGCTCTTCCTATCCGCTGACTTTTGGACGGTGAAGAACATTTCAGGAAGATTACTGGTGGGTCTTCGATGGTGGAACTACGTCGACGACGAGGGCGTTTCGCACTGGGTGTTTGAGTCCAAAAACGTGAGTCACGAGATAAGCTAACTTGATAGCCCTTGATGATGAAACGCAGTCTGAATCCTACCAGAGTCGGATCAACAAGCACGAGCAGCGAATCTTTTGGCTGGGCCTCATCCTGTGTCCCGTTTTCTGGGGTCTCTTCTTCCTAATAGCCCTCTTCGGGCTGAAGTTCAAGTGGCTTCTGCTAGTTATGATCGCCATTGCGCTCAATGCCGCCAATTTGTATGGCTACATCAAATGTAATTACGGCGCTAGCAAAGATCTAAACTCCGCCGCCACGGACTTTGTGAAGACGCAGCTTTTTAAGAACGCCATGGACATCATGACTAAACCCAGTACCGCGCAGCCGCCAACCAACGTTCGTCCCACGGGAGTCGTCTGAGCTGGGAGAGACTCCGATTACTAAGTCACCTTGCCACCGTCTGCCGCAGCGCATTCCAAAGAGTATTTAACGCTTCTTTTGGCCGGTAACCAAGAACTTTGAACGGCATCGCTGTCTGTATGTAACATATGTAAAACTTAATTTAGCCATATTGCAATCTATCTTAATCATTTCTTACTTTTACTTGAATTAAACGATCGCATGTCCGTGTGACAAGCAAATAGTAATCGATGGTTGCAAATTTAATGGGATTACAAAAAATTTCAAGCAGTCAATGGGAATGTAGAGAGTTTGGTCGGTAAATAAAATTTTTATGGATTAATTGGATTTTAATATTATATTGTGTGTATTACTTTTATTCAGAAAATATATTTATTATTAAAATACATGGACTTCGAATTCTGAACAATTTATGAATAATATTGTGGTGCTATTTCCTGATTTGAATAACGGTTCATAATGGTTCGGCAGTGTGGCAATACTCTTTTGAAGTGAGCTTTTACAGTCAGTAAGCAACGGGCACACTGGCGCGAAGCACAAAACAGTCGGAGGAAACGGAATCGCAAACCGAAAAGAAAGAAATGCAATCTGTGCCGTAAGTGGGGGCGTGCAACAAAGGTTTTCATCGCCTGGAGCTAGTTCGATTGGTGGAAAAGGATCATCAAAGCCCTAGAAACCCATATAAACCTCTCCAGCGCAGGTGACGTACGCACTGCTGTCGGTTCAAAAAAGGTCCTCAAAGGGCGGGAGAACCGCGGAGGAGAAAAGCGGCTGCGGCGACAACAGAAGAAGCAATCAAGTGGCAACAGGAGATAGCCGGGCGCAAAATGCAAAAAGTTAATTAGTGCCCCGGCCAAATCAAATCGGGACACCCCGCAGCGGCCATCGCCATGGAATTTGCCGACCTGATAAAGACCCCCAAGCTGGACGGAGTCCTCCTGCACGACCCATCGAATGCGGGGGCGTCGGGCGCAACAGTTGGCACGCTGTGCATCACCGGGCACCATCTGCTGCTCAGTGCTCGTCAGGAGACCAGCCAGGAGCTGTGGGTAAGTGGTTTTCAGCCTGACCGCTTCCCTAATCCAATGTGCTTCAGCTTCAATGGAGCGCTGCTAATTGAATTGGTCACTCATTCTCGTCCTCTTGTTTTTCAGCTCCTGCACAAGAACATCGACTGTGTGGAGAAGAAGCCTAGTTTGTCGCAGAACATCGTAGTTGGAGGCCTCATCACCCTAAAATGCAAGGACCTGCGCATCATCTCGCTGGAGATCAAGTGCGGAAAGGAGTTCTTCAACGTGGCCGCATCGCTAGAGGCACTTAGTGCCATCCAAAACACCGAGCTGCTGTATCCCTTCTTCTACCGGCCCATGTACTCCATCCTAGAGGACGGCTACACGATGTTTAGGTGAGTGCACACTTTGCCCATTACTGCTGGCAAATTGGCTACAATTCAATTACAATCTTGCCCCCTCTACAAACAGGCCCGAGCTGGAGTTCGCCAAGCTCATCAGCGGGGTGGGCATGGGAGGCGGGTCGTCGCCGAATGTGGCCAACATAACAATTTGCATGCCATCAACATCGACAACGTCGCTTGCTGTGGGCCCTGGCATTCCCCATCCCCTCCAAAATGGCTTTGCGATAGACGCCCTGGCTGGAAATCCTGGGGGTGGCGTGCTTCAAGGCTCACAAGCTGGCTGCGAGTGGCGCATCAGCAACGTCAACAGAGACTTCAGCGTCTGTGCCACATATGGCGCCACGCTAATTGTACCTAAAGCAATTACGGACGAGCAGATAGTGCTCTCCGCTGCGTTTCGGGATGGCGGTCGTTTTCCCGTCCTTAGCTACAGGCATGAAAATGGCGTAAGTCACTGCAGCCACAGCAGATTAATTCTATTAGATAATGCAATGAATCATATTAACAGGCCACCCTGATGCGCAGCTCGCAGCCGCTCTCCATTCAGGGCATTAAACGCTGTCGGGCTGACGAGGCTATCCTGAACCTAGTCCTTGGTCGCAGCCGAAAGGGATTCATTGTGGACACGTGGGGCAAGGGCAAGTCCAACACGGAGACGGATCTGCACTACTCACAGTGGAAGAAGGTCAATCGCTCCATTGGCAACGTCAGCTCACCCGCTTCTATCTTGGATAGTTTCGCTCGGCTGATTGAGGCCTGCAACGATTTGGGTTGCAGCACGGATAAGTGGCTTTCGAGATTGGAGAACAGTGGCTGGCTTAGCCTCGTACTGAACTCCCTGAATGCCTCTTGTGTGGTGGCCCAGTGTTTGGATCAGGAGGGAAGTCCGGTGCTGGTTCACGGGGCCAAGGGCTTGGATTCCACGCTCATTGTCACTTCACTGGTGCAGATCATCCTCAATCCTGACTGCCGCACAGTGAGAGGGTAGGTCATCTTCTAATTACCTTTCCGGTTGGTCTTGTCTCTAATTAGCGATTTCTTTTCAGCCTGCAAGCTTTAATAGAACGCGAGTGGATCCAGGCGGGACATCCCTTCGCATCGCGTCATCGCTACTCTTGCTACACACCAAATCAAACGAGGAACAAGAGCTCGGGTGCCACTTTTGTGCTCTTCCTGGACTGTATCTATCAGCTGTACACCCAATTCCCCTGCAGCTTCGAGTTTAGCACACAACTGCTAATCCTGCTTTTCGAGCACAGTTACTTCTCGCAATATGGTACGTTTTTGTGCGATTCGGAGCGAGAGCGCAGCGAACTGCACGTGCACACCAGGACAACGAGCTTGTGGTCTTACCTAAACCGACCAGATGTTTTGCAAACACTGCTGAATCCACTGTACGAGCCAAATGCCAATGTGATATGGCCTTCAGTGGCGCCTATTAGCTTGGAGTTGTGGAGCGGTACGATATAAAACTGACCTAACGTGCAAGTCGTTGTTAATCGTTAATTTCAGATCTCTATTTGCGATGGGTGATAGATCAGCGCAGTTGCGCCACAGTCATGTCACAAATTCAGGAACTTGTGACCCGCGAAAAGGAACTCAGAACTCAGGTAAGTCCGTTTAAATTTAGAAAGCGTATAGCCTCATGCTTGCTGTCTTTCAGGCCCTCAAACTGCGCAAACAGGCCTTGGAACTCGGCCAGGAAGTGTCCACACTCATGAAAGGTGCAGACAATGCATAGACGGCTACCTCAAAAGTTCTCTATTTGTTAATCTCCTGCATGATATACAATTATTTTTGATACGTTCTGTTGCAACATTTCGACAATTATTTAAGCATATAGCAACACTAAAATTAAGTCACTAACAGTTCCATTTACAAAAAAAATATGCTGAAAAAAGGAAAATAAAAAACAAGGTAAATTAAATTATTGGATAAACCATAGGATCTGCTTTTGGATCAACTTGAACACTCAATTTTAGGCATACGAATGTCCATTTTTACCAACTATACTTCTACTGGAGAAGTTCCGATACATAACTATAAAACACAAAATGATGGCATTATTGTAACTTGAAACTCTCTCCTTGCAAAGCGCTCTCTACTCACAGACTCAGATTTATATTTGAAAATTGAAAATGCACATAGCGCAACTATCAAATGTTTAGTCAATTTTTGACGCATTTACTTTTATGGAATTTTTAGTGCATAAGTCTTCAGAAATACATATTTATAGTACTTACGTGTCAGTTATTTAGTGGTCTTCACGCCACGGATCAAATTTAGTATTATAAATTCAAAGATTTGCCTTTTCAAAAATTTGTATGTACATTTGATTAAATCGCATAAATTTAAAGCTTTAAAAGCGTTTATATTAATATTTATGCTGTGCATGCGTTGGTATATCCATAAACAAATATTGTAAATTATACACCTATAAATGTTTCTAGCTGTTATGTGTGTTTATTTCGAATTGTGATCGTATTTGAAATGACAAAAAATTTGTATGTAATTTATATCCACTTTTACATTTCTATTGTGCGTATTTTGTGTAATTATCGCTAAAGTGCAATAAATACGTGTTAATTTGCAGAAATCTATGGCGTTTTCAACTTTAGGCATATAAGATTTCAAAGGACCACCTGTTGATAGCTGTCTTCTTATAGTTTCCGTTTTGTACAAAGAAATTGTTTATTTTTGCTCAACACCTTTAAGACATCAATTTTTGTTGGTTTTTAAGGTTCACTATTTATTTCGCTGTAAAAACGTATATAAAACTCACTTTAATAAAGTACAACAAAGCCCCAATCTTTGATTGTACGTAATCCTTGACAACAATAACAAAAATAAGTTGATAGCAAATGGGTGTTTTTGACCAAAGATTGCAAAATGAACAAAGGAGAGCAAAAGAAAACAAAGTGAAACGAGCTGTTTAATCAAAGATGTCAGTGATTCCGGATTAGTTGCTTGCTTCGTCTTCCAAAAAGAAGAACTGGCCGGAGCGCTTTTGTTCCGTGTCCTTGACCGAATTGTTCTTGTTAATCCGAGGCCTGAAGTTGTTGGGATCGCGACGGAAGGTGATGCCGAGAAGTTCGAGAAATCGGTTCATGCCATTTAGGAGAGACTGAGGCGTAGAGGCAGTCGTTTTCACTGAAGGCTGGCCTTCAATAACAATGACACGGTCGGCGAGGTAGGTGGCCATGATGAAATCGTGCTCCACCACAAATCCAGTTTTCTTGGCGTGCAAAATGTAGCTAAAACAGATAATTGCCAATATATATGCCACTTTGAAATCAAGATAAAACATACCGCTTGATAACCTTGGCGGCTACAAGACGCTGCTCCGAATCTAAATACGCGGAGGGTTCGTCGATGAGGTAGACATCTGCTGGCTTGCCAAGACACAAAACCAAGGCGACTCGCTGCAACTCACCACCAGAAAGGTTTTGCACCTCCTGGTCCATGATTTCTTCGATCTTCATGGGCTTCATCACATCGGCAATAAACTGCGGATGCACGTAAGCATCACGAATCTTGTCATGCAGCAAATGACGCACATGGTTCTGGAATTTCGGGGAAATCTTCTGCGGCTTGTAAGAGATGTTGAGCATGGGCAGCTCAACCTCGCCATCGGGCTGCAGATTACCGGCCAGCATACGGATAAACGTGGTTTTTCCCGTACCGTTTTCGCCCAGCAGCACGAGGATCTCGGAATCGCTAAAGTGTCCCTTCTCCACGGTCAGCTCGAATTTTCCTAGGGTCTTCACCATGGCGGGATACACGTAGTGGTTCATGCGTTTAATCTCCTCTTCCGTGGCGGACTCAGAGACTTTAAACGTTAACGACTCTGTACGGAAACGCATATTTTCGGTGGGCACAAAGCCATCGAGGAAAATGTTGATGCCTTCACGCACGGAGAAGGGCATAGTGACCACTCCGTAGCAACCGGGAACTCCGTAAAGGCAGCAAATAAAGTCGGACAAGTAATCCAGCACAGACAGATCGTGCTCTACCACGATAATGAACCTGAAAGTTAGTATTTTGTTAATAAAAATGATCGTTTGAAGATTACTAACCTACTTAGTGGGATGAAGAAGCGACCGAATAGTCAAGGCAGCATTAAGACGCTGCTTCACATCCAAATACGAGGACGGCTCGTCAAACATGAAAATATCCGCATTCTGTATGCACACCATAGCAATTGCAAAACGCTGCAATTCTCCACCAGAAAGCTGAGCGATCTCACGATCTCGGATGTGCGAAAGGTCCAGCATCTCGCAGATTTTCGTCTGCAGCTCACGCTCGTCCTTCTTGTCCAGCAGATCGCCGACAGCACCGCGCACAGCCTTGGGGATTTGATCCACATACTGTGGCTTAACGAGCGCTTTCAAATTGTCCTCCAAAATCTTAGTGAAGTAGTTTTGCAACTCGGAACCACGGAAGTAGCTTAGGATCTCCGTCCAGTCGGGAGGATTGGCGTACTTGCCCAAATTCGGTTTCTGCTTGCCCGCAAGGATCTTTAAGGCGGTCGACTTGCCAATACCGTTTTGACCCACCAAGCCAAGCACTTCACCTGGACGCGGAATGGGCAGACGATGCAGCTTGAAGGAGTTTTTGCTGTAGCGATGCGTTGTGTGCTTCTCCAGGTTGCTGGGCAAGTTGATAATTGTGATGGCCTCAAAGGGGCATTTCTGTGGGGCAAACATGGTTATTTGGGTTGGAATTTTAGGGTCAGCTGGTTAACCTACCTTGACACAGATACCACAACCAATGCACAGCTCCTCGGACAGCGAGGCTATCTTGGAGGTGGGCGTCACCTCAATGCAGAGCTTGCCCATGCGCACCACCGGGCAGGTCTTCTTGCACTCCTGCCGACACCGCTTGGGTTTGCACTTGTCATCGCTGACGATGGCAATACGCGTCTGCTTGTCCACCTCCTCGTTCTCTTTTCTGCGCGACATGCTGTGGATTAAAAAGAAAAGTTTTTCAATCAGTTGTGGTTAGCTCTAGTAATCAGTCGTCTTTATGGTAATCAGTTCATTGTCAACGTTGCAAATCCCCAATCCCCGGCCGTCAAAACAAATCTGGTGCATTGCTTTTAGAGCGGAGCGGGGGGGTGCAGTGACTCTGTTCGCCAGTGAGTGAAAGTATAACCTCAAAGCGTGGCCAAAACAATTGCTTTTCACGGCGAATTTTCTTTGTCTGTCATGCAGTTGGCTTTCTTCTACACTTTCACGTTGTCAGACTAACAAAAACTTTAAATTTTACCTGCGAACTAGGCCGAAATTGTTGTAAAACAGACAGAACGCACGCTCTTGCGTGTCAGCCAACAAGTTTCAAAAGGGGGGAGTTTCGATGAATTTTCCAACACTTCTGCGGATAGAGGCGGGCAGATGAACTATCGATATCGATACCTATACCGTTAGTTAGATTTAATGGTTGAGACATGTTTTTGATTATTTTAGATTTAAACAAATTTTAAAAAAAAAATTATTAATAAAAAACACGATTTAAAACTATTTTAAAACTTTTAACAATTGTGGAATTCAGTAGTGACAGCCTTAGTCAAAGAGGAAATATTAATTATTTAACCGGTTTTCCTTTAGATATTTGATAAACTTACATATAATTATAAAAAAACTGACTATAGTCGTAATTAAATAAAATTTCGAATAAGAATTATACACCGATACATATTGCGCGAGAACTGTTACGCAAATATCGATAGTGGCGGTGTTTTTGACAATCCCAATAAGTTTCTCATCCCTAATTTTTACACGTCGTTGATTTGTGTCGACTGGCTTAAAAATGGTCGTCCAAGAGGATAATCAAAATACTGGAGACGTTCTGGAGAAGACGGAGAGTGCTCCGGTAGCGCCCGAGCCGGTTAAGATCTTCACAGTGGAGAGTAAGTTCCCAAATGGGCGCTACCACGTCGTCGAGCGCACCAGACGCCCAGCTCCCTTTAACCTAAAAGTCTGTATGCTAATATGCATTGAACTTTCACTCTCGCTTCAGTTCTGCATATGATCAAGGATGCCCAACAGCAGCACGGTCTGCGCCACGGCGATTTCCAGAGGTATAGGGGCTACTGCACGCGCCGTATCCGTCGATTGAGGAAGGCACTGAAGTACCCGCAAGGCGACAAGCGGCACTTCAAACGACGCGACGTGACCATTGGGCAGTTGACGGGCAAGAAAGCGGACGAGCGGTTTATCCACATCCCACTGATCAGCGCAGAGCGGGCCTGGGCTTACGCCATGCAGCTCAAGCAGGAATCTAACACGGAGCCGCGAAAGCGCTTTCACTTGATCAACAAGCTGCGAAGGGCCTGTTTCTACGCTCTCCAACTGCAGGAACTGTGCAATGTAGGCTACAAATTTGTGCTATAACATATATGCATTAAGTTTAATTCATATATTATTCCTAGACTGAAGCATTCGATGCCCGCACCAAGCTGGAATGCGAAGCCTATGTTGCCTGGATGCACGGCACACTGCATTTTGAGCTCCAGCTGTGGAAAACCGCTGGTGAACACCTAAAGCGAGCCCAGGTGGTGTACGAGAACCTTGCCAAGGCTCTGCCAGATGACGAACAGGAACTATACCGCGCAAAAGTTAATGAGTTCACGCCTAATCTGCGCTATTGCGCCTATAACATCAGCGGTGGTGCCAGTGGCGGAAAGATCGATGAGATCCTGGAGCTACGCGCTCAGGGAGTGCTCGAGAATCTGGATGTTTTGGTCAGTCAGACTAAGACGGAGAGCAGTGAAGGACTGCAGACGATCGACTGGCGCGGTCGCAAGGTCACTGTACGCCCGGAGAAAGTTCGTTTGTTCCTGCTCAGTGCCCAGGAGTTGGACAAGTCGCTGGCCAAGGCCACCAAACTGGATGCCAAGATAGAACTGATCGAGCGCATTCTGATGGACTGCAAGGACGCTATCCAGGCAGTGCGGGACGAAATCAAACAGGATCCCAAGTTACGTTCACTAACCACCGGGCAGACAGTATCCGGCGTGCAATATCTTCTAGCCTACTTGAGTTACATTCGCCACAGCCGCACGCTGCAGCGTAATCTTTGCCTAGTGGAGCAGGTAAGTCTTTATAAACTAGTTTTTTTTTCTACTTTCTTATTTCTTTAACCCTCACCAGGCCAAGCTAAACTTTGACGATCCCAACCAACAGTCACAACAGAATGTGGGCGACGGCAAGCGCGTGAGATCCCAGGATTTGGCCCGCCTCTACGAGATCATCCTGCAGAATGTCACAGAAATGCAGCAGATCACTGGCTTAGAAGACGATGCAAAGTACCAGAGCGAGGTGGAGAACCTCTCCATTACCTTCAAGGCCTTCCGCTGCTACTACATTGCGCTTACCCTGATCGACATGAAGAAGTGGAAGGAGGCAGTGGCGCTGTACGAACGCGCATCCAACTACGCCACCGAAGCGCTAAAGGGCAAGGCAAGCCCCGAGTTTCAGCTGCAGGATGAGCTTAAGAAGGTCGTGTCAGCCATCGAGGGCTGCAAGTTTTCTGCCCATGCGTACAGTGTGCTGGAGGATGACAACAGCGAGGAGGCCGGAACTACCACCAAGTCGCAAAAGACGACGAAACCTTTGTACGAGCGCTTATCACTGTACAAGGAGGACCAATCTCTGCACACCAAGACACCCAATGTGTTCAAGTTGACCCCCGACATGGAGCCCATACCCTGCAAACCGCTCTTCTTCGATTTGGCCATGAACTACGTGGAGCTACCTTCGCTGGAGGACAAACTGGAGTCGCCCGGCAAGAAGGGCGCATCGATCACCGGTTTCGTCAAGGGATTCCTTGGCTGGGGCGGCGGCGGCAACAAGTGAGATTGAAACTAACCCCCACGAAGCACTCTTCTGGAATTCCACGCATCCATGTTACACTTATAAAGCCTACAGATCCATGTCCATGCCACGGTATGTCCGTTGTTCTTTATAAGTTCTTTGTTTTGGCTTTTACCCCGCGCCAGATTTGTTTTTCTACGCAACTTTTGTAAGTTAAAAATTGAACAATTATTCGGTAATAAAGGAACCTTCAAGAGAGAGCTATAGTTCCTCAAAGGCAAATCTACAATCTATTTATTGCGAACGTTAGAGTTAATTGTATCACTACATGACTAAGAATACTTTTACAAGTTTTGCATCTCGTTTAGAGATAGCCGAGCTCGTAGAACTCCATCACCAGCTCGCGGATACGCAGATGGTACTCCGAGGTGAGCGTTTGGGTGCACTTTATTTCCTTGCCAGTGAGATTTTGCTCGCTCATTACGTCCAAATTGGGCAGGTTGTCCGGATCAAAAGTGACAGCTGGTAGGATCCACATGCCGATGGCAAGGCCGTAATGCACGTGTCGCACATACTCCGCACTCAGTCGCTGCAATGAAAAGGCTTCGCATAGATCCTCTAGTCTCTCTGCGGCTGGGGTACCCTCCAACTGGTGCCTTAGTTCTTGACCTAAAGCTTCGGAGTAAGCAGCCAACAAAGTGTCCGTGTGCAGATCCCTTAGCTGCCTTCTCGTGCTGGTGTAGATAAAATGGAGTATATCGAAGATGGGTGAAGTCCGTCGCATGGCCTGCAAGTCGAAGAAGATCACCTCCTCCGGATCAGAGCGAAACATAATGTTGTTCACCCACAAGTCACCATGGCAGATCACGCTCAGTGGCGCCTCCGCAGCGGCATTAATCTCCTGCTTTAGCTTCCCAAATAAATTGGTACGGAGTTCCCCGAGCAGGCGAATGGGTGTGGTCAGACTATCGTTTACATTGGCGCCACCTAAACTTTCCAAAGCCTGCTGCACCGAAGTATCGAGAATGGTGGCATAGAAGTCCGTCGCCTCATCGCAATAGACAATCTCTTGAAGGTGATCCGCTTCAGACGCGAAGGAGGCGGAGTCCAACTCCTGGGCAACTAGCGAAGCTGCATGCATTTCGGCTAGTTTCTAATATGAGGGCTTGTAAGTAAAGGATGTTTTATAGAAGGACTCACTCACCTTCATCACCAGCAGGCAGTCGTGCAATTCCAAACCAGTTAGACGATCCTTCATGCGAAAACCCAAGGCTTTAAGGTCCTGCAACACGATAATGGGCTCCCCTTTTTCGGAGTCCTTGCGATCCTGGCTTTCCGCAATGTGGCACACCGGAAAAAGTTGCTGGCGGCTGTAAGCTGCCAAAAGGGGAGCCAAATGCCGATAGGCCTTGATCTCGTTGTTGAAGGCCTCCTCACAGCGGTAAAGCTGCCGTCGCGACAGACTCGCAATTTGCCGCTTGACAATGACCGTGACTAAACAAAAAGAGTGTATAGAACAAAATAAATAGATCATAAAATATCTCATAACTTTTCGTTGTGCAAATAATATTATAGCAACCTGGCTTACTGCCTGTTGTAAGTAGTTTTCGTATTAATAACAAAATGTTATACATTCATTTTATCAATGAATGTGTTACAAAATGTAGCTTGGAGAATCTTTATGAGTAATGCGTGGTTTTGACTAGTGTAGGGGGCAGAAAACGCAGACCAAAACAAACCAAGAGAGCGGCAAATACGACCAGCTGATTTTTGTTTACGTCGCTGTCTATGATTTATATTTATGAATGAACCGGCGGCGGCCTTGCGTGCGTGAGAGCTATTTTCGCCGCCTCTCTCTCTCTCTCTTTCGCGGGTGTGTGAGTGTGCGTGCTGACCTTTAGCAAATTTATATTACGTATACGCCTGGGTGTATGGGTGCATTGCATTTAGAATGCGTGCAACAAGGTCAACCCACTCGACACCACCGCTCAGCATGGCAAGCTGTTATGGTTGAACTTGCATATACCCTCTTTTAAAAATCATTGTTTGTTCTTCTTATTATATTTGTAAAAAATAAATGAATAAAAAATAAAATTCCTTAAAATAATCGAAAGCTTAGGTTTGTAGGAGAAAAATAAAGTTCACGTTGGATCCATTATTATTAATAATTAAGAAATATTTTAAACCAGGTTACTTTCTTTGTTTTTTTACAACTTATAAGCTTTTCGTAAATTGGGTCCAATAGGAACTGTATTCATAATGACCAACATTTTAGGGTATCAAAAAGAAAATCGATACGATGAGTTTAATGGCGCCTGGCGTCTTCACAAGTTGCGCTTACCGATGTCATTTCTGGTCTGCTCATGATCCTGGGTCTGATCTCTTGCCGGCGGCTCTCGGCTGATAGTGACCCGCTTCACCACGGACATGTAGTTGTCGCCGCTGCTGCTGCCCGCGGAACACGTGATGTGGGCAATGCTAAAGGACACCAGCTTGCTCTGGCTGAACAGCTGGCGCAAGTGCTCGGCATTCTCCTCGTATTGATTAACAGAACTACCAGTCGAATTCATGGTCATTGCCATGCCGCCACGCGAAGGTCCTGCTTTTGGGGTCGCTGCCAAAGCCATTTTATCCACTTCACTTGGCTGCCCGATGGGAAATGGTTCTCGATTGGAGAAGGCTACTGCCAAATCTTTTGTTAGCCGTCGATTTCTGCCGCTGCAGCATTTTCTTTCTAGCACTGACACAAATCCGAATTCAGTCCAGGTCAGTTTTTTCCGCAATTATTATACAATTTCCGCTGGCTAAGAACTGGGAAAACACTTTGGTTATAGCACACCTATGCGAAAAGTGTGCAAAGTGCGACAGACAAACCGCCCGTCGAACTGCCAAACGTCGACTGGCAGCCCAAGTGTAATGCAAAAACTCACTAGAGAGCTTAAAACGCAGTGAGAAATGAGAACCGACACACTCTCAGTTCTCTTGCACTTCGCTCAGTTCTAAATTTGAAATTGCATTTTGAAAGCCGGTAGGAGGTGGCAGGCGTGACTCTCGTTCAGGGTCACCGTGTAGTACTTTCACTCGGCCCGGTTGCGTATACTTAATGCGCCGACCCGCCAAAGCGGATGTTGCTCATACGCCGCGTCGGCCGAGAGCAGTTTGCATTGGCCCACCAATTCGTGCACTTGAAATTGCATTGGCTGTCCTTGGCAGGCACTGCGTGTGGGTCGAGGTAATGTGCATTAAAATCAAAGCGAAAACAGAATAAAAGGGGTTCATTTTTTAGAAAAAAACACGGTATCGTTTCGGTAATGTGAAACCGCCACCTAAAATCGCTGAAAATCGAAATAGTTATTATGACAAAAGTTAATATTAATAATAATTAACAATATTTAAATATTAAAAATTTGATAACAACAAGAATCAGACAAAAGTGGCAAATGTATCAAATGCTTAAGTAATAGCTTAACTTAGGTATACCAAAAAAAAAACATAAAAATGCTTAATATTCCTAAAAAGAATGGAATTAAATGTAGATTTTTAAAAATAATCCAATAAAAGGGTTTTAAGCTAAAAACCCAAACAAATAATAGGATTACATATTTTCTCATTCAAATTTGTAATGGGTTTATTATTTTTCTTGAAGCATCTGATTTTCAGACGCCGAGTTTCTCTGAATTTTCGGTCACGTAGCCGCAGACGAAGCCTAATAAAGTTCAAAGACCAAGCTCATTAACGTCTACCGCAGTCAACAATGCAGGGGCCAGGCAATTTGTTTATTTAATATGCATCTACAAAGCCGCTAAATGGCCATTAATTAAATATCAAATCTGCCACGGCCAATAAACAAGAGACCACTCCCAGAGACGAAGCCCAAACAATGTAAATACCAATCGCAGGCCGAGATACGCACCTGAGATCGGGAAAGTTCAAGGCTGCCATTCGGCTGGTGATTATGCCAAAAGTCCAGTGCGGGCAACTCCGGGCTTTAGCTTCCGCCTTAACTGATCGGTTGAATAACCCCAGATGTGTGTACACCCCAACACTCCGACACCCGTGGCAAATTAGGGTCAAACATGTGCAGCCACAGAGCTCGACTCGATTTTCAGGCTCTACTCTAGCTAAGCATTAAATTCAGGGTCAATCGGTACTTTCAAAATCGCACAGAGCTCGGATTGAGTCGGACATGGATTCTAAGCAAACTTGTCAATCATTGTAAGCGCTGTACTACTTGTACACTGAAGAAACTAAGCAGGTTTTCTACCATTTAGATTAGTTTTTAATGATAAAATTATTATACTCGAAATTTCTAATACACAAATTCTTTACTGAATGTTATGTTTTATAAATAATAGCAAAAAAGGAAAATTTTGCAGTTTTTTTATTTCACAACTCATTTTTTTTGTGTGCTTGTGATTAATGTACACATTTTTTCGATTTTAATAAATGGTAAGTACCAAATGAGTTATCAATTTTTGTAAAACATGTTAATATTTGTTTTTTCGAGTATAATGGTGCACACAAATATCTGTGTGACTTTTGCCATGCGTAACGCTGCCGGCTGGCAAATCCGACCTTTTTTGGGGGGCACTTTTATGGAGCATGAGAAACGGAGACAGATATCATTGCTTTTAATTGCCCAATCTAAGCGCCTAGGCCTAGGTCAGTCTGGCTTGCCAGATTGCAGCCCGCTCCACACCGCTCCGAACATAATTAATTTAATAAAATGTAAAGCAGCCAGCTGAAAAACTTGACTCATTCTCGACGCTCAGAAGCGACTTTGAGCGCGATTCGAAATCGGAATCGGAATCGGTTGACTCACAAACTTGAGTTCAACTCGTTTTTGTGGCATTCAACGGCAAGCGAATAAAAGTTCGCCGCCTCGATATTCTATGATCAGTTTACAGTCTCAACTTCACCCAGGTGTTCCAGTTTCGGTTGAAGTGCTTCTCTCCGAGGATTAGCCCCTAAAAAAATTTCAAATCAAAGTGAGTGTCGTGTGTGAGTGGGTGCTTTGGAGAACCGAAATCCAATTCGGCTGTGTGGGACTGTAACCTTGACTTTGGCTGAACCAAAGTATCTAAACGTAAATGCATTTTTAATGGCACATAGGCACAGTGAACAGAAAGTATAGATGACTTTCAGCCAATGTCACCTTTTCAAGGATTATTTCTAGGCAAACGTTTAAAGTTTAAACTGAGTAAACAGAGCCGAAAATAATAGTAATTATCAGACAATAATAAACTAAAAAAAGAGTGCCTCCAACTTTGTTTTCGATTCCAATGACTTTTTTCAAATAAAGTATTAATATTAAAAATGTAAATTAAAAAAGTTTTAAAATTGTAAATACAGCCTGTTCGACTGTATGCTATTATAAATTAAAAAAAAAGGATTTGTAACTAAATATTGAAACAAACTATTAAGTGTTCAAGCTTTATAATAAATTACTGATTTAAAGACCACTGTATTTGTGTATCTCAAGCTTTGATTGCTTTGTTCAGATCAAATTGGAGCACTCTACGCTTGACAATTAAAACGCTCTACTCAGTTCGCGGCCGGTCCAATTCTTATCAATAAAAAAGCCAGTTCCAGTTGCAAAAAAGTTCACGGATTAGCAACTGTAAGAGTCCGAGCCAAGATCTCCGCGCTGCCCACTCTATTGGCCATATGCGATAATTGATTTTCCCGTACATAATTTATGACGCACGAAACTGACAGCCGACTTGTAGATTAAAAACTGCCACTGACCGGCGGCAATAAATCTGTTCGTATCGCTTTATTAGAACGTTGGACAATAATGCCAGCTCCTGCTCCTTGTCGCCCCTTCTGTAGCCAATCATGCCGACCGCCTGCCATGTAGCGCTGCTCGCTGGATGTCTATGTCTGGTCGTGAGCTCGGCTCGGTCCCAGTTCTTCTACCACCAGGCGTTGGGCCTGCCGGCTGCGCACTCATACGAACCGGCCAACCAGTACCAGGGATATGCCACAGCCGATGCCCATCCTTCGGTGGTGCGGAATGCACAGTGGGAGTCGGAGCTGCCGCCCGAACTGTCAAAGAGTGCGCGATTCTACAACGATCCCGTGATCGCCGCCAATTTGGCCAAGGAATCCCTGCTGACGAAGAAGGAAATGGCCGTTGTGCATCGCGAGGCTGAGAAAATTCCGCGGGAACAGGTCTACAAGCTGTTCAAGAACGCCGGCTACCTGAGTCGCAGATAGAAGTCTCGCTCCCAGACGAATTTCATTTCCCACGTGCCTTGTTGTATTTTAGCTTGTAAATTGTTAATATATTGTACATACATACATATTAAATGTTTTTCTTTATAAATGACCGTTGGATTATAGTGACTGAAAGGTGATTTTGGTATAAAAGTTGGATTGGCAAGCGTTCACTGTATGAACAACTCGGCTCCGTTTCCTGGAAGTGTGGCGAAGACCACCTCGCTAAAGTTGTTGGGCTGATGGCGTTCCAGCAGATGTGATGGCAGATGGGCATAGTAGTCCCGCTTCAAAGCCTTTATGTACTCGTCAGCCGCTTCAACGGAATCGCACATGGCCACTATGCAACCACCCCAACTTTAATAAAGCAACTAAGTCAGTAAAGTATAAATTAAATCACTAAGGTTGCCTACCCAGCTCCTGTAACGCGAGCACTGACATTCTGCTCGTTGGATATGGCAATAAGGCGCTCCACATCTGGATGGGAGCATTCATACAGTTCACGAAGACTTTCATGGGACTGACGCATGAGCTCGCCCAGCTGTTTGGCACCTTCTTTGCTGGGTCCGGCTGCCAGTTGCTCACAAATCTTCCGGAATTTAGCCACACGACCGGACTCTGTAAAAAAAGTAAAGTCAATAAGATTAATGTCGTTTCAGTAAAAAACAATGCCAATGCCTTTTTAATTGTCTGTAATTACTTGTTCAATTACCAATAAATTATATTGAGAAACAAAGTCAGGAACTAAAACTTTTGAATAATGTTCGAGATTTAATCTAAAATGTCAAAATCCTGATTTAGAGCTTACAACTTACCCTGAATAACATGCAGTGCACGTTGACGCAACTTGAACTGCTCCATGTGCCGAGTGTTGGCTGAGAGGAACTTGGTTTCCAGTTCCTGCTCGGTGACTCCCAACTCTTTGCAAATATCCGCCCGCGTGTAATTCCACTTGGTCAAGTTGTCCTTTATTAGCTTCTCAAAAGTCTCGTTATCCATTTGGCAAGCCTCCTCCAGATCAATGAATCGAACGATGTCCTGCCAGTTGATCAGACCCTTGTGTTTGGCCAACCATCGCGTGGCTAGTCGGCACTCAACCACACGTTCGTTGTAGTCGGAAGAAGCAGCCTTGTTCTTTTGCGCCAGACTGTTGGCAACGACGAAACACTTGCCCGCTGGCAAAGTCACCGGAGTGCCCTTGAGCTTGGGATGGAACTCGATGTGGTGGGCACAACCTACTCTTCCCAAGTAGGCAATAGCTTGATCCATGCCTCCGCTGTGGGTGCCAATATATTGCTCACATTTAGCCGAAATTGAAGCCAGCTCCCTGCGGTCCAGCTGCTTGCCCTGAACTTGGGCAGTGGCCAAGACAGCGGAGCTAACCATGGCACTGGAACTGGAGAGTCCTGCAGCCAGAGGCACGTTGCCGTCGACAGCAATGCGCATTCCTGTGGGTTTCCACTGACTGCCTAGATTCTCTTGGATGCCCTTAATGCCGCACAAGAAGTAATTGTACCAGGCTGGTCCACCACTTTTTGGCAGCTCAATTCTGGGATAAAACAAACATGTAGAAGATTTAAAAAAAATGTTTTCGAACCACTTTTCATAAAACAAAAATTGGATGAATATTTTAAATATGGCTTTGTCAAATACAAAAATGCATTTAGACAAGTAGAAATAAAAAATCTATAGTAAAATGTTCATCTTTGCTCTGTAATTATTATGGCATGAATCACCCACCTGAGCGTTTTAAGATCTGCATCGTAGCCCGGGAACTTGGTTTCCTCCAGATTCCTGAGCTGCAGTTGACTGTCATTCAGATTTTTGGCCACTGCCAAAAGATGCTTTGGCTAACAGCCATGGGAAGCACCGAATAACCGCAGTAGTCTACATGCTCGCCTATGATGTTGACTCTAACAAGATTTACATATATCTAATTTGAGCGATAATATTTATACTATCAATAAGGGGGACTCACCTTCCGGGCACACGAACGAAAAACTCTGGATCCTCTCCGAACTGCTGTTTAAAAAACGCGCCAAGTTGTTGCACGCGCTTGTAAATCATCGATTCCGGTTGTAGCTTCTGTTGGGCCACGATTTCGATGCCGGGTCCCAAATCCCTACCAGTTCCATTCCCGTTGGCAGTCATGTTCACCTGCAAGCGTGCAAAACCTTAATAACAGAAATTATTTTCGCAGTCGACGAACCGTAAACGTGTCGCAACTGGTTAATCTAAATTTATGAGCAAAAACAAATTTACATACGTAAACAAATAGCGTGAGCAACAACAGTTGCACCTGTGATTGTGTGGTTGTGCAAAAAATTTGCTTATCAACCAATCTCACCTTATCAAAATGTCGAAAAAGCTATTAGTACACAAAGTGATGTACTAACTTTTCCGTTATCTGTCGGAAAAGTGATTTCCAAGTCACTAAAACATTAGATTGACTCCAATTTGACCGCTTAATTGGGAAAAACAAGTGCCATTCTGCCGGCAAATGAAAAGGAAGGGCATGCGGAAGCGAGAGGGCGATAGATAGCAGCTGTTATTTAGGAGTTGCCAGGCTTACGAAAGCTTTAACCCTCCTGATATTCAAGGGATAAACACAACCTAATCTTATCAGCGTTAAAAACATCATAAATTCTGTTCTTTAAAAGAAACTCGTCAAATTGACTTTAAACATCTTTATAGAAAGCCTTTATCAACAAACCGACTAAAAATCCTTGTAAAAATTGTAACAATACACTTTAAGGGACCCTGTTATTTTAGTAGAAGTTTAATGCTGCTAAATAAGCACGTATTTGCACTAAACAACAAATAATCTAAGCGGCCTTAAATTTTACATTTAATATACGTTTTCTTTGAACCAGATAATTTAACGAAACTGATTTAGGTTTTCTTTTTATTTACAAACACGATGTTAGCACTTTTGCCAATACGTACCCAATAATGTCTTATCTTTCTCTGTATGAGGTCAAAATAACTGAGCTGTTTCTTAGCCTTATCAGAGTAGAGTTCTAGTTTTTCGGTGTGAGCACGTCGTGTTCCATCCAGCAACTGAGCGATCCGGGCCGTGCTGTTTCCGTTTTAGTCCGGAATACAATAAGCAACACAGTGAAACTTCCTTATCAGGAAACCATTAACTAATTTAAACATAACAATTTCACTTTAACATAGTGACCACTTTTTGACCATATTGATAAGCCCAAGTTTTCAATTAGCGAAGTCTGACTGTGGGTATTAGTAGCAACTTGTTGAGAGCTTTGTTTGTTTATAAGTAGCTGTCTTTACCGTTAAATAGGTCAAACATCTTCATAACTTACCAATACTTTCTTGTTTGCATTCTAAAAAACTGGTTTTTAAATTTCCTTTAGCCAAAATAGCTTTTTAGCTTCCACTTGAAAAAGGCTATTACCTTGGTCATTATATTGTTATTAAAGTCAAGTATTTGATAAGGTATCGGTCTAAACGGTTACATATTAGCTACACTACTAAATTTTTTTTTCGTTAAATTAAATTATACAAATTATATGTTGCATATGTGTTTGATCGAACCTTTAGCTTAAAAAAAAAAAACGAATCAATTATAGCTCTTTTATGTGGAATCTGTATTGAACAAATGCGATGTTAAATGGAGACTGTTAGTAAGAAATAACGGAATTTAAAAATATTTAAGTTTGGATTTAAAAAAATTATCAGTTACATATCGGCGTTGCCAGACGAAGGCACTGCCAACCGAAATTCTGTAAGCAGTGCTGCCAGCTGTCTTCACTTTATTTTTTCCCAGCCGCGGTCACACTGCAATATCTCATCGTTGGGAGCTATCTTATTTGTTTTCAAAAACGGATATTTTCCAGCAACAGCAGTGCAATTAATCACCTGCACCTGCACCGTAGGAGCACCACCTGTTGACCCCGTTGCGAAGGCAATCGAATCAATGTCGAGTTTACAGCGCACACTGCTTAAGGGCAAGCTGCCACCCACAATTCCTGGCGGGCGCATCGGCCGAGCGTAAGTGTTGAGACTCTAGGATGGGGGGAGCACGTACGCAATCTCTACCCGATTTGGCCAATTATAGGGACTCGTTCAAGAAGTCACGCATCCGCGACTACAAGCCGGGCATGTGGAACGAGTTTTTCGCGGAGAAGGAAGACGTCGTGGTGGATGAGAAGCGCACCTTCAGAATATACCGCACCAAGCAGCCAGAGAAGCCGGGTCCAGTACTGCTCCTGCTCCACGGCGGTGGCTACTCGGCCCTCACCTGGGCCCACTTTTGTGTGTGTATCTGCCGGTGTTTTGATATTAAATTACACATGATAATTCCACTTATCCACTTTAGTCAGAAGTGACCAGCATGATCTACTGCCAGTGCTTGTGCATCGACCTGCGCGGTCACGGGGACAGCAAGGTCGACGACGAGGACGATCTCTCTGCGGATACGTTGGCCAAGTGAGTTGCTTCCATCGCCCAAGTTTTCGTTTTGCGATAAACAAACGATTAAAATCAGCTTTAATTGCCAAATTTGCATAATATGTTTATATATATGTATAAATAGCCCATTTTAATTTAAATGAGGCCGATCTCTACGTTTTTAGAATGATCAAGACAAATTACTGTATTGATCTACTTATTTTTTAGGAAAAAATTAGGAATTTTAAATGTTTGACATATACTCAAGATTCTAGCTTACGTCATTTGTCTCAAAAAATTTTAATTCTAAAATTGGTCGTTTTTACGATCAATAGCATAAAGCTTAACTTTCAAAATTATTTTAATATTTTTATTTATTTTTTTAATTTCCCCCAACATAGAGACATTGGCGACTTAATCCTGAAACTTTATGCCGAGGATGTGCCACAACTCTTTGTGGTTGGTCACTCGATGGGCGGTGCCATCGCCGTCCACTTTGCCCACATGGCTCTGGTGCCCAATTTGATTGGCATAACCGTTATCGATGTTGTGGAGGGCACTGCCATGGAGGCACTGGCCAGCATGCAAAGCTTTCTGCGTTCCCGTCCAAAGTATTTCCAGAGTATTCCGAATGCCATTGAATGGTGCATCCGAAGTGGCCAGGTGCGCAATGTGGACAGTGCCAAAGTGTCCATGCCCGGGCAGATAATTAAGTGAGTGAGGCGGTATAAATAACTTCTACAGAAAATCTGAATTATAAATTCGTTTCAGCTGTACAACGAATAAACTCGCAACGAATGATCTGCCACTACCCGACGAAGTTCTGGAGGAGGCACATCACAATAGCATGTTTCCCAATCCGTTTAGTATTTCGGAGGACGAGGAGTCGTCACCGCCGGGTGATGAGGCCACGGATGGCAGCCCGGAAGGCGTAACAGCTGGTGCGGATTTCAAGAAGCCCATCACGACCAAATCGATGACCGAAGCTGCCAAAAAGTATGATCTTTATATTTTAATTAGGCGTACAATTTATTTCCGCTTTTCCAGTTACACCTGGCGGATTGACCTGTCCAAATCGGAGAAGTACTGGGTGGGCTGGTTCTCGGGACTGAGCGATAAGTTCCTCAACTTGCGCCTGCCGAAACAGTTGCTTCTGGCCAGCATAGATGGACTGGATCGCACTCTGACAGTTGGCCAGATGCAGGGTCGCTTCCAAATGCAGGTTTTGGCCCGCTGCGGCCATGCCGTTCACGAGGACCGTCCACACGAGGTGGCCGAGGTTATTAGCGGCTACTTGATTCGGAATCGCTTCGCGGAGGCTGCCAGCGAATTCCGCTGCCACATGCCGTCGTGCTAGACAAACCACCTCCCCCTGGAATCCAAGGTTGAGCACAAGCTGGGGTCACAAAAGTCTATTTTTGAATGGAAGGAACATTACTCTTTGAACTAACAGATGCGTGCATATATATATACAAAGTGTAGTGCGTAGATCGAGATATATATAGCCGTATATTCTATATACACATATACTTATAATCCAGTAATTTATTCTGTATGTTTAATTAAACCTTATGAATTTTTAACATTGTACTTTATACTCATTTTGCCAAAATCTAAAGTCAAAAGTGCTTGCGTTTGGGCTTCTTACATTGTTAAAATGAGTGTGTATTAAATATGTGCCAGATCAAAACGAAATTTACCGAAATCCAAATTATACGAATGCAAATAAGTTGAATAAAGCTATTTATTAATCGAGTGTTAACAGAAATTCCCACATAATTCGAATGAATCTTGGAATTTATTCCATTGGTTTGTTCTACATAAAAGAACTCAGTAAACTTGGATAACAGACCAACGCGTTTAGTCCACAAAACGAAAGCCCCCATCAGATTTCATCTTTATCTTAGATTCCAGCGCTTGAACGCGACGCAGACGCTCGGCGATTTGATCTCTTATTTCCGAACGATACTTTTTTCCCTGACCCATCGACTCCATTTCGGTCAACCACTCGGCACGCTCGTTGATTTGGTCGAGAACTTAAAAACAATGAAAATTTCTTTTATTAACATTTTGTTTTTGAATCCAAAAGATTTTCAACTTACGCTCATTAATTAGGTCCTCCTCCGTTACAAGTTGCTCCTCCCGTGGACGTCGTCGTGGCTTGATTGCTGGATCCGGCAAATGAGTCCCGGCCATGGTAAACTGAAGCTGCGACTTGGCCTTCTCCCCATGCATCCTATTATCCGTCGGCGGACGGTAGTAGCTCTGCTTGTAAGCTCCGCTCGCCTCAATCTGACGAAGATTCTTTCGCTTGGCATTGCGTGCGCGGTCCAGAATGGCCAGTGTCTCCTTGTCCGGATCGTTTTTGGTGTTGGGACGCGGCGGTTCGGGAAGTGGCAAAGGTTCCCCAGTTCTTAGACTCTCATCAATCTGCTTGCGTACCAACATCGACATCTTGGACTCTTTGACGAGCACTATAAATTATGATGGATTATAGGACTAAGCAATTGTATTTTTACCCGGTTATTTTTACAAGCAGTTTTTATTTTAAAAGTAGTTTTCGAATCATAATTAATTATTAAGATTATTGACCTGAAGCCACTTACATCGAATCAGATCGGCTGTTTCCTTGCTGTACTCCACTTTTGCTGAGTGAAAAGCTCCAGAGCCACCCGGACCAATACGTTCGCTTGGCCACAAGGGCATTTTCTTCGAACTGGGCTGCCCGCCATCCGCATCCGGCTCCTTGTGGGCCATAAGTCCTCCGGGAAGAGCCTTAATCTGTACATTGTTAAAGCGATGTCGGCTCATACTGCCAATCTATAAATTTTTGCTCAAAAAAGGACTAGACTTCTACTTCACAAATCGCTTCGACAATTTTGTGTGGCGTGTTCGAAGGTTAACCTCGGTGTGAAGTTGTTTTACGCCGGACAACAAGAATGGAGAAGCATGGCAACCTGGGTTGTTAGGTAAACAGCATGGGTATTTTTAATTCTCGAAATAATTTATTGAAAATAAATATATGTAGGTATTGTATGTGTGTATATGTGTGGGTAGGTACACGCTTGGTTTGTGTTCGCATTCTGATAAATTTCCTTTTCCCAGCGAACATCTAACTGACTTATGCACATTCGTCTACGAGTAGTTGCACTTTATTTCAAACCATTAAGTTTTGTGGATCGTTTTAAACTCTCTTAAGTTTGACAATTAGATTCAATTATTTCTGTATTTGAACTCGCCGTACAATAGGTTTTTTGTTTATTAATAAAAGCATCAGCGATTTACAGTGTTGCGGCTGTTGTCAACAAATTATCTTGAGAATATCGACAAGAAATTAGAAAACAAAAACATTTTTAAGCAAGATATACACATGCGTTTGTTCGGTTTTATACATTACAATTAGACTACACGTTTTTACGCTCTTATGGTAGTTATTTTTTGGCTGCCTTTTTTCAGCTCCGCCCTCGTCGTTTCTTTTTGATCCTAGCTTATGATGCGACATACATCTATATATATAAATATATATAATTTTTTAAAAACAACTAAAACATAACATATCGAGTGATTGGCTTACCATTTACATGATATAAACAATTGACTAAAGCAAACATAATAGTAATAGTAGAGATAGGCTAATTAATGACGTTGGTGATCATGATCGTCGGTATGCAATACATGGGTTTGGCCTAAGCTTACTTATACAAAATACAATATGTGGTTCCGAATCTCCAACACAAACAGTGAAACATGAAACTCTTCCCGTTTAAAGTTTAGTCTAGTGGTTGTTTCCGCTGTGTTGCGATCTCCTCTGGTGCAGTTACGGTTCAGCAATTATGTTCCTTTTAATTTAAAATAAATTATGTGTACGTGTATACATATAAACATATCCATTATGTGACTACTACTTCATTCAGCAAGCCTAGTTTTGATTCGCGCAAACAATTCTCAGCTCTCGTTTCTCGTTTCTTTTTTCTCAATTCTCGCTTTTCAATTCCCTCTCCATCCAGCTTTCTTCTTTCTAGTTTTTATAGTTGCGAAAAGTAATCTTAGTCAGTCTCATGGTCACGATGCAGAGTTCATTTTATAATTGTTACTAGATAAACCTTTTTCGTCGTCGTTTAGCGGGCTACTTTTTCTTTCAATTGGCGACGTTTGTTGATGGAAATTTAGTCGATGATGTGATTAGGATTAGAATAGCGTAAAATGTTGATCAAATTTGGCCAAATTTTCCTAAATAGAGAGAAGTTACTGTACTTTGTGTGTTTGCGATGTGTTTTTCTGTTGTGGAGCTTGGCATGTTAGTTTAACTACATAGATGGCGACAACATTTACGAAACCTAGACATTAATAACATTGACAGCAAGATACCACGCCCCCGCTGACAGCTGAAACAAGGATTTCCTGCGGGGAGTGCAGCATGGACTCTGCAAGTTCAACGGCCAGCCGTTGGTCCTGCGAGCCCAGCCAGCTGATCATATCATCCTTTGGGGGCATCTTGGCACACAATTAATAAACTTAACATTAAAACAAACTATTGCCTTACTAACTAAAAACGGTTACAAAAGACGTGGTAAAAGGGGACGCAGAGTGGACAACTAGACGCGACACAAACATAGATACGAATCTTACAAAGCTAAATATAAAAACATTGATGTTCGTTTATGAAATTAAACTTCAAACACGGTTCAAAGCTAGGTGAACACAAAAACTGCTGGCAGCCACAAATCTAACGCCTTTGCAATCCAATCTCTCCTCAGACAGCCCAGAACCGTGCTCAGTTCATTGCCTGTTCAGTCATTTGGCGGCACAGCGTCTCTAGCTGTTCCAGGCTCTTAAAGTCGTTCATCTTGTACTCCGTGACATGGGGCGATATGCCCAGATTAACCAGCTGTGGCTGGGACAGGCAATGATCCACGACATGGTTGTTGTTCTTGCCGCTTTGGTGACAGAGATTGTGGGCACAGGCACCACTAGTTACACCACCACCATTGGAACACAGACAGCTGCCATTGCTCACGGCAGCGGCAGCCGCTGCCAACAGTTGCAGCTGTTGCTGATTAATTAAATTGTTGTTGAGCATGCTGTTGTTATTGTTGTTGTTGTTGATCAGGATTTGTGGTTGATCGAGCTGCTCCTGGCTCTGATTTTGATTACTAACCATCACAACGGCGGCCATTGTCTTCTTTGGTTGCTGATCCGAACTACCGCTAAACTTTCGTTGCTGCTGCTGCTGATTGCGATCCATCACAAGATTGTCGTTGGATCCGTTGTTGGTCAGCACTCCTTGGCCAGGCTTGAAGATCAATTGCTGCGGCTTCTGCGGACCGCCGGCCACCAGGATAAGATTGTTCAGCGATCGGCGATGCGACTGCGGTGGCGTCTGCTGCGGCAACGCTGGAAAATGGTTGTGTTGCTGCAGCATTTGTTGCATCTGCTGGGCATGATGGTGCGCCTTGTTGGGCGGTGGTGGCGGCGGAGGCTGCTGCTGTGGATTGCCCAAATTGAAGCTGGGGTACGACGAGCTCTTGTACTGCGGCTGGTGCGACGGACCGCTGCCATAGCCGTTGTAATCGAACTGTGGCAGCGGCGGGGGTGGCTGCTGCGAATGATGGGGCAACGGGTGTTGCAGACAATTCAGCGAAAAGTTTAGCATATCGTTGGAGTTTTTGCGGTTGTTAATCCTATCGTTGCTGCCGTTCTTCGTATCGCACTTACGAGTCTTGCCATTCCACCTATAAAAATGAGATATTTCCATATTATATTACGATTCAATATTCCCGAGACAAGGCTTAAAAACATACCTCGGTTTGTTTAAATTCCCATTGCTTGGTCCAACTCCGGCTGGCTTAACGTGATGCATTTTCGTCACCATGGAGATCTTAATCTTCGAAAGCTTAAACTTCAGGTCCTTGAGTTGACTGGCTTGGCTCATGAATGCCTCGTTATGAATGGAGCGGTCCAGAATCCACATAAACACTCCCAGCGTCTCATCGTCCTGCGCGGCATAGGGATCTTGCTGCAAAGTGTTGCTCACAATGTCGATAACCTTGAGAAACCTGAGTGCTATATTTTCCTCCGGCGGTCCAATGGCCTCAACGGGCTTCATCGGTGTCAGCACAATGTTGGTCATCTCCTCGACCGCAGTGCTTAGTTTCATTTGACCCGCTAGTAGCTCCTGCTCCACCCGGTTGAGAATGTGGGCGCGCTCCTTCAGTTTATCGATGCACAGGGCCAGCTTGTGGGAGGCGCCCTTGGTCACACCCACACTTTGCAGGAAATCCTCGGTTATCAACAGCATCTCCTCGTACGTCATGTTCTTAAACAGTTCGATGTATTTATGCAGGCGCAGAGACTTAAGCCACAGTCCGATTCCCGACATACCCAAATTTCGAGAATAAAACTTGATGTAGTTGGGCTTAAACTCGTCCAGTCGCGTATCGGATCCACTGTTGATTAGGGCGCCGCGCTGATGTTCAATGGATAGGGAGAAACTGCGCGGTTTGTTGGCGAATTGGGCCAGGTTCTCCGTGGAATTAGAGCAGTTGTCATTGACCGTGATCACCGACGAGTTGGATGAGCTGGAGCAACTGGAGATCGTTTGCGTGGTAAGACTGTTGGATCGGCGCGTCTTCAAGGCGGCGATCTTACTGTCCAGGCTCCAACGGTTGATATCTCCAAACTGATCGCCTACGTTTCCCATCAAGATCGAGGCATAGGGTGGTGGCTGCAGCAACTGCTGTTGAAGATGCGGTGGCGGCTGCAATCGATCCTCTGCCGAAGTTCCACTTGCAAGACTGCAAGCTTCACCTAGGTCCGCCGTAACCGGATCAAAGTCAAGTATCTCCGTGCCATTCTTGCTAAATGACGTGTCATGATCGTCGCCACCAGCGATGCCCAGCATTGAGCCTGCTCCGGCGACCACACCGTTGACCAACGAGGAGCTGTTCTCCAGCGACAGGCCGAGGCTATTCTGACTAGAAGCTAATTCGTTCAGGGTAATACCATTTATATTATCACAGAGTGGATTGATGGAACCGCTAGAGCTGCCGCCTCCGCTGCTCCGCCACTCGCCGGCCAACTTATGCTGCAGCTGTTTACTGGGCGGCGCGATGGTCTGCCAGTCGTTGGTACGCGAGGATCGGCTACCGCTGGCGGGACACAACGATGAAGAGGCCACCGATGAGCAGGAGGCCGTTGAGGAGCTGGCTGCCGATGAGGAACAGCTTCCACTGCCCGTAGAACTGCCACCGGCGACAAGTTGAGGGGAGGGCTGCAGAAAGTAACTGCGATTTGTCAGGCCCGCCGCTGCTGCCTGGATGTGATCCTCCAGGTGTCGCAGCCAAATGTTCAGCGACCGTCTGTCCTCGCTGCTGATGGCTGGATGGATAAGTAGGTACGAGAAAATCTGCTGCACCAGCTCCGTGGGCACAATCTGCTGCATGGTGTCCTTGACGGCCACCGGGATGAGGGCCAGGTAAATAAGCTTGGCCTCTTCGTTGCCGGGCTTCAGCAGCGGCAGCATGTTGAGCACCTCGTGAAGAATGTCCTCCTTGCGGGCATACAGCTTCCGCTCGTCACACTGCGCCGACGTGGTGATCTGGAAATCGCTACCATAGCACGGCATTGAATCCTTGTCTGATGAGGATGAAGACATGGCATCGAGCAGATCACATGGCTGGAACGTCTTGTAGGCGTTCAGAAGGTTCTGCAGGTATACCGGATTGTTGGCATTGATGTCGATCACCACGCTGCTCAGATTCGTCTGCGAGGTGCCCAGATTCTGGGTAAGGTTGCTATCGATCGAATACTGGAGAAACTTGAGGCTTGGGTAACGCAGCCGCTTAAGCAGCGCGTACATCACGACGGTCCTCTCGCAGTCGTTCCACTTCTCAAAGAGATTTGTCACTGTGGTCACCTGCTCGCAGAACAGCGCGTTAGAAGGTTGGCTCTGGCTGGAATTGGAATTGCCATTGGCGTGTGTCGCCGTCGTCGTGGCTGTGGATGTGTTTGCGGCTTCCTTGTGGGCTGCTGTGGGTGTGGATGTGGTAGGCTGCATCTCTTTGGATGCACTGTTAGTGTTTTGGGAGGGGCCGCTGATGCCGGAGGTCATCGCGTTGTCAGTTCCAGTTGCGTACTTCATCTCGTTGTTAGTTTCTTCTTTTTTTTGGGGAATAGTGTCTATTTTAGTTGATGGTTTTATTATTGTTACTGCTTCTTTGTGGTTATTTGGTTGCGTTTCCTGAAAGTAAAGTTAGGGGATATGTTAATAAAGTGTTGGGATTGGTTTAAGTTGTAAACATTTTGGGGAGAATACTTAAACTATTAGAAAGTAAAAATAAATTTTAAATCTTGAGCCATAATCTTTATGGCTTAATTTAAAAAGTATTATATAATAACGATTAGCTGTGAATGAACGGTTATTTTTCACATAAATGTATGGTTGCCCAGGACTTTTTATCTGAAGGTTTTAAAAAGAATAATTTAACCTTACTTTTAAATTGGATTACAAAGGCCACTAATTGAAGCCTTATTTTATACCCCAATTCAGAACCACGTGATCAAATCAATCAGTTCTTCTTTTTTTCGCAAAGTTGTCGCCATTGCTCCACTCCGGATTAGAGTGCCGTGTGGCGATAATAAATCAAACTTGAAGCCGCAAATAAACGTTCGGATTTAATCAAATCAGTTTTCGCTAATTTGTTAAATTTACAAGCTCGGAGACAGCAACGCGGTAGCAACAACAATTATTTGTAATTGACGAAAGGAAATTAGCATTTGCATGGTCCGCTGATCGAACGTTTGGTCGACTGGCTTATCAGGAAAGCAAATAAACAACAAATATATAACACCTTCTATTCGTTTCGATTGCGCGAGTGACGACCGATGATAAATCAATAAAAAACAAACATTTCAAATACGAAATCGTTATTTTCGACTTTGAATTTGATTTCCGGGGCGGTAAAGGGGTTAAGCGCGGGGGTGAGAAGTTTGGTTAGGTTTTTTTTGCCCAGTTTCGCACTTTTCATTTAGTTTCGTTTGCCATTGCTTGTGTGTTCCCATTTTGAATCTTGTTTCTTCTGCCGCCGTTCGTTGTAGTTGTTGCTTTTGTTCCGACTTTCTTCAACTTTTTTTTTTTCCATTTTTCTACTGTTTTTACACTGTAAACTCAGAAACCTGAACAAACATAAATGTCAATTAATAAAATCCCTAATAAAATAGTGGTTGTTAATCAAACCAAGAATTATTATTAACCCCACAGTAATGATTTGCAAACAAAAACATTAATTTATATTAGTCCTTTTCCAATGATCACTTTTTTTTTATGTACATATATAGTTTTTAGTAGTTTACAATGCTGAGTGCTCACTGTAGACTCCCATGTATTGGTGCCTCTGTGCTTGTGGGCAAGCAGTAAAACATAACGGGCCCCAATTACTGCATTTAAAGCACTGCTACTGCTTTGGAATTTGCCGATGTTTCTTTTTCATACCACTTAACGTTTAAAATAAAATTTCACATTTATATCTTTTTGCGACTGAGAGAGCGAAAGAGATGCATTTGGCGCGCCTCGATCTAACGGTATTTGTGCATGCCCGGGCCGATCTTTGAGGTTATGCGTCACTGCAATTGCTGTTATTTTCCAACCGGCTTACAAAAAACTATAAAAGTTCAATAATCGCTACTGGAAGTTCACAAACACACGAACAGGACACAGGAAACTCACGTTATTTTATTTGTATTTTTCTGCCTCTTTAGCAGTCGCGATCGCATACGTTTAGCATATTCCCAACGTTTATTTACGTTATGAATAATTCAGATTATCTGCCACTTGCAGAAAAGACACTTTATATTTGTTTTATTCGATAAGCAAGCTGGAAGGCGAGACTGCACTGGAAGCTGCAGTGGGGAGCACCGCGGAGAAGGAGCGGCTGATGGCGAATGATTGGCGCTGGCGTCAGCGTTTTAGAAATAAAATGGTGGAGCTTCTCAGGGCAGAGCAAAACGGGCGAAAAGGAGCGCGCGCCTTTTTTTCTTACAGCCCAAAAGGAACGGAACGATGATGCTGTTTGTCAAGAAAATGGGGAGAGCACACACACACGGAGACCTTGCTGCGCTTTGGCAGAATGTGCGCGTGTAGTGAGAGTGACACACTGAGCAATGCACGGGCGAAATTGCGGCAAATTACATGAGAGCGCATTACAGGGCAGTTCATACCTCTCCTCTCACCGTTCCCCTTTCAATTGTTTTCATTTACACTCGCTTTCCGTTCGCAGTCTTTTCCTTGCAGTGGCGTGGAGCCAAAGGGGTCTGTTCAGGGGAGGGGGCTTTGTTGTTTTCACCACACAGAAGAAGATTGGCCCCCAAAATCACGCCCCACCCACCCAAGCAGCCACCTAGCCACGGTCGGCCAGACAACAAAAATATATAGCTACACTGCGCTTGTGCCAAAATCGTTCTATTTTTCAATTACCTTTTCGCCTTCTATTCGCCTGCTGCACAAACCTTGAAAATTATTTTCTGTTGCAATTCACAGTTTTGATTCGATCAGCACGAGAATCGAGCATATTTCGTTAATTTGATATGCTATCGGATCGCGCATTTATTAATTTATAATTTTCACCTTTGCTCGCGCGCGTGTGTGTGTGGTGGTACTGGTGTGGTGTGTGTGTGTATTTTTATTAGCACTTTTGGGCTTTAGCTTTGTTGTTTTTGCTAAACCATCGCCTTTTTTAGCCACACACTTTCAGCCGAGTACAATTTACGATTTTTCAAAACGGTCAGGTTACGGATAAACGCACACGGCTGGTGTTGCATTTGGTTAGATGCATGTTTTCGCCAGCTATTTCATTTTTTTCAGCAATTAATTAATTATTTATTCACGCGAACGCAGCGTTGCTAGAGCTGGAACAAAAATCGATGACTGATTGATGATATCGATATAACAAGGAGCTTATTTAAAATCGATAGTTTGTCTGCGACTCGAAAATGCACTAACGCGTTCAACATTTTAGTCGTGATGGTAAACCAAGGTTCGGACATCTGCTAGTCAGCGGGTACGAATCCAAAATATTCCAGCTGCTGTTTTAGCGATATAAAAGCCAAAAAAGAACCTACAGATCTTAAGCCAGTGTTTTGGCTAGAAACAAGCCGTAACAAACAGTTGTTTAGCAAGGTGGTGTTTTTAAGGAAAAGAGCGGCAGCCACACTGCAAAGCCAATTGGAACTAAGATAATTTTTGTAAATTTTCTAAAATTATGATGCAGAAAAGATACAGCGATGCAGTGAATCAAGGCACTGAGTTAGTGCTCAGGACGAGGAAGTAATTGCTTCAAGATAAACACCCCGTAACGGCGACTATCCCAACGAAAACAATTGCACCACAGCCACAAAAACAACAACACATCACATCAAAGTCGCCATCAACTTGCTGCAGTGCAAAATGTTTGCCCAAAATCATAAAACTAGCTTCTTGGAGCAAAACAAGGCGGCGCGGGAAGAGCGGGCACTGGAAAAGCGCCGAGAACAGGCGGCCATTTTGCTGCAGGCCACCCTGAAAGGATATGCGGCTCGCAGGAAGTATCAGAAAAGGATCATGTATGTAATCGCCCATTCCCCAAAAACTTTAATAAAAAACAAAACCTTACAGCCATGATTTCGATGCCATGTTCACGGAGTGTCAGGATGACAAGGATGCCGAACTGGAACTGCTGGCCATCAATGTCTACCCGGTGCTTCGACGCTATCTCACACAAATCAAGCTGGATAAGAGCGATGTGCGGTCGCGGGAGCGTTTGGAGCGCATCTGTCGGTATATCATCAAGGCCATGGAAGCGGAGAACACGAAGCTGTCATACGCCGCCCTTTGTCTCTTCAAGGAGCGAAGTCTGCCGTGGATAGCGCACATCAAGATACTTCTCACCAACTGCCTGATATTGCTGCCTGAGCTCAAGCCGGAGAACCATGCCGACAGCCTAACCTTAGCCCTCTTCCTGCACACATTGGTGGTCTTCACGGCGCCCAAATCCTGGGCGATACTCAGGAGTGCGCAGTTCGAGAAGCTGCAGCCGGCCATGCAAAAGATCTGCTGCAATATTCAAGGGCATCTAGTGCAGCACGACTTCTACAGAACCATGCGAGTGGGTTTGACTTTCCTAACCATATATTATGGCTACTAATATCATATCTGATGTCATTCACCAGCTCGTTTTGCTGCGGGGCACGGTGCGCGAGGAGTTGTCCGTGAAACCCGTCACCCTGGTGGCCATCATCACGCTCTGCCTGCGTCCGCTGATCGATGGAAACTTCAGTCGTAATCTCCTGACCAAATTCCTTTCGGAAATTATGTCTGTGCCCGCTTTGATCTACCACCTTCACCAGAGTGTGCCGCAATGCCTGGATCAGTTCTCGTCCTTGGGGCTGCTGAAGAAGGCTTTGAGCATCTCAGAGGACTTGGAATGGTTTAAGGAATTCAGCGCTAGCATGCCAGGCACCAAGTCGTTGGCTTTTCTGGGAAACATAGTTAATCTGTTTAACATTGATGGCCAAGCTGAGTCCAAGGACTTGGCATACCCACTACTGCCTGTAAGTTGTGGGGAAAATATATTTTTCAACGGGAAACTAATGATTGAATCCCTATAGAAAACCACTAAATGGCTGCTGGAGCTTATACCCAACACGGTGACCACCAAGGGAGTCTTCACCCAATGGCACGAGCTTTTGGGCTGGCATACTCCCGGTCCAGAGCCAGCTCAAAATCAGAACGTGGCTCTGATTAAGAAGCAGTTTCACATGCTATGGGATCATCGCTGTATAAAGCTGCTGCTGGGAGATCTGCTGAAGGACATCAATCAAAACTACGAGCGCATTGAGTTCCAATCCCCCCAGCAGCCTTCCACGTCGAATCTGTTGCGACGGGCCTTGGAGCGCAGCTCGACGAGAGGAGTTAACTTAATAGGTGGCACGAACAGCAAGCAAAACAAACAGCAGTGGCGCAAACTGGACAATGAGGATGTGGTGCAGGTGTCCCGCATCTGTAGCATGTACTATGCTGCCCTCAACACTCTCTCCCAAATGAAGCTAGACATACTGACTGGCATTTGCTACAACGACAATGTGCTATACGATATTTGGCTGCTAATAACTTCCCTGGGTCCCAGCTGCGGCATGAAGGAGTACCTGGAGCTGCTTAAGTCCGAGTCCAACCTGCAGAAGCCACAAACTGCCATGCTGATGCTGTTTTGCGACTGTATGACGCACTATGTCACGTAAGAGACTCTACTTTCAAACTGACTAGATTTTCTATTGTAATGGATTATTTATTCTATAGGATTTTGGATGAATACGAAATGTACACGGAGCAGAATCCTTTTAAGCTGAATGATTATGTGATGCTGACCTACTTCCTTAACAATATTCTATACAAACTTATCAACGATAATCTTCTGGGTAAGCCTTTACTTTATATTTAAGAATATTTGAACTTTATGTTTAAATGTTTATAAATTCTCTTTCATTCTCCAGCAGGGGCCAAGAACATTACTCAGAATTCTGTTTTCCACTCGCTGCACACTTTAATGCTCTGTTTGTATCGCCGAGACTGCCGCCGCCCATTCACCCCGCCCAACCACTGGCTCATACCAGAGGTGAAGCCCTCAACTTTCATCAACGATCTGGAGAAGGCTAAGCGCAACGCAATGCTGCTGTTGGCCAAGATGCCGCACATTATACCGCACGAGGATCGGGTCAAGCTGTTCCGAAAGTTTGTGCAGAACGAAAAGGCGGTGATGGGACTGACGGAGAGTGCTTGCGCTTCGCCGCGTTCTGCTCTGATCGTCATCCATCGCGAGCGGATTGTGGAGGATGGGTACAGGCAACTGGCTGCGCAGCCAACGCAAGCTTTAAAGGGCGTCATCCGGGTGCGTTTCATCAACCAGCAAGGACTTCACGAGGCGGGCATTGATCAGGACGGCGTGTTCAAGGAGTTCCTGGAAGAGACCATCAAGAAGGTGTTCGACCCGTCGCTGAATCTTTTCAAGACCACCTCAGATCAGCGCCTGTATCCCTCGCCGATTTCCTACGTCCAGGACAATCATCTGCAGCTCTTCGAGTTCGTGGGTCGCATGCTGGGAAAGGCGGTGTACGAGGGCATCGTGGTGGACGTGCCGTTCGCCTCCTTCTTCCTCTCCCAGCTGCTCGGCCAGACGCAGCAGGCCCTGTACTCCTGCATGGACGAGCTGCCCTCGCTGGACAACGAATTGTACCGCAGTCTAACCTTCATCAAGCACTACAAGCAAGATGTGGCCGATCTTAACCTGACATTTTCCGTGGACCAGGATGTGATGGGCAAGATTGTGACGCATGAACTGCATCCGGGTGGCAAGGCGCGTGTGGTCAATGACCACAACAAGTTGGTCTACATCCACTATATGGCCTTCTTTCACATGAACACGCAGATTAGGGAGCAGACGATAGCGTTCAATCGTGGCTTCCGCAGCATTGTCAATCCGGAGTGGTTATCTCTTTTTTCGCCACCCGAACTGCAGCGCCTTATTTCCGGGGACACCGTCCCATTGGATTTGAAAGATCTACGCAAGCACACACAGTATTATGGTGGCTTTCACGACTCCCATCGCGTGGTGGGCTGGCTCTGGGATATTCTGGCCAAGGATTTCACGGAGGAGGAGCGAAAGCTGTTTTTAAAGGTGCCTTGTTGATATGCACATTATGCTTAAAAGTACTAATATTAAATATTCTTTCCAGTTTGTTACCAGCTGCTCGAAGCCTCCGCTTTTGGGTTTCGCCCACCTGGAGCCTCCCTTCTCCATTCGCTGTGTGGAGGTGGGTGATGATGAGGATACGGGGGACACGATTGGAAGCGTGATCCGGGGTTTCTTTACCATACGCAAGAAGGATCCGCTCAACCGCCTGCCCACCTCGTCCACCTGCTTCAATCTGCTAAAGCTGCCGAACTACCAAAAAAAGTCCACGCTGCGGGACAAACTTCGCTACGCCGTGAGCAGCAACACCGGATTTGAGCTGTCCTAAAGCAGCTTGAAGCTCTTTCTCCCACTCTTACTTCCTTATTTAATCACACATTTTGTATGTTACTCCTTTTTAAGGATCTTTTCGTAGGCAATTCGGTGTAAATGTGTTTTTAATGCTTTGTGTTCGCATCACAATCGGATTGGAAAACACATTTAATCAATCTTAAACACAATTATTAACAAATAAATATAAACGTATAGCTGTGATAAAACTATAATAAACTAAACGAAGAGTACACAAAAATACCAAGCTGAATTACGAATACTGGAACACACAATCCATTTTGGTGGCTGATGATAAAAACAAAAAAGAAATGTGTCTAGTAAATAATGTAAACGATTGTGGCCTGGCACACACAACAAATATCTAACCCACGTACAGTGTAAGCCAAAAGTTACATGTAAACCACGAACAAAAAAAAACCAGCAACAATAAATCTATGTGTCTGATTCATGTGCAAAATGTAAGCCTGTTTATCAGATTTGTCTTGCGTAAGGTAGCCTAAGCGCGTTCCCAAAGATAACAAACATGCAATTAGTGAGCGCAGCTCGAATTTCCCCGGGTTTTTCCAGCCCGAAAACTGAATGAAAATGGAAATGAAGCCGGACTCGACACGAGTGACGAGCTGCGCGAGCGCTAATGACACAAATCCGTCTGGACGGGGCCTGCAATCCCGAACTCCTCCGCTAATTGCCTGAGTCACACTCAAGGGTCTCGGGTCAGGGGCACTTAGACGGTCCGCAATAAGCGGAAATACGGCAAGAAGTTTATGCAAAGCTAGTCGAGTTACGAATTACCGGAAATTGCATAGCTGACTAATGACCGGAGACGGGCAACGGAAATGCGAGCAGGGATTAAGTAGATGTCCTTAAATAACGAGATATCCCCAGGAAAAATATGATTAGAAAGAGAATGTCAAAGGTTGGGTTGATAAACGTTATGGTCATTTTTATTTCCAAGAAGTTTATTTACCTTATACCGGTTCGAAATTTCATCAATAACCGAGTTCTTATCTTTAAAATTTCGAAACATAAAGTTTTTGGTGATCTGAACTAAAGGTTTGTCAGTTAAATTAATAGATATTATTTTCTATTATATTATTATTTTATCTTAAAATTAGTCTAACATAAAATGAATCGAATCCGCATCTCCGGAGGTAATTTGAGACTTTGTCCTGGTCATCGATCGTTAAGGATCTTTATGGGCTCCGTTCCGGTTCCCATTTTGGTACCCCCAAGGCGATGTCCTTTTGCGGTTTTGTCGGCCCGCTTTTGTCTCCAAGTCTTCAGTCGGCGGCCAGACAATAGCAAACAAATTGTAGAGCAGACCCACAAACAGGCAATAATCATAACAATAATTTCGAAAACTGCAGCGACGCAAACAGTCGGCGGTCGTCGGTGGTGCGCAGCCAGGTCATAAAACTCGCATCCTCGACGCTCCGGCTTTTGTTCCCTTCGATGAGAGGAGAGGACAGCATCTCGGGGACAAAGTGTGATGATTTTTATGACTACTCGCCTGTGAGTTTTCGCCGCCACCGTCGCCCTGGCACCCGAAAGATGCCACGAAAACAGGACAAGTGGCAACAAGTGACTGATCCGTTAGACATATCCTTTATTCCCAACCCATCCCACTTCGATGTTCAAGTGGCCCGGAGGCGACAGCGGCTTGGCGCCAGTTTGATTCGATGGCCACTCCCGGCTGCCGCAATTTGTTGTGGCCCAGCATCAAGTGCCGTTTAAAGGTTTGATTAGCCCGACTTATCACAAAGCGGATCTCTTTTCGGCGACCCTCCGTTGCAAACGGTAGCGGCGAGATTTCGTTGCATCTACAAGATGCGATGATGCAAGACTGCAGATAAGTTAAACGTTCTGGAGCAGATGGGTGCTGATCATGTCTTCAAGATATCTGTATCTAGCGGATATCAAGGGTTTAACACTCAAGAGCGCTCTCTTTAAAATGCCGATTATATAAATTATAAATATTTTTAAAGGTTCTTAAGAAAAACTCCATTCCATTTCTAGGCAAGTCTATGGGAAAAAGTAAATCATGACTTTCTAGATTTAAAAATGATATTGCGAAGAAATTTAAAGTATTTCTTTATATGTATCTTTTTTTACATAAGAGCCTTAATTTTTATAAAAAAAAGTCTTATATCCCATTTCTTGTTTGAATTTATTTGCCTTAAAATATTATTATTTATTATAAAACTATCAGAATTCAAACAAGGGCGATTAGAAGAACCCAATCATTAATAAAAACACATCGTAAAATACTTATGAAATCGAAATACATATTTGATTTTTTAGTAATCTAAATATCTCTATTTAGTTTACAAATTAAACAAATCACAAGACAGACATTAAAATATAATTCGATTTCGTGAAAGTTGAAAATGTAAAGAATGTTAAATAAATTTAAACCAAAATGTTTAAAGAACTTAATAAATCTTATACAAATCTAACATAAAAAATATTTCATCGCCTTTTTTTTGGATTGCCGCGTGCTCACAAAATTACAGCTTCCCATTTTTAGAAGGCCGCAATCTCATGGAACATTATTGGTTGGCCCATATCCAAAACGTTTTCCAGTTCCATAAATATTACAAGCGATTAGGCGACTTCAAAGAGCGCTTCCCCACATTTCCCCAGAAAAACCCCCAGTCTCATAGCCATAGCCGTTCCCCTTTCCATATAACGCTATCAGCTATCAGCGGCAAGATGGGTGCCGTGCCCCCAGTTCCAACAAAGGAGGAGGAGGAGGTCACCAGAACCCGAAGCCGAACCCCAAACCGAACCGAAACCGAAACCCCCTCTTCAGAGCATAACGAAAATGGCGTTCCGTCTGGCGGAGAGTGCGAGAGCGGGACGACATAGCTCTCACCGATAAGCCACCAATGGCAGGGAGAGATAAATATAGAAGCAGTGGGAGTGAGAGAGCAGGAGAGCGGCAGACCACTTGAGCAGGGGAACAGGTCCAACGACTACCTGATGATCGCGGAGGAACCGAAGAGCGAGGGAGGAACCCAACCGACCGGATTCGGGCGGAATCGAAGTAGTGCCCGCTCTCAGATTCCGAGAGACAGTCTCAATCTGGACAGCCAAGCGATCAGTTCGTGTTCCAGTCGATCGATACTACCCGCGGACCAATATCACACAAAATACCTAAGATAACATATCTCTAGGAAGACCCCAAAATGTTGACCTTGCCCAACATCGCCGATCTGCGTTTGCAGCAGCAGATTGCCCAGGAAATATACCGCCAGCAGATTATGCAACGATTGCCGGGTAAGTTTGGCATTATCACCTGGAAATTTGCCGTCGGCTAACTGGCAAATATATTTCTCCAATAGATCCCCTTTGCGGTTTGTTGCCCAATTTTGCCGGACACTTTGTCCCACCGCCGCCACCACCACAACCCACTTTACCCGGAGACGTGGAGGCCAAGCTGGAGAACAATGAACTGTGGCAGCAGTTCCACAGCATCGGCACCGAGATGATCATCACCAAGTGCGGCAGGTTGGTACCACTATTTACTAATTGCCTATTTGCTCGTCCCCATCAGCTTATCTCTTACGACGATAAGCCATCTGGTTATTTTGGGGCTTTCGCTGGAAACGTGTCACCCAACACATAGTAACATTATTAATATATTATCTTTATTCCTTTTTAGGCGCATGTTTCCCTCGATGCGCGTTTCTCTCAGTGGCCTGGAGGAGGAGGCCAGCTATTGTGTCCTCCTCGAAATGGTGCCCATAGGCGACTGCCGCTACAAGTTCTCGGGCTCCCAGTGGGTTCCTGCCGGAGGAGCCGAGCCCCAGAGCCCCCAGCGAATGTATCTGCATCCGGAGAGTCCTGCGACGGGAAAGCATTGGCAGTCGCAGGCTCTGCTCTTCAGCAAAGTTAAGCTGACGAACAACACTCTGGATAATAATGGACATGTAAGTGTGAAAACGATCTATATTTGAATAACTTTTATAACTCTGTAAACAGAAATTATAAAAAATGATGTTAAAGATACATCTTAATCTTCAATCTTCATAAAAATGTTCTATAAATATCACTGCTCCAGTTACGCATACATTTCCAAGAAATAAATATTTTTGGTTTAAAGATAATACAGTTAATCGAAATGTGCTAAAATGTTTACTTACTTATTTATCTTCTGTATTTTCCCCCTTTCCAGATCGTCTTGGCCAGCATGCACAAGTATCAGCCGCGTCTGCATGTCATTCGCACCTCCGATCTCGGCCAGATTCCCTGGGCTCCCCAGCAGGCCTTTGTGTTCCCGGAGACGGAGTTTATAGCCGTTACGGCTTATCAGGTGTGTGCTGCTATATCTCAGTCTAAGTACGAGATGTGATAACTAATCCCCGTGTTTGCATTTGCAGAATGACCGCATAACCAAGCTGAAGATCGACAACAATCCCTTTGCGAAGGGATTCCGTGAGTCGGGTCAGTCGCGGTGCAAGAGGAAGATCAATGACTCGCCACCGCCAACGCAGCCGGAGGTTACCCAGGTGGACCCGATGCCATCGCCGCTGGCCAAGCGTTTGCGACTGGTGGAGGAAGTTCCCCAGCATCACCATCACCATCAGAATCAGCACCCGAATCTTCAGAGCCTTCCAATGCAGCGTCACTATCTGCTGGATACTCTGGAGGCCAATTTCTATATGCCAGCGCCACCGCCGCCGTCGATTGATTATGCCAGGCACATCGGAGGCTATCCAAGTTGGGCCTACACCCCTCCCTCGCCGGCCTCCTCCGTTTCGTCCTCCTCGGCGGGTTCCTCCAGCGGTGAATCCTCGGCCGAACGGGAGGCAGATGCCGACACCTTTGTGGATGTGGTCGGAACCGCCACTACTGCTCCTCCAGCCTCAGCTCCCTCGCCCAGCGATCCAGTGCCCAAGCCAAAACGAAGCAGCTTCAGCATCTCGGACATATTGGGAACCAGCTCGTCCATTTAAACCAGATCCAGTCCGAGGGGCAGGTGCTCCCATTTGGCTTGAAATCGGTGCCTTGTACATTTAATTAGCGTTTAGTTGCCATCGTCTGCTTAGTGTCTAAGCTAAATTGTGATATTTTGCAGTTAATTAGGATTTCCAGGTATTTGCCATCAGTATTTATCGTATTTATTATGCAATTTTAATTGTTCAAATGATTTCGTAATGGATTTATTGTCTTTGGCATTTTAATGCGGCATAAATAAAATATCTATGTATACACACACTGAATCCAATTGAGATATGTATGGATTTCTGGGAGCAAACAATGCCTGGAATGTGGAGCAATTAGAGGCGACAGACAAGACCGGGGACCTGTATAAATTCCCCAATAACTTCCCATGACTGCGCTTCGAATCCTGTTCCAGCAATTTGTGTGTTGCATGCTTCCCATTTGCCTGTCGTCGCCGAATACATAATTCGGTTTCGGTTTGGGTTTCGGTTTCATATCTCCCGCATGCGAGGCATAAAAACCTGTTCCCTGCAAGAAACCCACGGGCCTCCCTTCTAAGAGCAGAATAACCCACCGGCATCCAGCAATAAGCAACCAGCAACATCGGCAGCAACAACATGGACATGGGCTTATCAGCAGATCAGAGCGAGCCGCATCTTAAACGCTGGCGCCGGCGCCAAGTTAAATGCGCTGATTGAGCGCCACGATCGCCGGCAATCCTGGCGAGCAGCAGTCCGACTTGGAGTCCCCAATCCACAGTGCACAATCCCGGGTAATTGATGTTTTCACATTGTAGTTGTTAGCGAAACTGTGGCCATTTACATGCAATTGTCCCGGTGTCCCATCACACATCTCCATGCTATCGAGCGGAAACGAGGCGGTGCCTTTGATTGCCAAAGTCCACCAGTCGCAAGTGTTGCCCCCAAACAGAGAGCCGGCTAGATGATTGGCCGAACAGGCCAGCTTCGACGGTGGCATTCGCTTCAGTTCGCGTTAAGAAACAATTGTTAAGAGCCAGGATCGCAATATCCCAACGATACCCACACACGTTGCTGCAACCTGTTTTCGGGTCCATTCATGTTGCCGCTGGAAGTGTTTATGGGCTCCACATTAGCCACACTGCATATTCATGTTAAACGTCGCCAAAAGACTAACGACAATGTTCGGCCCATTGTGTTGTTGTTGTTTCTGCTGCTGCTGCTGCTGCCGCTGCCGATGTTGCCTCTACCTTTACCTGAAATTTATTGAATTCTCATTTGGGGGCCTTCCGCTTGGCCAAGAAGAGAGAGTCCATGTTTGGGGGCCGGAGCAAAGCAAACGTTCGCATGTCAGCGGCAAATGAGCTCCGACCCGAGCTCACTCGGCGATCTGCCAGCCGAGATAAGCCATAGCCATTCCCTCCTCTCCACAGGCATGTGTAATTTCCTTGGAAATTAATGTTGCCGCGGCCGAAATCAAAGTCACGGGCAGCATTTTTCGCTGGCGACAATTTTATCGGCAGCACAATGAAATCATTTGGAGCCGGCGACGACGTTCCCATTCAACGTTGGCGATATTATGTCTTCGCCGCAGTTTGACAGTCGCATATGTTTGGCGCTCTAATTGCTTTGGTAGTTCCCAATCTTTTATTGAAGAAAGACAACCCCTTATAGAATAAATGTCAATTCGTCCAGCGGGTATGTGATGTGATGTTATGATATAAAGTTGATATTATAATAGTTGTATCGTCTAGTAGATGCGATCGCCAGTGCGCATGGTGGGACGATGGTGCCAGTGGTTTGGATTCTTCGGCTCCACCAGTCGGCTCAAATCGAAGCCGGCTGGTACTACAATGGGTTGCTTAATGCCTTTCAGCGCAGGCGATATCTTCCGGGGAGTTTCTACTTGCATCCTTGGCAGAGGAGATACGTATTCCTCGGTTTTCTCGATCGGAGGTGCCACAGCGATCTGAAAGAGAAATGCATGAACATTTAATATTTAACCTAAATAATTGAAAATGCGACTTATAAAGACAGCTAGGTGTGGTCTTGGCTTATCTTCAAGTCAGTTTAAATAAACAAGTGAACCAATAAAGACCAAAACCTAAAGGGGAACCTACCGTTGCTGTATCCACATTGTCTTTCTCCTTCTTGTCCTGCTCCAAATAAATATCCGCTTGCTTTCTAGCCAAATCCCTTTCAAAATAGGCCTCCAGGGCCACGGAAAACTGTCGCAAGCGTGAGGCCTTTGGCTGGCTTGTTTTTTGCTGTAAGTCCACCCAAATTTCGGTAAAGGCGTATTTCTGCATAGCCTCTGTTTGGCAACTGTTGTTCAGGTGCTTTTCAAGAACCGTTGGTGAATGGTCCAGGCTGAAAACGTTGTTGCAAGGCATCTGCTTTGAGGAGAGTTCCGGCACGTCCCACGGACTGTTGAATACGGGATCTGGCTTTTGCTGGTTTGTTGGCGAAATGTTGAACTTGTTGGGAGTCTTGAAGTGTCCCATCCCCTGTGTGGCTTTTCCTGTTGAGGCACCATCACAGGCGGATGAGTCACTGGAATGGACCTCCACATAGGACGACTTTGGCTTCAAGACGATTCCAGAACATGAGGGCTTTGAAGAGACACCAGCGGCTTGGGCCACCTGGTCGGAATCATTGATCTGCGAAGGACATTCTTATCACTTTGGGCTAAATATAGAGCCGATTTCACTTGCCTTATTGTCCAAATTCTCTACAGAAGTCTCATGCTCCGATCCGGACTCAAAGTCCGCGGCGCTGTCGATGTCGCTCTCCGAAAGGGAAGGGCTCAGGTTGTCCCAGGATGCATCGCTCTGGTTAAAGGAGTGGAATGAGTCATTGTCCGAGTCACAATTATTAGCGATAAGGCTCATTTCGCTTAGTTTTTCTCGTTGCTTGCGTTAAATTAAAATAATTGGTTCCAAATGGCGGCTATAGTCAAAATGACAAGTGCAAGGGTTGCCAGGAGTTTCAAGGGTAATGGCACTTGTCATTATTTTTGATGCGTGCTTGGGGCTGTTTCCACTTTTGCTGCGGTTATAAAATAAATTAAAAAAATTTTATAAGTAATAACTTAAAATTTATACATTGGTCTTTGTTTCTTTGTATTAAAATCATAAAAGTACATATTGCATGTAATTTAACGTACTTCAAAATCCAATGTTGTCAGTTTCTATTACATATTTTAAACAAAATTAAAATTCTTATATATATTTTAAAACTTCCGCCCAATTAAAGTTGTGAGTTTCTCTCTAGTGGAAGCCCGTGTCTCCTGCTTCACGACAACTGGCAACTCTGGCAAAGCTTATCATTAAATGGCGCGCATTAATTTGAATTTGATTTTGTGGTTTGTATTCGAAGACAACAAAAGTATGCAAATAGATGGCGGAAGACAATGCTGCTGCATTTTGCACTCAATAGAGTCGTAAACAAAGCCAAGACAATGGGAAGAGGACCTCTGTAAAGGATGTGCGTACTTGACGACTGCCATTGTGCTCCGGTTTTGATTGTTCCACCTCGAGTATTTTCGAACTGATCCCGAGATTTGCCCATATGATCATATATATGCACCAACCCATCCAGAGAGCACTGTAGTGGACCTGCTTATGTGGGTGATTTTCATTATCCTCTAATTGTTTGTGCCATTGTTCACACGATAGGTTTGAGAAATTACACGCTTTGTTAATTGTGCCAGCCCAAAAGGGTCGCTCCTTCCTCATATTCAGCATGCATATTCCAGCCCACATGTGAGCCCATTTGCATAAACTGCTTTTACGGCCTTTGTTGGCCAATGGCCAGTCTTCTGCCGCCGTTGAGCCTCATCGCGGTGGTGGTGGGTTTGTTCTGCTCTAGTTTAAAACCCCAGCTTAGTTGGGATGTCTGGTTACAGAGGGTACAGGTCGATTTGGGAACACAGACGACCTGGTCCGGTGCATCCGTTTTATGGCTTGGCCCCGGCGACACGGAAACCTTTCTTTGCCACGCTTTGTTGCATTCTCCTCGCGACCAATATATTTGCATTGGCCAACAATAAAAACTCAAGTACCACCGCATTGTTGCCATCTTGTTTGCCTAACGCCGGGCGCAGACCGAACCAAAGTTTGAGGATGGGCTCAGACGGAGGCTGTCTGGGATTTACTCTGGGACCTACTCTAGATCTTTAAGAACCTTAAATTGATCCGTATATAGAAAATAGTGAAGATCGATGTGTTGTGATCGTAAATTTCAAATAGGTATGAGTAGATTTTAAAACTTTATAGCGGTAATATCTCTGAAGGTAACACGCCATCAAAAAATATAGGTAAATAATAAAACATTTCGAAGCAATGGTAACTTTATTAATTTAAGTTAACCTGCGAATATATTCAGAGTGGTTTTCACAAGAGTAGATTTATTCAAGCACCTGATGGCAAACCATTTGAATCGCGATCCTTATCCCGATTCAAGTCTCAATTTGTAGTGGCAGCCACGCGTGCGCTGCGTAAAATGCTTTTTCAACTCATTAGCACCGACAGTGCCAGTTCCCCCTAATAACTAATTAACTTTCGTTTAGGAAACAATTTCCCCCTTTTTCGAGTTCCCCAAATTCGTGTTTACACAACAAAAATGCTGCTCGACAAAGTGTATCTAATTTCATAACATAACAGAAAAGAGGCAACTTGCAGCGGCCAGGCAACAAATGTGGCAGCGTAAAAAGCAACAGCCATAGTGCATTAATTATCCGGGGACCTGCGACATCTGCCGCGGATGGACGGGGTTTCTTCTTTTTTTTGGGGGGTGAGGATGGGGGAAGTACAGCCATTTAATGAGGCATTCATTGCACTCGCAACCTTGCGCCTGTCAACACACGCACTCGCACACACGGCCGACATCTGTCACCCGTTCCAGTCTGGGATCCCCTATAAAACCGCAGGCCTGAAGATCGGAACCGATCCCCGGAGACATAGAAAGACGGCCATGCAATCGGCAACAATTTCAAATCGATTTGGTACACCGAAAGAAAAACGGCGATCGACAAGGTGATTTGTTCCAAATGGAATTTTCTAAAATATATTTTTATCGTAATTCCTAATAAATTAACTATTAACCTTTAAGGGATATCCTTCACAAAAAAAATATTTTTTTCATATAAAATATTTGAACTAAATTAAAAAGTATTCAGTATTAGAAGAATATTTTTAAAAAGTATTTTAGTCTTTGGTTTAAAATTGTTACTATTAAAAAAATAGAAAAATTTGGATGATATTTAGTATTTCTTATTGCATATCATATTGCATATTCACATTTTTATCCTTACGTTATCTTTTTCCTTTCCCTAATATTGAGTTGATTCCGTCTAAAAGATTGTTCTTTTATATATCACATTTTTAATAGTATTTAAGTCAACGGAGAGCTATAAACCTTTGGTTACTTTTTTTCGGTGTGGTAAATTGATTCGACCGTGTTTGTTTTTCCGATGGCTGGGCGGGTAGATATGTCTGCACCGCCCCTTCGGTCCTCAAACTCAGACGAGACGTGGGTGGTGACGCATGTCATCGTAAACTTCATCATTGGCTCCGTTCAGCCCCTGGCCAAGATCCTCCGGCAGATCGGTTCTGCTTGCGCTCTGCGGCGACTTACATAACGAATTGTCTATTTTCTTTGGCTTCGTCTCAGTCTCTGCCCATTTCATAAATAGCAAGGCCCTGGATCCGAGTCTCTGGGGTAGCATTCGAGGGCTGCAACCGAATTTCATGCCTTGTCGAGCTATTTAATTGCAAACAAATTATGTTCTAGCCAGTCGCATCTCTGTGTGGCTAATGGATGCTGCTGCGGAGGATGCCCTGATGATGTTGTCGAAACCCGAACGTTTATCTTGTAAATTGGTTGGGATTAATGTCTGGCGGAAGTTGTGATTTCCAGCCCAAGATCGGCCAATGATAGAGGGCCCACTGCCGGTAGTATTTTTCCTTTCCGATATGTTCATTTACCTACAGCGAAGGGTGGGCGTTCTGGCTTTGAGGGCTCGGCCCAGCAGGGGGATATCTAATAATCCAAAATCGGAAAGGGTTCCTAAGCCAAATAAAACGAATTGATTTTCTTATACTTTAGTGTAAGTTTAATTGCTTAATGCTCAGTTTAACTTAGTAAATAATCAGGCTGCGATTTGCGTAATATCAAAATGAGTACAATGATTATGTTTAAATATCTACTAAAGTCAAGAATAAAGTTCTGGAATCAAAGAGAAAAAATTTACAAAATTTACAGAATTAAATTTATTCATTAGAGAAACATAACAAATAGTATAGAATTATTATAAATTAATTTTAAGAGATTACAATACTCTATGTTCCTTATTTTTAAGGAGAAAGTTGAGTAGGGATCTATTTTCTTTATAAAAATAATTAAAGAGGAATTTTAAGTAATGCAAAATAAAGTCAAACAAATAATTTTTACTTAAAAAATATTCTTTTTTAATCTTAATTCTCAGAACTTATTCTTGACCTTAAAACCTTAAGTTTCCCCCATTATCTTACTTGTGACAGATTATATATAACTAACTTCCTCCCCCCAAAATGGCCGATATACTGAAGCCCTTGCTCCTTGTCGAGGGTTGTTCCGGTTGTGGTTCCTGTGAGGATTGCTCCACAGCCGACGTCTCACTGCCCACATCCAGTTCGAGTTCCTCGGCTCCCGACTCGTCGGATATGAGATCCCCACCGGAAGTGCCTGGGGGTAGATTAAGGCCAGGCTGTGGACCCATTCCGGCCTGCAAAATGGCTGCCGGGGGATAAAGACTCGGAACAGCTCCACCATATTCATGGGGTCTTCCGAAGTAGGTGCACGCCAGGTCCACAAGTGAGGGTCTCAGCAGACTCTGCATATTCTGCTGGAAGTGCTGCATGAAAACACTGGAGGCACTCCTCGACTGGAGGGGATGGTGATGAGGTGGCGGGGAGCCGAGGGCCAAGGAACTGGCGCCATTCGCCGACTGATCGTCCAGCGATGACGATAAGGAGCAGGCGGAGCCATTTGATCTTAGTCGCTTAATTTGCGGGCCATCCAAATCGCCGATTGTTGATGTTCCTCCTCCTCCTCCTGATCCTCCTGCTCCTCCTGCTCCCCCTCCTCCTGGTGTCTCAGTGCCCTTCGATGGCGACATGTCCGATTCGGACGGGGATTGTGAATGGGCTAGTGACTGCGACTGATCTTGATCCTCGCCAGTCGGTGATGAAGACATCTTGCGCTTGCAGCGTGATTGTCCCGTTTCGCGGAAACCCTTGGCAAACGGATTGTTGTCAATCTTCAGCTTGGTGATGCGATCATTCTGCGGAAGAAACGGGCAAACAGAGAAGGGAAGACGAGCGTGAAATACGACGATTGCGCCAGCATGGCATATAGTAATCTTAAGCAACTGGGAACTGGGAACTGGGAGAACGGGAACATAAGTCACTGGCGTCCAGTAGCTGCTGGCGTTAAGTAACAGGGCCACTTGACACCGAAGTCGGCGCCCTCGGCTCGATTCCACTCCAGATGACTTGACAACTTTGTGATCTTTCGGATCCCCTGAACTGCTCGAATCTCTGGCGATCTTGCTAATTAGAGGCAGACTGGCGGCGTCGGCTGTCAATGGTCCCAGACCTAGACAAAAACACAGCGAGGCGCTCAAATTTACAAGGATGTGGCTATCCAACTTCCTAAAACAACAATCCGACCCGCTGACTTTCTGCCTGCCCTCCGAACCTCGATCTTCGATCTTCGATCTACGATCTTGGAACTTGCGTCTCGCATTTTGAAGGCGTTCCATGCTAATTCGAGACGTTGGCCAAGCAACCCACGGCGTGAGCGATCGCCGCTCGTTTGCCCAAAATTAACCAATTAGTGTGCGAGTTCCCAGTCGATGGGCCAGTGCTCAATGAATTGGCAAAAAAGAGCGCACATGAGGAGGAAGGCTGCCCTCGAGGACACATGCCTCGAATACCCTTGGCAAAAACACATTTCTTTTAGAGACACAGCCTTGAAAGTGCCTGTTTAAGACTGAATTATAACATTAAAAACCTCAGAATACTATTTAATCATGCATTTGAAAACTAGATGCTTCAACTAAAGACGCTTTAACAATGCGGAAATATTAAACATTATTGAGAAATCAGTTTTTAATTTACAATATGAAAGATATGATTTCCTTGAAGAGCTGTTCTGCCAAAAAATGTCACTTTGTTGACAACCTAATCAACTTAATCATTTTGGAGAGATTTAGTAACTGCTACTTTAGAAGAAGCTTACAAACATCTGGCTCTAGTTAGTGTTCCCAAAGTAAGGGTATATTGGGCAGTGGGAATGGAGATGGCACCACTTACCTGGTAGGCCGTCACGGCCACGAACTCGGTCTCGGCGAACACAAAGGCCTGTTGGGGGGCCCAGGGAATCTGCGCCAGATCAGCGGTGCGTATGACGTGCAGACGCGGCTGATACTTGTGCATGCTGGCCAGGACGATCTGCGGATGCGGATTGGGAAGGAGCGAGGGATTGGGATCAGTATGGCATCAGTAACCGGATACGACTTCAAAGCCCCGTCTGCACTTACATGGCCGCTGTTGTCCAGCGTGTTATTGGTCAGCTTAACCTTGTTGAAGAGAATGGGCTGCGCCTGCCAATGAGCTCCTGTGGCAGGACTGTCGGGATGCAGATACATCCGCTGCGGACTCTGGGGCTCGGCTCCTCCGGCCGGAACCCACTGGGAGCCAGAGAACTTGTAGCGGCAGTCGCCAATGGGCACCATTTCGAGCAGGACACAGTAATTGCTTTCATCCTCCAAACCGGAAACACTCAGTCGCATCGAAGGGAACATCCGTCTGTTCATGAGAAAAAGATAGGGAAAAGTTTAATCCAAAATCTATAATAAATAGTTATATTAACATATGGCCAACGCTTTCATGAAAATGAATACATTTTATAAGCTTACAAATCAATTTCATGAATTGATATGAAAACGAATATAAAATGGTTACGAGTGATCATAATATTATTACACAATTAACTATGAATATCACAAAATATTTTCGGAACTATTTTTATCCAAAAAAGAATAACGGTTTTTACACAAATTTTTTGTAGTCTATGTTTAATTTTTTTATCGATTTTAAAAAACATGTTTCCCTCTAAAAACCAAAACCGAATGTTTGCAATATTGTTCCCTTGAGTAAATTGTAGAGCACCAGAAGAGAGGGAGAAGTCCAGGAAAATGTATAGAAATCTTAGAGCCTTTGTTTACCGAGCAAACTCAAATATAGTCATGCTAGATCGACAAAAGGAGCCCATGGTCGAGCCTGCGAGGGCGTTACAAATATTTAATTGTGAGATTTCCCTTCCATGCGCCATGTAATTAGGCCTGGTCAAATAGAGATTGCCCCGCGGAGGAGGAGGAGGAGGATCAGGAGGAGAAGGGAAAGAGGACTGTGTGCCTGTGCTAACAAGGATGCGAGTCCCTGACCCTCGCCTCCAATTCCAAGTCGCTGCCGCAGAAAACAGCAGGTGGCCACGGTTCTTGGCGCCAGCCCGAAAAATGTTTGCCCTTCGCCCCCGACCACCGACCCCGGAATCCTCGTCCTCAACCTCATCCTCATCCTCCTCCTCGTCTTCATCCTCATCCTCATCCCCGAGTGGTTTCGTGTTTTTGGCAATGATTTTGTGTTTCTCCGGGCCGATGATTAATTAATTGAAATCCGCTGCGCTTTGGTTTGCTAACATTTAATTTGATTCTGACTTTTAGGGGCTGACTTTCAGCTCTGTTGAATTCCATTAGACCACAGCACCGAAATATTTCGACATTTGTGCGGTTTAGAATTTCATTTTCAATTTGGCTCCTCTCTGCGTTTTTGTTGATTGTTTTTCCTCAGTTATTTTTTTTTTGGCAAGAGTCCGCTGTCTGGTTTTGGACAAACGATTTGTTAAGATCGATATCTTTGGCGCGTCTGTGCATAATTACCAGTGGAATTTTTGGCTGCGAGTGAGGAGCATGCTGACCATTTGACGGCATTCGACTTGGCGCTTGACGCTTGGCAGGTGCAGGGACACAGTCCTGGAATGTGAGATCCCAGCGATCTCGGACTCGAGAAGGGTCCTCTCAAAATACCCACTCACTTCCCACCCCGCTGCACTGCACCACTGTTTACCCTTCAGTTCCACATAAATGGTGGCTCGTTTTCCGTGGATTAGCATATTTAGGAAATTAAAAGTGAGACTGTTTATTAATTGACAGCTATAAAACTAGAAACGACCAAATAAATTTAAAACTCTTTTGGGTCATTTAAATTTAAACTATTTAAGGGGTTGAAGTATATCCGACCGTTTTAACTTGTTGATATTTTCGTGGAAATAGAATGGAATAGAATATTGATTTCTGATAACATGATAAATAGTTTAAAACAAAATGCTGTTTCAAAAATTGTCAAAATATTTTCTTTAAATAAAAAATTTAAAAAAATTCTTAGATGTACCATGTTTGTGTTTATTTAAAAAATAAGTGACTTTAGATCACGCTCTTTAAGTGCTGATTTGAGGCTACTTTTCATCGGGGGCACTGTAAATTCTGGGCCATCTTCCCATCGAGGTAAGCGTGTCGCTTCTGTTTACCGGCTCTCTTGGCGCTTCCCATTTGGCCGAGTTACTGAGCTGGGCCCACACACTCTAAAAGCTTCGTGACAAAGTCATTTCATTTGCCGCCGTCAGGCATTAACCGATACGCTTTGTTCTATCTAACTTTAATGGCCGTCTGCGCTTTTACCACCCAAAAAGATGGAACGGTTCAAGTGGCAAGTGGCAAGCGGAGCCCAGACAAGCAACTAATTAGTTTTTATGAGCGCCACTTGGCATAGGCATAGGCATAGGTTTTCGGCTTCGTATAAGATCCGAAAATGGGAATTGAAATGAGGAATCGGAATGCGATTGGACAGACGGTGGCACTCTGGCGCCTAATCATTAAAAATTCAAATCGATTGCATCGCGACCGCTCCACCGAGGACCATAAAACATTTTTGATGAGCATAAAAAGTATTTAATACGCAGACTTTATGAATAATTCATGGCATATATATAAAACGAAAGGGTTGTTTGGTGCTCGGTGCTCGAGGAGAGTTTTTTGGGCTGCATTTCAAGACCAAAAGTTTGTGTTAATGCACTGGGAACCCTTTTTCGATCGGATCGAACTGAGGACAAGTGTGAAATCGCTCGTATCTGTCGACAAGCTGTGGTCACTGTCACCGCAAAAGATACAGATATGTACATTTTTTATTTGAAGGGGAATGCAGAATGCAGAACGCAGAACGCAGAACGCAGAATGCCGAATGCAGAACTCGAAGATATTTCGAGGGTTTCGGGACTCGGGCAGTTTGGTGCGCAGACAGGCGCCACAATAAAAACGCTAAGAGCTACAAAGATGACGACAAAGTATCCTTGACGCGAAGATTTATGCCAGCGCAGGAATAAAGGAGTGCCGACCAACCGAACCGACAGGACGTCCCACTGAGCTCGGCGTTCGGCCGGTCTACAATAAATTACGATGACGCCACTTTACGCACATTCGAACAAGTGCCGGACACTTTTAGGTAGTCGTCCGACCAGCTCGAGCTGTGCATCTGATATATCCATAGAGGACAGGGGATACACGATAAACTAGCCCCGGGCGATCGCGCTGAGCCTTTGATTCGACGACGAGTCGAGGTGCCTATCTTCAATCTGGGCACGCAAAGTGCCGGCCAACTTGTCCGCTTTACGCCTCGCGCGATAGTCCATTATGCATCTCGAGTTTGAAGTACTGCTACGAGCTGCAGGTACGAAACGCTTTTCCATTTCCCATTTCCCATTTTCACATCCTGCCAATGCGAGGGCATCCTTCCGCCTTGTTTGCCTGTGAAAATTGTTGTCGCGACGCCGCTGTAAACAATTTGCAGGCGCCTGCGTCTAATGAGCATTTAACATAGCAGGATCCTCGCTGGACAGGACTTGCTTGGCTCAACTCTCAACTGAATCGAAATCGGGATCGGTTTCTGGTGGGATGCTTTAAGTGCCTCTCGACCGCGCCTGGTTTATTTTTCTTTGCCCTGCGTCTGGGGTATTAGTTTTCACGTTCGTGCTAATGCATCGGCCGATATATGTTTGTTTCCGAATTCCAAAGTCTGTTTTTCGAGATTCCCCCTTACCCTCTCGCTTTTTTTGATTTTCATCATTAAAGATTGTTCTTTTGTGTCTGGGACCTACCTGCCACTTTTGGTGATGATCATTTCCGTGCCAATTTGATGGAACTGCTTCCACAGGTCGTCGTTCTGCAGGGTCATCTCCACGCCGGGCAGGGTGACTCGGGGTGGCATGATCACGTGCCGCGGCATCGGAATGGGTAACATGGGTGGGAAGGGGTCTGAAAAGTAGCAGGGTTGGTTAAACAACAGTTAAATGGAAAATACAAGCTTAAGCTATCTTATAAGTAACCAAAGCTTGTGACTAATAATAGGAAAAATTAAGAATGAATTCCTAAATAAAATTAATCTTTCCTGAACAGTTTTATAAAAACCAAAAGTAACTAAAACATCTGACTAACAATAGGAAAAATTAAGAATGAATTCCTAAATAAAATGAATCTTTCCTGAACATTTTTATAAAAACCAAAACTAACTAAAGCATGTGACTAATAATATGCAAAATTAAGAATGAATTCCTAAATAAAGTTAATCTTTCCTGAACTTTTTAATAAAAAGCATAAGAGTGAATAGATAGGACGATAAATTACTAAAGGTATACAATACACTAGCATGTTTTTAGAAATTTTTAGTTGAAGTTCCTTAAAGAAGCTTTACGATATACGGAAAGATTTATTCCCAACAAACAATTAGTATCTCTTAAAGCCTATTCTGTTTTTGGTTAAAATTTACCCGTGATAGGATTATTTTTATTTCGGGGTTTAGTGCTAGCACATCTAGTACAATTTCAAGTTTGGTAATCTTTTAACAAACGTAGATTAAAGTAGCGAATGAATCATCTCATCACGTGCCACAATTATTTTGTGTTAAAAACAACACCCCAATTAATTAATAAGAAAAATAAAAAACGGTTTCCATTTTGAAAAGAAAGCTACTCAAGTGACTTAATGATTGCCATTAGTTTTTGAGTTTTTGTGTGGGTCTTATTTAGGGTGATCTTCAAAAGATGTGTGATATTTCTGACTTATCACGAGAGGTTTAACGAGGCAAAGCCAAATGGAGCTTGACAAAAATGGTCATTGCGAGTGTTCTGTTTTTGGCGAACAAGGAACATTGATTCTTCGCCGGTTGTCAAACTTAATGCCCGCCATTAGGGATCAACGAAATATGGAGCCGTATTTCCCCAAAAGTGATTACATACAGAGATAATGCTTTAGGGGTGCGCTGATCCCGCTGCTTAACGATCGTCGGCAAACAAGCAAAATGCATTTGATATCAAGTTTCCCGATCGGCGATCACTTTCCCACATTACTCAGCTTTATGATCGTCTGGCCATAAACACTCGCACTCGAACAGCACACCCCGCTGATCTTGGCCAGCCAACTTGAAGGGGGTTTGGGGGACAGAAACCCAAAGAAAGAGCTGGCCAAAAGCCACGGCCATTAATGCTAATGATGCTTAACAGCTTTGCCGCACGCTTAACGGGGCGGATGAGTGATATGGGCTAAGTAGAAGAGCTTACCCGGTATACGCTGCATAATCTGCTGGCGATATATCTCGTGCGCAATATGCTGCTGCATCCGCAGATCCACCAGCTCGTTCATCGTGATCATCGTAATGGTGGTTCCCGAAAATAGTCTATCTTAATATGAAATTCACTCGAAGCGAAACACCTTTGTTGGCCTTTGTCACTTGCACAATTGTTCCACACACAAAGCACTGTCACTCGCCGACAACATATGGCGGGGTCTCCTCTATTTCTATTTCTATTTTTCCGTCCGGGGTTTACTTTTCAGCCCGAGAGCACGAGACACCGCCGATTAGCGTCAATTATGCAAATCACGGCACAAAAAAGTCTCTCATGTGCGTGGGTGTTAATTTGATTAGGCCGCTGTCATATGTGGGCTATTTTGCCATATCATATCGCATATATATATATATCGTATATAGAGAGAGTGTGTGTTGTTTTTAGCCGACGGTCGTGTCTTGAGCTCGCCAAGTTCGCATTTCAACTGAGCAAGTTCCGTTGGCGGCGGAGATCTCTCGATCGAGCTGGAAAAGAAACGAGCTTGACTCGTTTCCCCTGAGCCATTGATCGAGATTACCTGCTGCGCTCCGGCCATTGGTTAATTCGGATGCTCCGAGTGCGGGAGCTAGCCGTCCCGCTCTGGTTTGGCACCTCCATTTTGAAAAGTGCCTCGATTTTCCAGCTGCCATGGCTCCGCCCACGAACCGTCGGCTGTCTTTGTCTCTCCGGTGATGCCGGCCCGCTCTAATTGCGTTTAATTCTGAAGTGCGAAGTTGCACAGTCAGCGGAGCAACAGCTACAGCAGCAACAGCAACAGCTACAGCAGCAACATGTTGCTGCGGGGTCCATCCAGTCGCTCTGTGTGTGCTGCCTTTTAATTATGATCATGATGATTGAAATTGTTTTTTTCTCCGTCTCTCCTCTTTTTGGCATCTTTTTGTGTATTTATGCTTTGCCCATTTGTAGCCGATGCCATCATGGTGGTCCTCTTGTCAGACCCCTCGAACCTCAAACCCCGAACACCGAACCCCGAACCGTGTGTGTTTGTCGTTTTGCTGCTCATTTATTTCATCTTACCCCGATCTACAGAGAGAGGAATTTATTGATATTGTTTGATCATCCATTTGATGGGGTTTTATTGGAAAAATATTGATTTAAAGTGTGTACACAGCAATATGTTGATCTTGATATCAATAAGGAGTCGCCTCTTCATTTGGCGAACCTTTTCCGCATTGATGGCTTGTTTTTGTTTGTTCAGCTATGTGCGAATTTTTCATAACAATATGGATTTAAATCTATAAAGTTATGGGTTAAATAGTATACATTTTATAATACTCTTGATGAGTTCAGTGGTTAAATATCAATATATTAATCAAAGTAATTCGATAAATGGGAAATTGTAAAACAAGCATACTTAAATAAAATGGTTACCAATAAATTGAGAAAGTAGTTTAACTTCTATATAATTAATTTACCTGCTCTATACATGAAACAGGAAATTTTAAATCAAAACAAGATGTATATTTTGTTATATAGATGACTGTAAAGATTAATTAAAAGGAACCTAATCGTCAAATTTGATCTCATAGAACATCCTGAACTTGTTTTGTTTCTTGCTGTGTGATTATATGCTATTTTGGCTTTGACGCTGCGTCATTCGGGCATTGATATGGCGGCATCCGAAGGCCCGATATGGCGTCTCTACTTGCTGGTACACCGATCTCTATGGCTATTTGGCTGGCGATGCAGGTGGTGGGTATTTTGGATCTGACCTTTTTGAGAGCTTGACAAAACATTTGTTTCGAACGACGGAAACGCGTGTCAGAGTTTCTTGCTTACAAATTCGAAACTAATTAAGCTCCAATGAAGTGGCATGAACTTTGACTGAAATTAAGCATACGCCATGTGGGCAAACCAAGGCGAAACGTGCACAGATTTTGGCCATGCTTTTGGGTCTCGTGTTTGCCTCCAGTGGCACTTCCTTTCGAGATTAAGCCAATCGCTGGGCTTATCTGGGCTGCATTACTGCGAAATTCCAGAGACTCTTTAATGGGTAAATATGTAGTTAGCCGAGCTAATTTACACAGCACTTTGCTGGCCTGACACATCCACGCATTATTTCCATACGGCCAACAGCCGAGTTGGCGGCGATAAGCGGATGAAATTAATTTACTATTAGCAGTCCGACATTTCGCCCAAATTGCGTTCTGGCCATGTGCCGTCTGCGCGTAATTTATGCCTCGCGTTTTCACATTTGGTCGCGCACACTTCCGGTTGAGTTTTCCCCGACTGTTCGACTGTCCGACTGCCCGACTGTCTTTCGGCTCGACCAGGTTCGTCAAACCATTAGACAGCGATCCTGCCTGCAGGGCCTGCATTTTCCGACCCTGCCAATAGCTGTGCAATTTGTCAGCACCCAGCTAATTGGTGCTGCCCCTGTGCCTGCTGCTTGACTAATGCATTTCGGTTTACTTCCGTTCGGTTCCGGATAAATGGGCCAACAGGTAGCCAGCGGTGCACTCAAAAAAATCTTAATCAGATTGCGGAAATTCGCAAAAAAATAAATGATTAAGTACAAGGCAAATTTCACAGTCTTTTTTGGTATTTACTCACTAACAAGTGTTGAAGAAATTGCTAGAATATATATATTAACGTCTAATTACTTGACTAAATAAAATACTTCCCACTTACTACTTGATGTTTAATAATAAAAACGAAAGTTTGACGTATTCAAATATATAGGTATTTTTCCTTTGATAATTGGTAAACATAGAGCAGATTTTTATTAACTTAAAGAAGTTATAATCCTTCATTAAAAGCTTGTATTGAAAATTTATAAAATGTTTCCAAAAGTTTGTAAAATGAATTATTCATATTTATCTAATTCTAAATGAACTCCTTTATTTTGCTTAGTTTTTGTTTCTGAAAATATCCTCTTTTGATTTTCCGAGTGTAGACGCATTCCAACCGCTTGATTCAGCATAGAGGATATCTGCGTGGGCTGCATTTCGCTTTATCAATGTTTTGGGTATACATTTCAGCGGTACACTTTGCAGACAGTGATTAAGCGAATCGGGGAGGACAAACAGATCGGCCAGCCTTGAACCGGGGTCCGTCCTCCAACGGCATTGTAAGTGCTACTCGTCGGGGTCTTTCCACCCAGTTGCGAAATGAACCCGATTCCGATTCCGATGCCAAAGGGGCGAAGATGGAGGCTCGAGCCCTCGGCTTCTTTCTCGCACGGCTGCTCAAATTAAAATTAGCATAAATCGTCTACGAAAGCGATGTAATTTTCCATGGAAAATATGCCCTCCACTCATGTCAAGTAGCCAACAGCAATCGCAATTTATTGATTTAAACTTTTAGCTTGGATTCGTTTGAACAAGCCCTAGCGCCTTTATAGCCGACTATTAACAACCCGGCACTTGATCTTCGCATTATTTGTGTTTGCCTACCCGTGAGTAGATCCATTGTTGCAACACGACTGCCCCCCAGTCGGTGTGCGGCATGCAAATCTACTTTTGTATGCAAATCAAGTGACTCAATCAACATGGCTAGCTGGATGGATGGATGATGAGCAACCCCGATGTCCAAAGAGGAGGAGGCATCATAATCATCTGTGTCCATGGCGGACCTCTTGACAGCTTTCAATGGTCGCGGGACCGGCGCAGACCTACTCCAATACTCCAATAATTGAGAGGTGTTTAATCGTGTGTTTCGTTTTTGTTTTTCTGCACATTCACGACCCCCGAGACTTCGATTTATCATAGGCCTTTTATGGCCTATTCACGTTCCACGGTTTCCACCGGCTACCAATCCACTCGATTGCTGTTTGCTCTCGAATTATCATAAGCAAATACGAGCCCAGACGGGGATTCAGATTGAGATTCAGATTTGTGTTCATATTCGGATACGGATTCGGATTCGGGCAGACCCTCTCCCCCCGATGTCTCTGACTACTTTACGCTTTTCGGAGCCCGTCGTCTTCAAACTGAAGTGCTAAAGTTGCTGGCGACGCGACGCTCTGAGAGGCGCTTCTGTTGTGTAGACCCTTGAGTTATTACAATATTATATTCAAATTTCAAGTGCTACTGGCTCGCCGGCGGTCCTCCTTCACTCCACCGATCGTCTCGCCCATCCAAGAGATATAGTATCTGGGTGCCGAGTCGAAGAATCTGCATATTTTCCGAGGCAACGCATTTGTTTGTTTGCCTTCGAAGCTCATCGAGTTGGCACTCGGCGGAGATGCGTGTTAATGGCATGTGTAATAACAAGATCATGGATTCAAATTTGGCGTTCGAAAACAATTGCCAAATATGGTACACACGCATTAACAAGAGAAGGTGATAATTCTCAAGGTAACAATAGGGGGAAATATTAAATCAATTCAAAATAAATAGTTTGATTAATACATAAATTACATTACTTTACAAGTACTTTAAATCAAAAGTATTTTTATTTACCCCTTAAAATGTTAAGTATCGGTATATAAATATTTATATTATTCATCTTTTTTTTAGTTATCCTAAAAATATTTAATAAATGTATCATAGCAATCGGCATTTAAATATTGGTTGCTATTTTAAAAGCTTATGTAAAAGCATCAAGAATAATAATAAAATCAATAAAACAAACTTCTTTCATTCAGTTTGGTCACGTTATTCATATGCAAATTACCAGAAGTAGTTCTTAATTTATTTTATTCATATTTAAAATCTTAGAAATATTTTTATACATTTTTTATTGCTCAAAATTAATACATTTCTGCCAATGACGCAAATCAGTTTGTAGTTGTAACAAAAAGCCATTAAGTAATCAAATAACGGTGAAAATGATGCTGCATTTCATTACCAAAATGGTAAAATGGTAAAATGGTGGCTAGCTGTGGCCGGCCAACAGCCAAACCAAAACCAGTAAAAAGTTCAACGGCCAAACGGTGACATCAAAGCCGAGAGCAGATGATCGCCGACAGGCAGCCGAACAAAAGGAGAAAACCCCGGGCCAAGTCCAGTAGTCGAACGGGGAGAAGAAACCATTTCGCTGATAAAAACATCCATTATGCGTAACAATTTGACGGCTTCTTTGGCTACCGCTACCGCTTGCCCGATTCCGATTCCAAGGCGGCGACTGCGGCTTTCGCCTTTGATTGAGTGGTCGAGATGGTTTTGGCCCAGCCGCGGGGTAATTGTTGTCGCTAGCCGGCTAGATCGACTGGACTACGAGATCGGATGGAATAGGAGTGGATCAGAGTGGATCCGAATGGATCGGAACGGAATGGATCTGGCCTGAGTGCGCAATTACAATGGCCGTGATAAAGAAGCCAAACAGAGAGCGGCAAAGGGCGAGTCTTGCGCTAACGTCAAAGAGGAAATGCCTTAATCTCGTGACAACAACAGGCCTTCGTCGTCGCTTTTCCTCCTTCACGTTCACAGAGTCCCCTTCCTTATCTATGCAACCTGCACAGGCAAAGAAATTTGATGTTTGTTTAGAAAAAGCCAGTACGAATTGCTCAAAGGATCATAGAAAAACGAACTTATTAAA